CCCTCTCCCCCTTCTCCCCCTTCTCCCCCTTCTCCCATATTTCCACCGTTTCCCCCGCTTTCTCTCTTCTGCCACTCCCTTTGCTGCTACCACTCCCCTCTCCCCCACTCCCGCCACTCCCCCATCCCCCATTCTCCATTCCCCCACTTCCCCATACCCCACTTCCCCATACCCCACTTCCCCATACCCCACTTCCCCATACCCCACTTCCCCATACCCCACTTCCCCATACCCCACTTCCCCATACCCCACTTCCCCATACCCCACTTCCCCATACCCCACTTCCCCATACCCCACTTCCCCATACGCCACTTCCCCTCCTTCCCTCCACCCTATCCCCCCTCACACTCCCACTCCCTCCTCCCCCCCTCCTCAACACCCTCCTCCACCCCCTCCCCACCTCCTCCCCCCTTACAATCACAGCCCGGCTATCCCCCAAATTAATCACATAAACATCCGTTCCTGTGACTATAGCAGCAACTAAGGACGCCCCTCCTACTGCATACTCCGGCTGGTCTCTAGAGACGTCCTTAACTCGCGACAGAAAGGAGGACTCGGTAGAGGCGAGGGCGCGTTCTAAGGCGCCTAAGATAATCTTGTGCTTCCTGTGGTCGTTATCCGGCTCACGGGCGACTTTTGGCACATGGGATGGGTGATGGTGGTGGTGACGGTGGTGATGGTGGTGGTGGTGATGGTGCTGCTGCTGCTGCTGCGACTGTTTCTGAGTAATTCCCACCTCTTTTTCACTCCCGTTCCCTTCTCCCTCCCCTTCTCCCTCCCCTTCTCCCCTCGGCCTTCCATTCTGAGGGGCATCAGATGCTCTCTCCTGCTGCAATCCCTGAGTCTTATTAGACCCACCCTGATCAGGCACACTCTTTTGGTCCACTCTGCCTTCCTGGTTATCCCTTGGGAATGCTTCTTGATCATCCTGGTTATCAGAAGCTTCTGACCAATCAGAATGGCTTCGCTCCCTCGGGAATGCTTTCCTGCGCGCCCTACCCACCCCACCCCCCCTCCAACTCATATTGCTCTTCCATTCACCCCCACCTGTATTCTCATTCTCACCCTCCTGCTCCAATCCCCCCGTCTCCTCAGAAGCTTCCAACCAATCAGAGCGGCTTCGCTCCCTTGGGAACGCTTTCTTATTAGCCCTGCCCATCTTACGCACCATCCACCGCAGCTTTCCCCTCGACTCAACCCCACCTGTACTCTCACACTCACACCCACACTCACACCCACACTCACACCCACACTCACACGAACGCCTCAAACCGCCATACGCCTCGTGGTCCTGACTCTCACCCTCTGCGCATGCTGCCCGGCGCACATGGTCTTGACCCTCCCCGCACGTGCGGTGCTGGGCGGTTCCATGGGTTTCCTGGGAGTGCAGTGAATGCAAGCCACACGCGTCCAGCTGGTGGCAGAGAGCGGTGTAGAGGTGTGCGAGGAGGTAATCCACGGCGTGCCTCTCTGCAAAGCCGTCGTACACCGCTGCAAACACAAAGCCCCGGGAAGGCGAGACGAGGATGTGAGAACGGTCTTCTCCTGCCATTGCCACCGCCTCTTCTCTCTCTCGCTGCTGCTGCTTCTCATCCTTCTGCTTCTGGTGTTGCTGCTGCTGCTGCTGCTGCTGCTGCTGCTGCTGCTGCGCCTGCTGTTCTTGTTGCTTCTGTGCCGTCTTCAAACCCTCCGCTGATGCTGCAGCTGTAGCAGACGCAGCAACACCACCAGCAGCAACGCTATCCAGGCGCCAAGACACCAACGACTCTGCGGCAATCCCCCGCCCTGCCTCATCCCCTCTCACCCTTCCACCTCCACCTCCTTCTCCTCCTCCTTCTGCTTCCCTCGCTATACTCACCCCCGCCCCGTCATTGTCACGCCTCGATTCAGCGGGACCACCTCCGAAGCAGCAGAGAAAACCACCGCCTCGACCCGACCGCCGCCTTCTCCCTGCCTTCTCATCTGCTCCTGCCTTCTCCCCCTCCCCGTCCTCCGTTCCCCTCTCCTCCCTGCCTTCTCCCGGCCTCTGCTCTTGCACCTTCCCCCGCGCCTGCGCCTGCTCCTGCGTCTGTGTCTGCGCCTGCGACATCGCCTCTGACTGCCCCTGCGCCTGCGCCTGCACTTGCTCCGCCTCCGCCCTGCGGAACGGGTGTGTGAGCGCGGAGCTAACGAAACCGGGGGACGATCTCAGCGGGCAGTACGGCGCGAGGCGCATTCCCCCGTCCGCCTCCCCGCTTCCGTTTTCCGTGTCGTTTCCGCCAGCCGCATCTCCGCAAGTCGGCGCATTTCCGCCAGGCAGGCGCTCGCCGTGGTCCCCCGCAAAAGGGTCGTTCGCCGCAATGCACGCGCCGTGGATCCTCACTACCGCCGTCCACCGCCGCCCGGTCCTTCCGCTGCCGATGGTTCTTGCACCTCCGCCAGGCCTCGCGCCTCCGCTAATCCCCCCGCCTCCGCCACCGGCGCCGGAGACAGTCCCGGGTGTGACGGCGGAGGCGGCGGCGTCGCCGTCGTCCCCGTCGTTCTCGCCGGTTCTCATTCCTGGCTTGCTGGTGGGAAGCTGCACGCAGCGGGAGGTGGTTTCGCCGCCCCCCTGGCTGTCGCGTACTCACGCCTAGCCTACTGTGCTTTAGGAAGTTGATCGAGTTAGCAACGGTGCTCCGCAAAGAGGAATATCTGCGGCGTCGGTTGAACACACTGCTTTGTACTAAAGCTCAATATTATGTTACGGGAGGAAGAGTCTTGCTGGACAAACGGGGACTGACCGCTCTGATATGCTAGACGTCCCTTTTCGCGAGTTATTCAGACAAAACAGCGACTAACTACTGCCCCTCCCGACGATGGTGGTGAGGTGAGGTTCTGCCTTGGCAGACGCGATCCGCTTCCGACAATCCAAGCATCCCTATCCGCGCGCAAAAATGCTTCCCAAACCGCGTTTGAGGCTGCTCAGGTTTCTGGGGCTATTATATATGCGGTCACAAACATCTGCTTGTTATCACAAAAAGTTTCTCGGCTATCGCAAACGGTCACAGAATCAAGAGAGCTATCATGGATGGTCACCAAAATTCGGGATTCTATCACGGATAGTCACAAGCTGCCCCACAAACTTATCACGTTTCGTCACAAGACGAAACGTGCGGTGTAAAAGCTGTAACGGCCTTAAACTGTAGAGATTTAGGGACATTTAACTGGCGACTGGTTTTGTCATACATGCGTAGTCTGGTTATTTCCGTAGCGAGTCGCGGAGGCAAAGGTTACAAGAAATTGCAAGCTTAAATAATAAAATAAAAAGACTAAAACCCATTCGGATGGCATGCCATTCGAGGGGGCATCAACCCTAAACACCAGACGACAAGGGGTCTGGGGTCTGGGGTCTGGGTTATTTGATTGGGTGTCTTGATGGGGTTTTTATTCTGTATGTGCTTTTAGGATCTGGGTGTCTTGATGGGGTTTTTTATGTGTGTGCATTTAAGAAACTCGTGAAAACCTCTCATTTTACTAAACATGAGACGACAAGGTGTTTATCGTTGATATAGATAAAAAAACGGACGGTTTTAATTATGCAAAAAAAGATTATGCTGTTTTTAGCAGGCTATGTCAATTTTTTCTCGGTTTGGGGGGCTTTGATTCGCGACTCGCTGGGGGTGTAAATAAGCTGCGGGAATAAGACAATTTTTTCGAGCTGGCGAAAGTAGTCGCGAACTTTTTTCGAAGGTAACAGTTTTCTCGCGCGCAAGATAACTTTCCCCAAATCTCTACAGTTAATGGTGTAATTTCAACTCTCCTTTGAGCGTTTCATTGTGTGACCATACGTGATAGAGTCGTGGGGCAGCTTGTGACTCTCCGTGATAGAATTCCAGATTTTGTGATCATCCGTGATAGATTCCTAGATTCTGTGACCGTTCGCGATAGCCGGTAGAACATTCGTGATAACAAGCCAGTGTTTGTGACTGGCTATATAATTTCCCCAGATTTCTGGGCCGTGGAGGTTGTGCACGAAAGATTGTGCAGGTAGTGCACGAATGTTGTTTTGGCCGGACGAACCGTAACCAGAACTAGCGAGTGGCGTGTTGGAGAAATGGAGGAAAATTACTGGTTGACGAAGCTTTTGAGGTGCTTATCCAATGCGCTTCACATTTTATGAACGAATGGATATCGACCACGTAGCTGAAATTCAACCAATAAAGGTCCTCCAGTTCCTCAACAAAGATGAAGACGAAAAACATACGATTCCATACAGTTTTCGAGCATTAGCTGCTATCGAAGTGCCTCTTGGTGAGGACACAATACAGGCAAAGCCAGTAATTGTCCCTGCGAAATTATCAGCAGGTCAAACTCCCGGAGAATTAGGTAATTCCTCCTCACCTTCGTTGGTTCGCCAGTTATGGATATCCAGTCGTGAATCCGGGATCGAGTGGACCGTCGTGCATGGCCTGCTGCATCTGTCTATGATCAACAACGTCAAGCCTTGCCTGTTACGCTTGAAAACACCAGGAAGCGGTTTTTCCCTGACAGACTTATTTTCGACCGTTCCTATCGCAAGAATGAACCAGCTGAGCCCTTTGAACCTCGAGCCGCCAGAGAAGCCGCTTCCAGGTGACTGCTGCGGTAGCGGTTGCAGCCCGTGCGTGTGGGAGACCTATTACGAGGAGCTTGAGAAATACAACGCAGCCAAAGCCAAGACTGAAGGCTATTTGAAGGGCGTGAGCCAAAGTATGAGTCAAGCACAGAAAGCGGAGTCATGTATAGCTCCTGGTCAACAAAAATGACGTATAATTGTGAGCCTTTTTCCCAGTACAGAACAGTCTCAATTGTGCTGTTCTGTGACATCTAATCTTCTGTACGGTGCAACAAATGATGTTGACATGCCTTTTTTAAAACACTGACCGTCGCCTTGTTGACTATGTGCTCTAATTCAGGCTGCTTCATGCACAAGTCAAGCAATACTGCTTGAAAGACTAGGGTCCCCAACCTACCAGCTTATGACCAAACAGTCTGAAGCTTCAGAAATCCAAAGCATTGCTTCCCCCGCCTGAGGTACCACATCCAACCGAGCCTCCCCCACTGCTTGGACCTGCTGCTCCCCCTGTGGCATCGATGGGGGGTGGGTGTGCTTCCTCCACCACTATCTGTCGCTTCCTGTTCACTGCTCTGAGCACCAGAGTGGTCACAGCTGGCATGCGAGGCACCTGACAGGGGAACATGTCATGAGAGCCGGTGGTATCAATGTGCTGGCAAACGAGGTACTCACAGATATAATTAATAAACCCCAGAATCCAAAACAGCTGATTGTTGTTTTCCTGCCTTGAATCTCGCTTACTGGGGTATTGATATGGACACTGACTCAATGTTGCCATGCAGGACACATTGTTCCCCTGCTTCAAGGTTCCCTGGTTAACAGCCCTGGTACGAGTGATTAATTAATCAAGTTTAAGATGCCATGCCAATGTGCTTACCAGGGAGTTTTGCACGGAGACCTTGCGGATGCGAATGAGACCCAGAGTGTCCTTGTAGTCCGAGATCCCACTGGCCAGCTCTGCATTGTCCTCTGCAGCAGCCAATCACATAAGGATTTATTACAAAATGTGAAAATCTGACTTATAGTTGTTGAAACAGGCACTCAAGGAAGTGCATGCACACATGCGCACCGAGTGGAACGTAGAAAAGGTGATCAGTCTCAGCAGGACATGTGATGACACCAGCACACGATATTGCTCTACTGCCAACACTAGTATGCAATACGAATGTACACTTACACACAACATGTTCTGCTGCACCCCATTCACCACCTCACCTACCTTCCAGAGCCTCCATTGCCAGTACCATCTGCATGCTGCAGTCTCAGCAGCACATTTAAAAATAGGGCACAGTATAAATGTACACATGCACACATGCATGCACACATGCATGCACCCATGCATGCACACATGCATGCACCCATGCATGCACACCATGTTTCCCATTCCGTTCACCAGCTCGCCCATACCTTCCAGAGCCTCCATTGCCAGTACCACGTCTGCTGCATGCTGCAGTCTCCGTCTCAGCTGCACATTCGAGAGCAGCACGCACTACGAATGCTACAAATGTACATGCACACATGCATGAACACCATGTTCCGCACCCCGTTCACCACCTCACCTACCTTCCAGTGCTTCCATCGCCAGCACCACGTCTGCTGCATGCTGCAGTCTCAGCAGCACGTGTGGAGGTATAACTCCTTCATCTCTAGGAACTGTGACGAGGACTGTAACGGGCAAAGTTTGAACGCTGCCCTTCAGCCACTGCAGCCATGCGAGCACCTGCCAGGACTGCGTTGTTGGAAAGGGAGGAATTGGAGAACAATAAATTCATGAAACAGGGTTTCCATTAGAACTGTATAAAACAATTCAATTTAATTGAACGAGGAACTTTTGCGACCATCCCCCCCCCCCCCCCCCCCTGTTTCTTTGCTGGGCTCACCTGCGCATCATTCCCTGATAGCAGCAAAGAGGGAGGAGCTCCCAGAGAATGCACACCAATGCGACCCACCCTTCCTCCAACATCTCCCCCTCCCCCGCCACCTCCTCTTCCTCCTCCTCCTCCTCTTCCCACGCCCCCTAAGCCAGCTCCTGAAGACCCCCCGGGTGCAGGGGGAGCAGCATCTCCTGAACTGTTAGAATCAAGGGATGACAGGAAGCCTGACAAACGGCCAAAAAAGTCGTGGGTGAAACCTGACGTTGGCCCAGAGTCCCCATTCTGCGGCTCTTGCTGTGTGCAGCTGCCCTCTATCCCGGCCCTTAGAGCATCTACCCCCATGGGTACACACGTGCACAGCTGTTGCGCATGCCTTAGCGACGGCCGGGACAGCGGTGTGCGGAGGTCAAACTCGGTGCAGTACGGTACAGACGCACCTACTGCCCCTCCTGATCCCACTCCAGTAAACTGGGGAACCAAGTGCTTATACTGCCACGCTATTCTCAACCCATCATCCCCCCCTCCCCCTTCCCCCACACTTTCTCCTCCTCCGACCCCCCCTGCTCTTCTCTCCTCCTTCGGCCGACCCAGGCCTTGCGCCTCGGAAAGCCCTCCCAGACCTGCCCGGCCCGGACCTGCCTTTCCCTCGGCTGGCGCCGGGAGAGTGGCGAGAAAGGCTTGGGGATCAGGGAGGGGAGAGAGGAGGAGGAGTGGTTGGGAGTGGGAGACGCCTTGAGAGAGGAAGTAGCGGAGGAGGATGAGGTGGAGGGGTGAGAGTGGGTCCTCTAGTAATAGGACGATACCTCCCACTGGGTAGCCCCCCCCTAGGGCTTGTGGTTAGATGGAATGAGAGGGGGGGGAGAGGGGGAAGAGGAGGGGGTGAGGGAAAAGAGGAAGGAGAGTTGAGGGAGCATGAAGGGACAGCCAGGGGGGAGAAGGGGAGAGAGGGGGGAAGCGGAGGAAGGGCAAGTGGGGGGCAGTTTGGGAAAAGGTGGGAGGATAACACGGTTAAGGAAGCCTGAGATATGCATGGTGTGGAGATGAGGTGTTAGGGAGGCAGAGGAAAATGTGCTAGAGGGGAGGTGACTTTTGAGTCGACTAAAAAGTCACCTCGGGAGGCAGGGGAAAATGTGCAAGAGGGGAGATATAAAAGGTGTTTGGGGGAGAGGAAGTCACGCGCACGAGCAGATCCTCGGACATTTTCCAGTGAGCGGCAGTACTTAGGTTCAGGCTAGAGCAAGTAGGAAAAGACTTGCTCTAGCCTGAACCTAAGTACTGCCGCTCACTGGGAAATGTGCAAGAAAGGGAGAGGAATGTGCAGAGAGGAAGAGGAATGTGCCGAGAGGGAGAGGGGCAGTAGAGGTGGAAGTGGAAGTGTGTGTTTGAGGATTTGAGAAGTTTCGGAGACAATAGAAAGTGGAAAGATGAAGAGGCTGACGGACAGGCTGAGTCGACTCAATAAACAAGACTCAAAAGGCAGGCGGAAGGGGCATGTAGGGAGGGCGAGGAGGATATGATCGAGGCCAGCGAGGCCCGACGAGGTGACCAATCGAGCTCCAGCCGCGAACTTTGTTCCGGGAAGAGCGAGCGTCGTTGCTCTGCTTCCTGCCGTTCCCGCCGTTCCTGCTGTGATGCCTGCAGTGGTTCCTGTGATTCCTGTGGTTCCTGCGGCTACTCCTGCATTAATTGCGCTACCAGCTCTTCCGGTCGACGTTATCCCCGCCGTCGCGGGACGCCCTCGGCGAATGAAGCTACTCGCGGCGGCCATGGCGATCGTGGATATCCAAACTGTAAAGTGCTAGATAATTCCGCGTCGCGACTCGACTAATATTACTAGGCAATCCTCTCCCACTCGTTCCGGATCAGGGCGCATTCCTGACCCGGACACCATCCAAATTGTGGCCACGCGGTCTGCAATTTCGAAAATATACAATTGAATGTTGCCACACGCGGCTCGAAGTCTGGACACTTTGGTTTCAGTCGGCCACTGCGTGTGCGACCAGCGTGCACGTCAAATACTGAACTGCGCGATTTTTCAACAAACCAGTGATTTCGTTACACATCATCACCTTTGTCTCTGAAATGTTGGGCTGCGGGCACGTTTCCTCGTTTTGCTGCCCAATCCAATTAAATTGATAATGTACTGCATGTGTTCCGATCAAACAGCCCAAAATTGATTGCCATATATATTTTGCTGTGCCCGACAGTCAGTTCTAGCTGTGGGAAGTTGACGCTAGAGCAAATGTAGTGTCAGTCTCTGATTGGTCGCGAACCCAAACAGCATCTCGATGCCATTGGGCGACGCGCACGACCGCGGTCGCATGCCAGCGTCCGAGTTGGGGCCATGCCTCACACGGACACCATCCTCACCCCAGAAACCCTTCACGTGGGCGAACTTCGGATAGTGTCCAAGCCAGGAATGCGCTCGCATTACGTACGCAGCAGAAGCTGGGTCCGCGAAGAGAAGACCCTATCCGGTAATTGATTGCAGTGCTGCGAAATCAAAACAATTACAAGCAAATAAAAAATTCTAGTTGTGATACTGAAACATACATTCACATCTAAACCACCCATACTGAAGCTTGATAAACCACTCCTATGAGCCAAAGTCACTGTTACTAAATAGTATTCAAGCTTGGCAAAATATCAACATGATATGTGACATGAATGCGTAGACGAGGGAGAAATTGGAATGGTTTTGCTACTAGTGTTATATAGATAGCTACACTACGCATCCACAAATAGAATGACCTGCTACACTTCCAAGAATGAACATAAGAGGGGCTCGCACTCGCATCAACAATCTACAGACTTACGCATTAACAGCATGTTCTGTGATACGCATACCAGGGGAGAACAGCAAACGAGCCACCTGCTGCGCGTCCCTGGGAGTGACCTCTTTGCTCTGCACCTCCTCTCCTCCACTACCACCCGCAACGCAATCCCATTCCATCGGCTCCTGATGAATCACAGCATGAAGCAGCACTGCCCACCATGCTCAATCACCAGATTCACGCACTAATCATACACATCCTCCTCCTCTCTCACCTATGCTCTAGGCATTGACAGCATGTGCTGTGATGCGCATGTCAGGCGAGAACAGCAACCGTGCCACCTGCTGCACATCCCTGGGAGTGACCTCTTCAATGCTCTGCACCTCCTCCACCAGTGCCTCCCATCGGCCTGCTCTGGTTGAATACTCACACAACACTCGTGCCAGCCCTGAATTGCTCCCAAGCAGTTCCTGTTAAAACAGAGACGGGGGACGAGAGGAAGAGGCGCACAGAGATAGGGGAGAAGGGGACCAGCCAAAGTGATCGGAGTGAAAGTTGTTGGTAGAGGGTAATGATGGCAGGTCCACTGTGGGAGTGGCCTCCTCGACGCTCTGCACCTCCTCCATCAGCACCTCCCATCTGCCTGCCTGCGTTGATTACTCACAGTGTACCCGTGCCAAGCCTGAATTGTTGCCCAGCAACTCCTGTTCAGAGAGAGAGGGAGGGAGGAGAACAGAAGGGAGCAGAGAGAGAGAGAGGGGAACAAAGGAGAATGGAGAGACACAAGCTTGACAAGTGTTGGAGGGAGGACGCGAGAGAGAGAAAGTGAGGCAGACAGAAGTCACAAGAGACGATGGCAGAGTGCAAGAGCAAGTGAGGCAGACAGAAGTCACAAGAGACGATGGCAGAGTGCAAGAGCAAGTGAGGCAGACAGAAGTCACAAGAGACGATGGCAGAGTGCAAGAGCAAGTGAGGCAGACAGAAGTCACAAGAGACGATGGCAGAGTGCAAGAGCAAGTGAGGCAGACAGAAGTCACAAGAGACGATCTCGCTCTCTGGCAGCGAGGTCCCTCTCCGGCAGCGAGGTCCCTCTCCGGCAGCGAGGTCCCTCTCTGGCAGCGAGGTCCCTCTCTGGCAGCGAGGTCCCTCTCCGGCAGCGAGGTCCCTCTCCGGCAGCGAGGTCCCTCTCCGGCAGCGAGGTCCCTCTCTGGCAGCGAGGTCCCTCTCTGGCAGCGAGGTCCCTCTCTGGCAGCGAGGTCCCTCTCTGGCAGCGAGGTCCCTCTCTGGCAGCGAGGTCCCTCTCCGGCAGCGAGGTCCCTCTCCGGCAGCGAGGTCCCTCTCTGGCAGCGAGGTCCCTCTCTGGCAGCGAGGTCCCTCTCTGGCAGCGAGGTCCCTCTCTGGCATGTGGACGTGAGCAAGGTCCCTCTCCGGCAGCGAGGTCCCTCTCTGGCAGCGAGGTCCCTCTCTGGCATGTGGACGTGAGCGAGGTCCCTCTCCGGCAGCGAGGTCCCTCTCCGGCAGCGAGGTCCCTCTATGGCAGCGAGGTCCCTCTCTGGCAGCGAGGTCCCTCTCTGGCAGCGAGGTCCCTCTCTGGCATGTGGACGTGAGCGAGGTCCCTCTCTGGCAGCGAGGTCCCTCTCTGGCAGCGAGGTCCCTCTCTGGCAGCGAGGTCCCTCTCTGGCAGCGAGGTCCCTCTCTGGCAGCGAGGTCCCTCTCTGGCAGCGAGGTCCCTCTCTGGCAGCGAGGTCCCTCTCTGGCAGCGAGGTCCCTCTCTGGCAGCGAGGTCCCTCTCTGGCATGTGGACGTGAGCGAGGTCCCTCTCCGGCAGCGAGGTCCCTCTCCGGCAGCGAGGTCCCTCTCTGGCAGCGAGGTCCCTCTCTGGCAGCGAGGTCCCTCTCTGGCAGCGAGGTCCCTCTCCGGCAGCGAGGTCCCTCTCTGGCAGCGAGGTCCCTCTCTGGCATGTGGACGTGAGCGAGGTCCCTCTCCGGCAGCGAGGTCCCTCTCCGGCAGCGAGGTCCCTCTCTGGCAGCGAGGTCCCTCTCTGGCAGCGAGGTCCCTCTCTGGCAGCGAGGTCCCTCTCTGCAGCGAGGTCCCTCTCTGGCAGCGAGGTCCCTCTCTGGCAGCGAGGTCCCTCTCTGGCATGTGGACGTGAGCGAGGTCCCTCTCTGGCAGCGAGGTCCCTCTCTGGCAGCGAGGTCCCTCTCTGGCAGCGAGGTCCCTCTCTGGCAGCGAGGTCCCTCTCTGGCAGCGAGGTCCCTCTCTGGCAGCGAGATCCCTCTCTGGCAGCGAGGTCCCTCTCTGGCAGCGAGGTCCCTCTCTGGCAGCGAGGTCCCTCTCTGGCATGTGGACGTGAGCGAGGTCCCTCTCTGGCAGCGAGGTCCCTCTCTGGCAGCGAGGTCCCTCTCTGGCAGCGAGGTCCCTCTCTGGCAGCGAGGTCCCTCTCTGGCAGCGAGGTCCATCTCTGGCAGCGAGGTCCCTCTCTGGCAGCGAGGTCCCTCTCTGGCAGCGAGGTCCCTCACTGGCATGTGGACGTGAGCGAGATCCCTCTCTGGCATGTGGACGTGGAGCACGTGTGTCGGCCATGTGCTTTTGGGCCGATTCACCAGATGTTTTGAGTCCACTCACAAGTTCTTTGAGTCAACGAGCAAGAGAGGGTAACAAGATGGACTCACAAGGAAGAGAGGGTAACAAGATGGACTCACAAGGAAGAGAGGGTAACAAGATGGACTCACAAGGAAGAGAGGGTAACAAGATGGACTCACAAGGAAGAGAGGGTAACAAGATGGACTCACAAGGAAGAGAGGGTAACAAGATGGACTCACAAGGAAGAGAGGGTAACAAGATGGACTCACAAGGAAGAGAGGGTAACAAGATGGACTCACAAGGAAGAGAGGGTAACAAGATGGACTCACAAGGAAGAGAGGGTAACAAGATGGACTCACAAGGAAGAGAGGGTAACAAGATGGACTCACAAGGAAGAGAGGGTAACAAGATGGACTCACAAGGAAGAGAGGGTAACAAGATGGACTCACAAGGAAGAGAGGGTAACAAGATGGACTCACAAGGAAGAGAGGGTAACAAGATGGACTCACAAGGAAGAGAGGGTAACAAGATGGACTCACAAGGAAGAGAGGGTAACAAGATGGACTCACAAGGAAGAGAGGGTAACAAGATGGACTCACAAGGAAGAGAGGGTAACAAGATGGACTCACAAGGAAGAGAGGGTAACAAGATGGACTCACAAGGAAGAGAGGGTAACAAGATGGACTCACAAGGAAGAGAGGGTAACAAGATGGACTCACAAGGAAGAGAGGGTAACAAGATGGACTCACAAGGAAGAGAGGGTAACAAGATGGACTCACAAGGAAGAGAGGGTAACAAGATGGACTCACAAGGAAGAGAGGGTAACAAGATGGACTCACAAGGAAGAGAGGGTAACAAGATGGACTCACAAGGAAGAGAGGGTAACAAGATGGACTCACAAGGAAGCCGACCCGAAGGGATTTGCGGACGCGAGCGAGGTCGCTCTCTGGCACGCGTGTGTCTGCCATGTGCTGCAGCTGCTCCTGTAGCGCTGTCGCCACTGCATCGGTGGTGCCGCCTGTGGGGAATGGAAAGGGTGAATCAGAGGGGGGGTGGGAGAATGAGGGGAATACGAGCGGGGTCATTCTCAAGCACGCATGTTGCATGGAATGCTTTGAGACTTTGAGAGCAGGAAGACACTTTGAGACGTCTCAACACTGAGCATTCCATGTGCGCAGAGGGGCATGGGGTGTTACTGAGGGGAGGGGAGGATGAGATTAGGAAGAGACTGGGTCGCTTGTCCCCATGGCAGGTCTCTATGGCACTGGCTGAAAGTAGGAAGAGCCTTTGAGACGTCTCAAGACATGGTATCATGTGAGCAGAGGTGTATGGTGAGGAGGGTGTTTGTTACCGAGAGGGGGGAAGGCTGAGAGCAGGAAAAGACTGGGTCGCTTATCCCCAGGGTAGGTCTCTGTAGCACTGGCTGAGAGGGCTTTGCCTGGCAGCACTAGGTTCTGAGAAAGAGGGGGAGGGAACGAGGAGAGCAGGGAGAGAGGAGTGAACAACTTGCTGGTACAAAGAGACGGTACAACGAAACACAAAGGAATGAACAAACGAATGAAACAATGAAGAGGCTACTACTGAGTCGACATAAAAGAATTAAGGAACCTTACATTCTTTGTAGACAAAAGAAGACCAATCGTACTTTGTAGAGGCGGGAGGAGCGAGAGCCGTAGAGCAGTGAGCTGATGACTGAGATGACTGGATCGTCCACTGATGAAGAGGAGGGACGGAAATAACCTGCAGGCATGCACATGCAGATGTGTTGACCCATAATAGCATGCCAGGGAGAGAAGGAGAGGGTGGAGACACATGGGAGATGAAGGGGAAGAGCGGAGGAGGAGGAGAGATGAGCACGGAGTCACTCAAACCACTGGAAGCAAAAATACCACATTGGCTTGAATAAAGGAAGGGTGGAAAAACGGCTTTTTGCACACACGTTTGTAATACATTGGGTATTCGCACCCTCAAAGTGTTGTACCTTCGAAATACAGCGGGTTAGCGCTCACACTCATCCTCATCTCCCTCTCCTCCCCCACAGCCGCAGCCGCCATTCTTGCCGCCTCCCACCCCTCTTCTCTGCTCCCTGATCGCCAGGCGCGAGAGGTGGAAGAGGAGGAGGAGGAGGTGAGGTTGAGAGAGGGACTGGTGGAGGAGAGAGGTGGGGAGGAGGAGAGAGGGAGTGGGAAAGCCGAGGCGAGGAGGAGAGGAGAGGAGGAGGAGGCGAGGGAGAAGGGGAGGGATGGGATGGGTTGTGAGGGAGGGAGAATTGGCTGCCAGGGTGCGAAATACTTGGTTGCCAGCCGCTCCACCTCTGCTGCTGACACATCCCCCACCTGCCATGCAACCAGGCAAGCAGGCAGCCGACAGGCAGAGACGCGAACACGTAGGTTGAATATCGGAGATAATCACATGAACGCAGCAGGTTGCTGTAGGTTCATGCCACTCATGTGATGCATGCAGTGGCACGCCATCAAGACACTCAAGTACACATAACACCCTATACCACGGCGCATGTGAGCTTATCAGGCGTGTAGTGCTGATAATTGGGTGTGCTATGGCATGTGAGCCATACCATGGCGCATGTGAGCTTGTCAGTGGGCATGCATGCATGCATGTGTCATGCCATACCACGGCGCATGTGAGCTTGTCAGTGGGCATGCATGTATGCATGTGTCATGCCATACCACGGCGCATGTGAGCTTGTCAGGTGTGTAGTGCTGCTGGAAAAACGCCTCCACTTCCTTCCTTCCTATGCGATCAAAATCAGACGCTGGCAGAGAGGGACAGAAAGTGGGAGAGAAGAGAGGGGGAGCAGGCACAACGAGAGGCAGGCAGGTTAGTAATAAGACTGTATCTTAGAAAATGCAGGAAGGGGCACTGAGGTAAAACGACTCATAGGCACAGCCATGCCATACATACATGTACTAAGACATATACTTTTGTAGATACAATGAGACACATACGGTATCCGATGGTAGGGCGACCGTAGGGGCTGTTGGGAAACGCCCACTGAGCAAAGGCCTCTGTGAAGCGGCCGTATGGAGTGTTGTCTATGCGCAGTCGCCTCTCTTCCCTTACAACCTGCCATGGTTGGGTGTGGTGCAATGTGGTTGGGAGCAGCGTGATGTGGTTGAGTGCGGTGCAGCGAAGTTGATACGGGGTTATGGGATCTACTAAGAGGAAACAGCCCACTCAGTGAAGGCCTCAGTGAAGCGGGTATATACACTGTTGTCCATGCACAACCGCCTCTCCTGCTCACCGCCTCTCCTGATGTAATGTTGTGGTGCAATGTTGTGGTGTAATGTTGTGGTGTAATGTTGTGGTGTAATGTTGTGCGGTTAGGTGCGGTGTTGTGTGGCTGGTTGCGGTGCAGCAAGGTTGACATGGGTGCATTCCTACTGAGAGGTAAAGGCCTTAATTTCTGCCTATTCACATTTGCCCCCACCCACATGCGTGAGTGTGCACGTGCATGCGTGGGTGTGCACATTCCCCCCACCTCCCTCCCCCTCACCTCCTTCTCGCTGTACAGCTCGCGGAACACAGGCGCCACCAGGAAGCGACCGCTCTCAAACGTTGAAGACTCATTGTCACCTACCTCCCACTTCACCCCCCTCCCGCACTCTCACCTCCTTCTCACTGTACAGCCCGCGGAACACGGGGGCAAGCAACCAGCCGCTCTCAACCACTCTGGACTCCTTGTCACCTGGCACCTTCATTTCCTTCCCCTCTTCACCTCCCGCACTCTCACCTCCTTCTCACTGTACAGCTCGCGGAACACGGGGGCAAGGAACCGGCCGCTCTCGAGGGCCATCCAAAGCTCCAGCTTGTTGGCGGGCAGAGAGACGAAGTACTCTGTGGGGGGGAGCAAAAGAAGAGGGAGGCAGGTTGAGATGTGGGGACGAAGGGAGGCAGGTTGGGATGTGGGGACGAAGGGAGGCAGGTTGGGATGTGGGGACGAAGGGAGGCAGGTTGGGATGTGGGGACGAAGGGAGGCAGGTTGGGATGTGGGGACGAAGGGAGGCAGGTTGGGATGTGGGGACGAAGGGAGGCAGGTTGGGATGTGGGGACGAAGGGAGGCAGGTTGGGATGTGGGGACGAAGGGAGGCAGGTTGGGATGTGGGGACGAAGGGAGGCAGGTTGGGATGTGGGGACGAAGGGAGGCAGGTTGGGATGTGGGGACGAAGGGAGGCAGGTTGGGATGTGGGGACGAAGGGAGGCAGGTTGGGATGTGGGGACGAAGGGAGGCAGGTTGGGATGTGGGGACGAAGGGAGGCAGGTTGGGATGTGGGGACGAAGGGAGGCAGGTTGGGATGTGGGGACGAAGGGAGGCAGGTTGGGATGTGGGGACGAAGGGAGGCAGGTTGGGATGTGGGGACGAAGGGAGGCAGGTTGGGATGTGGGGACGAAGGGAGGCAGGTTGGGATGTGGGGACGAAGGGAGGCAGGTTGGGATGTGGGGACGAAGGGAGGCAGGTTGGGATGTGGGGACGAAGGGAGGCAGGTTGGGATGTGGGGACGAAGGGAGGCAGGTTGGGATGTGGGGACGAAGAAGGGAGGCAGGTTGGGATGTGGGGACGAAGGGAGGCAGGTTGGGATGTGGGGACGAAGGGAGGCAGGTTGGGATGTGGGGACGAAGGGAGGCAGGTTGGGATGTGGGGACGAAGGGAGGCAGGTTGGGATGTGGGGACGAAGGGAGGCAGGTTGGGATGTGGGGACGAAGGGAGGCAGGTTGGGATGTGGGGACGAAGGGAGGCAGGTTGGGATGTGGGGACGAAGGGAGGCAGGTTGGGATGTGGGGACGAAGGGAGGCAGGTTGGGATGTGGGGACGAAGGGAGGCAGGTTGGGATGTGGGGACGAAGGGAGGCAGGTTGGGATGTGGGGACGAAGGGAGGCAGGTTGGGATGTGGGGACGAAGGGAGGCAGGTTGGGATGTGGGGACGAAGAAGGGAGGCAGGTTGGGATGTGGGGACGAAGGGAGGCAGGTTGGGATGTGGGGACGAAGGGAGGCAGGTTGGGATGTGGGGACGAAGGGAGGCAGGTTGGGATGTGGGGACGAAGGGAGGCAGGTTGGGATGTGGGGACGAAGGGAGGCAGGTTGGGATGTGGGGACGAAGGGAGGCAGGTTGGGATGTGGGGACGAAGGGAGGCAGGTTGGGATGTGGGGACGAAGGGAGGCAGGTTGGGATGTGGGGACGAAGGGAGGCAGGTTGGGATGTGGGGACGAAGGGAGGCAGGTTGGGATGTGGGGACGAAGGGAGGCAGGTTGGGATGTGGGGACGAAGGGAGGCAGGTTGGGATGTGGGGACGAAGGGAGGCAGGTTGGGATGTGGGGACGAAGGGAGGCAGGTTGGGATGTGGGGACGAAGAAGGGAGGCAGGTTGGGATGTGGGGACGAAGGGAGGCAGGTTGGGATGTGGGGACGAAGGGAGGCAGGTTGGGATGTGGGGACGAAGGGAGGCAGGTTGGGATGTGGGGACGAAGGGAGGCAGGTTGGGATGTGGGGACGAAGGGAGGCAGGTTGGGATGTGGGGACGAAGGGAGGCAGGTTGGGATGTGGGGACGAAGGGAGGCAGGTTGGGATGTGGGGACGAAGGGAGGCAGGTTGGGATGTGGGGACGAAGGGAGGCAGGTTGGGATGTGGGGACGAAGGGAGGCAGGTTGGGATGTGGGGACGAAGGGAGGCAGGTTGGGATGTGGGGACGAAGGGAGGCAGGTTGGGATGTGGGGACGAAGGGAGGCAGGTTGGGATGTGGGGACGAAGGGAGGCAGGTTGGGATGTGGGGACGAAGGGAGGCAGGTTGGGATGTGGGGACGAAGAAGGGAGGCAGGTTGGGATGTGGGGACGAAGGGAGGCAGGTTGGGATGTGGGGACGAAGGGAGGCAGGTTGGGATGTGGGGACGAAGGGAGGCAGGTTGGGATGTGGGGACGAAGGGAGGCAGGTTGGGATGTGGGGACGAAGGGAGGCAGGTTGGGATGTGGGGACGAAGGGAGGCAGGTTGGGATGTGGGGACGAAGGGAGGCAGGTTGGGATGTGGGGACGAAGGGAGGCAGGTTGGGATGTGGGGACGAAGAAGGGAGGCAGGTTGGGATGTGGGGACGAAGGGAGGCAGGTTGGGATGTGGGGACGAAGGGAGGCAGGTTGGGATGTGGGGACGAAGGGAGGCAGGTTGGGATGTGGGGACGAAGGGAGGCAGGTTGGGATGTGGGGACGAAGGGAGGCAGGTTGGGATGTGGGGACGAAGGGAGGCAGGTTGGGATGTGGGGACGAAGGGAGGCAGGTTGGGATGTGGGGACGAAGGGAGGCACTGTTGACGCAAGGGACGGGCCAATTTCAAGGGCTTGAAACCCCTTGCCCCCTCGTTACTAAGAAACGTTTTCTCCAGTACTGCTCACTCCTCTTCGTGTCTCCCTTGTTCCCCTTCTCCCGCTTCTCTCTTCCTCCCTCTTCCCCCCCTCCCACGCACGTGTGGAGTCCTGGCTGGTGGTCGCGTTGAGCCCCACCCCTCTCTTGAACCCACGAATTATCTGCATCTTTTGCTTTTGAGAATTCTCAAAAGTAACCACATGCCCTCTTACTCCCTTTGCCCCCCCCTCCCACCCACACACGTGTGGAATCCTGGCTGGTGGTCGCGTTGATTGAGCCCCACCCCTCTCTTGAAGAAGGCATGTGGTTGAGCCCCACGAATTATTGGCATCTTTCTCAAGCTTGCTCAACCACATGCCCTGCCCCCTTCCTCCCTTTGCACCCCCCTCCCACCCACCCACGCACGTGTGGAATCTTGGCTGGTGGTCGCGTTGAGCCCCACGCCTCCTTCCCGTGACACCAGAGCGCCAAACGCGTTTGGAACAGACAGCTCCGCTGCTTGCTGCTGCAGACGAGCCTGCAGGGCAGCAGAGAGAGGAGTGGAGAAGAAAATACAGGGGCAGCGCGGAGGGGGGAGGGGGGAATAGGTGAGAGTAGGGCAGCTCTTTGCGTTTACCAATCAGAAAAGAACAGACGGTTCCGCCCCCACCAACTGTGTTCGACGAGCCTGAAGGACCAAAACCAAGCAGCAGAAACAAACACAAGAACAACACCAACAACAAGGCCAACGACTCGATAGCTCATGAGCTCAAGGGTTCACTCGAAGAGGGCCGGTTTGGGAACCTTCAGCGTTTGGGCGGACTTGCGCCTTGCTCCTCTAGCCTCTTGAACATGCCCTCTGCTGCTCCTTCAGAGCTCTCACACGACAAGAGACACAGAGACTCAAGAAACTAAGAAGGTGGAACCGAGAGGAAGAGGTCTTTTGGTTTGGAAAAACCAACTCACATGTTCCTACTCCACCCGAGGTGACTTTTGAGTCGACTCAAAACTCACCTCTTTTGGTTTGGAAAAACCAACTCACATGTTCCTACTCCACCCGAGGTGACTTTTGAGTCGACTCAAAACTCACCTCTTTTGGTTTGGAAAAACCAACTCACATGTTCCTACTCCACCCGAGGTGACTTTTGAGTCGACTCAAAACTCACCTCTTTTGGTTTTGAAAAACCAACTCACATGTTCCTACTCCAGCCGCTTGACTGTGCCCTCTGCTATCCTTGACTGTGCCCTCTGCTATCCTTGACTGTGCCCTCTGCTATCCTTGACTGTGCCCTCTGCTATCCTTGACTGTGCCCTCTGCTATCCTTGACTGTCAAGTATCACTCTCAAAAAGCGACTCAAGAGCTCACGCACTGACGAGCCTATTTTAAGAAAGAGATGGAACTGAGAGAGGGGAGTTGGAAGAACCACACTCACAAATTCGTCTCGTCCTCCAGCCGCTTGACTGTGTGCTCTGCTATGCTTACATCATGATTTCAAGGGCCCTCTCACAAAACCTTGAGGACATTCAGCGTTTGCACTCACGAATTCATCCTCCAGCCGCTTCACCGTGCCCTCTGCTGCCCCGCCCTCCCTCGCCTCCTTCAACCCATAGAACGCTGACGGAGGGTGGAGAGAGGCAGGAAAGGGGATGCAAGGGGAGGGGGGAAAAGGGATGAGCGGAGGTGGGGAGGGGATTGGAGGGAGGTCACGTGGTGGAAACTAGGGAGGTGGTTTTGAGACAGAGGCAGTGCTTTTTACCACACACTGCGGCACATTTTCACTTTGAGGCTCACTACACCCCCCCTTCCCCTCCCCCCTTTTTTTAAAGACAAATAACGTTATAATTTCAATTATGAGCCCTCCCTACACGCACCTTCATCTACAAGCTCCAGCAGCCGAGCCTCCTTCTGGGCGTCCCTCGTTCCTATAACGGGCGTGCCTTTAAACGCCAGATGTTCCAATAAATGCGCCACGCCCGTGCACCCATCCGCCTCGTCCGCCGCCCCCACGTCCGCGTACGTGTGGCACGAGACAATCGGCGCCGCCCGCCGCTCCACTACAATCCAACGCATGCCGTTCGCAAGCGTGAACGTGCACACTCGCTCCGATAAGCTATCTAGCGCCGAGCCCACACTCGTCCCCGCTCCCCCGCGCCCCTTCCCCTCAACTCCCCCGCTCTCTTCCCCCTCCACAAACCCTAATCCGTTTCCTCCCCTCCAACTCCTCCCTCCCGGTATCACCAGCCCTGCTGCCGCTGCGCGCTCAGCAATCCCCCCAGCAGCAGCAGCCGCGGCAGCAGCCGCGATAACCTGCCGTCTCGTGACGGACATTCGCTTCTGGGCCTTCCCGGGCTGTTCGGACCCCCTCTCGCGCCCATCTGACCGACCCTCCTTCTCCAACCGACACCCATTTTCCTCTCGGCTCGACTTGTCGTTGCTAATTAAGCTCGCGTTTCGATTTTCTCCTCTCACTGCGCCTTTTGTCTCCGTTATCCGCATTTTCTCCCCCTTGAGCTTTCTCTGTTTCCGCGGAATCTCCCCTAAAGGTTCAGCCGCCTGTTGGCTGGAAGCAGCGCGCGCAGAAAAGGCGGGCGGGCGGAGAGCGGATCGGCGCAATGACGCGCGGGAAGCGACGCGCGGGGAAGCGACGCGGCGGGACAAGGGGACTAAAGCGAACGCGGACGACGCGGAGAAAGGAGATTTGTCCGCCGCGCCCGTTCCGCTGTAACGGAGACACGGCGACGCCGCGCGAAACGCGCGCGCGGCGAGCTCTGCGGAAGCCGTCATGGCTTCTCCGGAGAGAACACGGCGAGCTGGACAGGCGACGGCGACGAGAGAACACGGCAGTTTCGGCGACAATGATGTGGGGCGTGACCACGGTACACTGTTCAGCGACTTTTAGCGGCTAGCACATAGCAGTACCGTTCAGAACTCAGACAGATCTACGGCATAAATATGACCCCCAAAACCCTGTTCGTACCTTCACTGTCGTACCTTCGTACATTCTAAAACTGGAGTCCTGGCCCAGCGTGTCTGGGCTCAGTTCGCCCTGCGAAGCGCAAAGAAGATCGTACCGGATTTGCACTTGAAATTTTGAAACCGAAACCGAAACCGAACACATTTTGAAGCAACAAAACCAGCGATACAATGTAGTCTGACAACAGAGCTTGCTTGTGCAAGACGAAACATTTTGCTTTCATGAGGAAGTTTTACTGGAGCTTGTTAAGGTGACCAAAAGGTGCCTAAACGTAATGAATGGAGCAAAAGCAGGGAGATTCCAGAGGGGTCTAACCACAAAGCCCCCTGAAACCAGAAATTGGTAGGCATTAAGCAAGCACCACAATCAAGAAGATGTGACGTTAGTAACTATCAATGAGCGGAGTGACTTGACTAGCAATGATGATGAGGGGAGACGATGATGCATCACTTGCACTCCTCGATGCTCCCATCCCATGATCTTCCCGATTTTCTTGCATTCCTTCTATCCCTTCCATATCTCTCCATCAAATCACCAACTACAGTACCTCTGCCATCCACCACTTTATCCACGCTCCAGCCCTCCCTCCAAATCCCTCGTTATTCATTCCTTCGTGCATTAAGACCGAAACACAGACCAGCCCTGTATCTTGCATTGCAAGTCCTGCCGTCACATCCACCCCTCCTCTTCCACCACCTCCTTTGGTCCCTCCCCGCCTGCCCAAGATCAGCAGCTGCACTACCGCTGGGGGGGAATGGGCAGCTGGGGGCGGGCCTCTAGCATCTCGTACTGTAGCACAAAGTTATCCTGAAGGCGTGAGGTTTGGGGGGGTTGCGGGGTGGGTAGTAGAGAGTGTTGGAAATGCAGTGTGTTGGAGCAGGGAATCAAGAGGTGGATACGGGCCTCTAGCATCTCGCACAATAGCACAAAGTTGTCTCCTGTCCAGAACATGTGGAGTGTGAGCGGGAAGGTGGGTAGCAAGAAGCGGGCAAGATGAGGTAAGCAGGAAAGAGTGGGAAAGGAGTTGATAGCTCTGAATAGGCCTATTGCATCTCGTACTGTAGCACACAGTGGTACTGAAAATACAGGGAGGGCGCAGTGGGGAGGAGGGGGTTAGATTGACCGAGAGAGGGGACAGGGCGAGTCGGCATGATGTCACAAGTAGGGATGAATCAATCCTTCAGGATGAATCAAGTAGGCATGATTTCGTATGCTTTCGTCCCACTTCCACATTTTGCTTCTGCCCTGACTCCCAGCTCTCACCGCCTTTCCTTCCCCCACCCCATCACCCACCTTATTGCCAGTCTTTCATACAGTGGCTCAAAAAAGTGGTAGGAACCCGCTTGAACGTGGGTGGGGGTCTTTACCACTGACTCGCTGTGGAATAATTTAATGCTCTAACTTCTTTCTCCTTTTACCCACACACACCTCCCTCCCTTCCCCGAAACACTCACCTCGCGCCCAGTCTCCTACACAGTGACTTTTGAGGCGCCACAAAAGTCTTCCCCAGAACACTCACATTGCACCCAGTCTCCCACATGGTGGGATCGAAGAAATGGTACGAACCGCGCTCACACGTGGGGGACTTCACCACTAGGAGGGGTGGGGGGAATGCACTCACCCTGTTTCTTGCCCCTGTTTCACCCCACTCACCTCCCCCCCACAATACGCACTTTCCGGCCAGTCTCCCACACGGTGGGGTCAAAGAAGTAGTAGTAGGAGCCGCGCTCTCTCATACGTGGGGGCCTTCACCACCGACCAAGTGCAATCCTCCCTGTCCCTGTCCTTGTCCCTTGCCTCTCCCCACCCAATTCTTGCCTATCTATCCCCCTCAAGCACTCACCTTGCGCCCTGTCTCCCAGACGGTGGGGTCAAAGAAGTAGTAGGAGCCGCGCTCGTACGTGGGGGTCTTCACCACGGGCTCGCTGTTGGGCACACGAGTGAACCACACCTGATGCTCCTTGTGGTAGAACCACCCGCGGTTGCACCTGTGGGGGGCGAGGGAGGAACGAGGAGTGGAATGAGTGAATTGCTTAAAAAGCAGCCCATGCGTGTGAACCACACCTGATGCTCCTTGTGGTAGAACCACCCGCGGTTGCACCTGTGGGGGGAGGTAGGGAGGGGGGGTATGATAGGAAACCACACTCAGGGAGAGACTATTTGCGTGAACCACACCTGGTGCTCTTTGTGATAGAACCACCCACGGTCATTGTATAAGCAACTCAGATCAAAGCACTTGAGCGAACCACACAGAATGTCACGTACTGAACTCCTGTTGTAGCGTTTAATTCCAATTAAAACACGAATTTGCAGCAGGGCATGGCATATACATTACAGGATGGCCTGGGCATGTGCAGGAGAGCACATGGGTGCATGCCAGCCAGAATAGCCCGCCTGTATGCGAAGTGTATGTGTGAAATGAGAGACAAGAGATGTGGAATGCGGGGTGCGAACTTCAGAGCACTCACAGTTCATCAGCAGAGAACAGCTGCGCCTCGTCATGCGGCATGCTGTTGCACAGGCAAGGGGGGGAGGGGGGGGGGAGGAGCACACAGTACACACAGCGAACACAAAAAAAAAACAACATTATGGGGGAGAAGGAGGAGGGGAGGGGTCTTGAGAAATCAAAACAGTTCATCATCAGCAGAGAACAGCTGCGCCTCGTCATGCGGCATGCTGTTGCACAGGCAAGGGGGGAGGGGCAGTACCCAAAGGAAACACAAAAACACAACATACGGGGCGGGAAGGAAGGGAGGGGGGGAGGAGGGGAGGAGTGGAGGGGGGGAAGAGGATGGAAGACGGGGGTTGGGGGGGAGGAAGAGGGGGACAGCATTACGGAGGAAAAGGGGTGACAAGATGGAGGTGAGGAGGTGAGGGGGTGAGGAGGAAGAGGTGGGCGGTGGGAAAAAGGCAGGTGGGCGGTGGGAAAAAGGCAGGTGGGGGCATAAGTTATCGGCTAAGAAACCGCAGCAACAGCAAAGTAGAGAGATGAGCTTGTGTTGCTGGGGCCTGTGCTGCTGGGGCGGGATGAGCTTTGGCCAGGCAACACTGACCCACCCATCCTAAACAGCTAACCATGTAAAGATGCAGCTTCTCGCCATCATTAGAGAACTCTCGGGAGAAAAGAAGGGAGGCAAGACAGGGAGGGTGGAGGCAGAAAAAAATGGAAGGATACATAGAAGAGTGTGTCCTGCTGGATGGGTGTTACAGAGCCTCAAAGCTCAAAGCTTAAAAGTTTTAGCCAATTAACAAAAAAAAGGGAAAAAAAAAGGGTCTTAGAGCTCACCTGTAAAATATATAGAAGAGCGTGTCCTGCTGGAACTTGGAGAAGTAACCCGGCTGCAGTCACACAGTCACGCCGTCACAATCGCAGTCACACAGACAAGACACAGAACAGAGGAGCAAGAGAGGAGGAGAGGGTCAGGGAGAAAGAACACAGAGCGAAGGGGACGGTAAGAGATAGTAGGGGAGAAGGGGTTGAAAGGGAAGAAAGTGGAATGATGAGAGAGGAATGGGGGCTTGACAATACAAACGGAACCAGCAGTAACTGATCTGGATCGAGACGTAGCAGCATGGATTGACCTGCAGATGAGGCGGGGTTGGATGGATGTAGCAAGCCAGCAGGCTGGGCCCCTGTCCAGCTCTAGTCAAACATCCGTCTAAGAATTTCTACATCTATGAGGAGCCTGAGACAGAACCGGCACTGACTGACTGACCTGCAGGCGAGGTGTGGGTTGGATGTAGCAAGCCGGCAGGCTGAACTCCGGCTCAGCTCTCGCCCTTGTCTGCCCTTCTGACTATTCATCTAATCGCACTTGATTACAAGGCACCTGAAGAGACATAGCACTGACTGACCTGCAAGCGAGGTGTGGGTTGGATGTAGCAAGCCGGCAGGCTGAACTCCGGCTCAGCTCTCGCCCTTGTCTGCCCTTCTGACTACTCATCTAATCGCACTTGATTACAAGGCACCTGAAGAGACATAGCACTGACTGACCTGCAAGCGAGGTGTGGGTTGGATGTAGCAAGCCGGCAGGCTGAACTCCGGCTCAGCTCTCGTCGGCCCATCCGCCCACGGCGATGCAAACGTGCGGTACAGATTCTCCCGCGAGTTCAAATTCAGCCCGAGAGTCGTCAGATCAGTCCCCAGCGCCAGCGTCGTCAAATCTGGATCGCTCATCCGAATCACACTGAGCAGCCCCAGCAACCCGTACTTATCTGGCCCTTCTACTCCCTGCTCTTTCCCTGCTCCCACCTGCCCGCTTCCTGCTTGAGCCTGCTGCTGGGGGCCTGTGGGACCAGGAGTGTTGGACCGAGAACCAGGTGCCGAGCCTTGCTGCTCTCCAGCCTTCCCCCCTCCCTGCCCCAACAGAACGTTTCCAGAACCGTCTGCATGCCGCAAATTAGATCCCTCTGCCCCCCGTGCCTGCTCCTCCTGCTGCTGTTGCTGTTGCTGCTGCTGCTGCTGTTGTTGCTGTTGCTGCTGCTGCTGCTGCTGCTGTTTCTGCTGCTGCTGCTGCTGCTGCTGTTGCTGTTGCTGCTGCTGTAGGGAAGGGCTAGGGCTAGCGGAGCGCTGCAGGATAAGCATGGAGCTACTGGGAGCACCTGGTGCATTCAAGGGCGGAGGGGACGAGAGCATGCGCTGATGCTGCTGCTGCTGCCCCTGCTGATGGTGGTGCTGGTGAAACTGGTGAAGATGGGGGTTGTCGTGCAAGCTGAGGTGCTGCAGCTGCTGCTGCTGCTGCTGAAGCATGTCCAAATGGCTTCTGATCGACCCTCCTGCGCCTTGCTGCTGTTGCTGTTGCTGTGCAGAACTGTCTTTGTCCCCTCCGTTGTCCGCTCCCGCTGCAGGAACAAGCAGCAGCACCCAGACGAAAGCAAGCAGAAAGAGAGGGAGAGAGATATACGCAACTAAGAACTTTAAAAAGCTTGATGTTTACATTGCGCCTTGGAATAGCAGCAGAAGCAGCACGTCTATTCACAATCCCGCGAAAGTAGAACAAACACACAAGTGATTCAAGCAAGGCACGCGTACCTTTGAGGCCGGGCAGGGCAGGAAAGTCCTCGTTTTGTATGCTGAACTCCGGCCCTCCTTGGTGTAGCAGCGCGTTTAGTGGAGCCCCTTTCCTTAGCACTGCTGCTGCTGCTGACCCTGCACCTGAGGGAATTGATAAGAGCACAGATGCGGGGTTCAAGGAGAAAGAGTGCGGGAAGGTTAGGGGAGTGTGTCGCTTTTGAGAATTCTCAAAAGCGATTCAGTGGAACCTCTTTCCTCAGCACCGCCGCTGCTGCCGACTCTGCACCTGGTGGGATTGCGAGCAGCAGAGTTGAGAGGTTGAAGGAGCAGCGTTGACGTGAGAGTTGTGTGTGTGAGTGTTGATTAATGGGTGTGGGTGGGAGGCGCAAGAACACACAGCAATTGCAGAAAACAAAGAGAAGGCTCAAGTTGGGGAATGGAGCAGGTAGAGCAGAAGGATGTCTGTTCAAGTACCGACCTGATGCCATCGAGGTGACTTTTGAGTCGACCCAAAAGCCACCTCGTTACAATGGCACTCAAGTTGGGGAATGGAGCAGGTAGAGCAGAAGGATGTCTGTTCAAGAATTACCGACCTGACGCCATGGCCCCACTCCCAGGCGGCCTCGTGTTGAGCGTGGGAAATTCGCTCATGTCAAACGCAGCCCCGTCGCCCTCTCGCTGCTCGCCTCTCCCGCCCAATTGCTCCTGATCCTGCCCTCCCTGCCTCGACTCCTCCCCCTGCTCGCCCTCCCCTTTCGACCCGTCCCGTTTGCCCTCTCCCTGCCCCTGCCCCTGCTTTTGTAGCAACACTGAACCTCCCTGCATCTGCCCCTGCTGCTGCATGTGCTGCTGCTGCTGGTCGAGGAGCAACGAGGAGGGGCCCAGCTGCCCGTTGACTGCCGTCATCTGCTTCGGCTGCTGCAACAGCTGCTGCTGCTGCTGCTGGGACTGCAGGTAACTGTTGCTGGAAAGCATGCCCGCAGGAGTACCAGCTGCACATCAGAGAGGCGGGAGAGAAGTGACTGGATGGTTAAAGCTGGGCAACGGAAATGGATAAGAGCAGACGAATAGGAAAACAGGATAAGTGGACGGAAAGGAGGAGGGAAGGCGTGGGTGTGTGTGTGGACGGAGGTGCGGGGAGGGAGGCGGTCGGAGCTAAGCAGCCTCGCACTCACCGCGATTGATCATAGCCATGACGTCTCCTGACGGCTGGTACGTCGCACCCTGCAACCCCTGCTGCCCCCCCTGCCCTTGCTGCTGCTGTCCAACCCCCACCTGCTGCTGCTGATGATGGTGTTGCCCCTGCGATTGCAACCCTAACGCTAACATGCTGCTGCTGCTGCTGCTGCTGCCTGCTGCTGCTGCCCCTGCCCCTGCCCCTGCCCCTGCCCCTGCCCCTGCCCCTGCCCGGAAATCATTCCTGCTCCCAGCGGCCGCCCAGGCCCCTGCACGCCCACCGCCCCTACACTTCCCCCCAACCCTACCGATCCCAGCGCGCGCGCTCCCCCGACCGTCGACATGCCCAGCGCGCCTGCGGGGTTCATCGCTCGAGACAACCCCGCGCTCGCCCCCGCGCCAGCCCCCGCAGAAAGGCCCATCCCTCCCCCCGCCCCCGCCATGCCCAGCGTCCCGGGCGCGCCTAGTCTCCCTGCGGACCCCGCAATCTGAGACGGGTTCACCCCTAGACCCGCGGACCCGATTGTCCGCTGCCCAGGTACGTTCGCGCTCATTCCGCTCATCCCGCTCATTCCGCTCATTCCGCTCATTCCCCCGGCCGCCGTTGCTACCCCGGGCGCGCCTGCTCCGCCAGATAGTCCACTCATGCTGCCCGCGAAGGGGTGACCGCCTACTAGGCTCACTCCGCTTCCACGGTTGGTCACCGCACCTGTGTGCGCGTGCAGACCTGGGATCTGCTGCTGCTGCTGCGATGGTGTTGGTTGGTGTTAGAAGGTGGTGGTGGTGGTGGTGGTGGTGGTGGTGGTGGTGGTGGTGGTGGTGGTGGTGGTGGTGGTGGTGGTGGTGGTGGTGGTGGTGGTGGTGGTGGTGGTGGTGGTGATGGCAAGAGGAGTTGTTAAAAGAGCGTGGGAGAGGAGCAAAGAGAAACGAACGCGAGAGTTTTGTGTCATGGAAGAACAGAGAGAGAGAGAGAGAGAGAGAGAGAGAGAGAGAGAGAGAGAGAGAGAGAGAGAGAGAGAGAGAGAGAGAGAGAGAGAGAGAGAGAGAGAGAGAGAGAGAGAGAGGGAGGGAGGGAGGGAGGGAGGGAGGGAGGGAGGGAGGGAGGGAGGGAGGGAGGGAGGGAGGGAGGGAGGGAGGGAGGGAGGGAGGGAGGGAGGGAGGGAGGGAGGGAGGGAGGGAGGGAGGGAGGGAGGGAGGGAGAGAGAGAGAGAGAGAGAGAGAGAGAGAGAGCGAGAGAGAGAGAGAGAGAGAGAGAGAGAGAGAGAGGGAGAGAAGAAACAGCGAAAGATGGCGAGAGAAGCCAAAGCGAGAGGGAAAGGCAGAGACACAGGCGGACTAGCACAAGGCGGAGTGAGCCGAGTACATGACAGGCAGGCACGAAACGCCAAGCGCGCCAAGCCAGCCCCACCCTCGCTTCACCTGCCCCGTGCTGGCCGGTGCTTCCCAGAACACCCTAAACGCCTCCGCGCAATGCGAAGTTCTCTCCCCCCGCTCCCTCTTCTCCCCCATTACCCCCTTCGTCTATTTCCCCCTCCCCCCTCCCCTTACCTGCTGCAAGTTGGTAGGGAGCGCGCTGGTGCCGAACCGGCCTGCTGCCATGTTGCCTGCGGAAGGAGGTTGCGCCTGCACGGAGGGCACTCCGCCCATTCCCGTGCCTCTCGTGAGTGCGTTCTGCATACTCTGTATGCTGTACCCCGTCGCTTGAACATTGTGCAACGATTGCAAGTTACCTGATGATAGACGGAGGGGAGAAAAATGGGCAAAATTACAGGAGAGTTCTGCGTACTCCGAATGCTGAAGCCAGTCCCAGCGGAAGGAAAAAAAAAGACACACACACACACACACACAAAAAAAAAAACAGAGACGGAGGCGAACGGAAGGATAACTCAATGCAATCGCAAGTCTACACCACGGAAGAAAAAAACGAATCGACCAGACAGGTGGACGAGAGCTCAGCTTACATCTCATGGAACCTCCCTGGACCTGTGTGTGGCGCTTGTGACTTCGCCGATTCATTAAAAAGCTAGGAAGCCCAGCTTACCTCCGTGATGGAACGCTCCTGGATTTGCTGCTTGTGTCTGTGGCGCTGCAAACGATGATGCGAACTGGCGACTTGAGTTCCCCGAATCAAGCACGGCCGGTGTTGATGTGTTAAGCATCGACTGCTGCAAGGTTATAGAGCAAGTCATTCTCAATCCGTCTGTTAAGAAAACGCACAGAATTGCGAAAACGGCGACGCAAACGGACATCCGCTAGGAAAAACATGGCTTCCAAGTTCCAACAAAAAAATGACAGTCTCAACCCGCGCCGGAAGCGGATGCGACGAGGATACGGAGGTGACCGTGAGAGTGTAGAAGCATACCTCCTTGACAGAGGCATCTTGTCTATAAGGGTAGTACATTGTCGGATCAACGCTGAACATCTACCGGGCATTTCGCTTTCTTCGCAGATCCAGCTTGCCTGAACACATCCCACCAACCACTAAGCATCAGTCGACAGGCGGTAGTCGTTAACCACACCGCATCGGACGCGTGTCAAATTCGCTAACGTAAGGAAACCCCTCAGCTTTCGGAAACAGCGCTGAGCTAGCGTTGGGCGACAATAACCTTCGATGACTTCCGAAAATATCTAGCGTTCCGTTTCAGTCAAGGATCCAGTTTCTGGCTTCTCAGAGAAAAGAAATACTGCCGTTCTGAACAACGCTGCTCAAGACAACCCTTCCTAAATCTGAACCCAACGGACCCGCAATATAGTAAGAGCTTTAAGATGCCTAACGGAGACCAATAAAGGAGCAAATCGCACTCAGTCCTTCAACCATAGGAAACTGTTTGAACAGCTGTGCAGGCGATTGCAGCGACGACTGTGAGTATGAGGACTACTCATCGAGGCCGATGCAAGATGGCTAACGATCGCGATATTAGCGCGTAAATGACGAAGTGTATTTACCTAAAGGAAACACCTCAAAACCGCAGAAACGAGCTCAGCAGCCCAGCTCAAACTTCCTGTGACCTCGTCGCTACCGCAACAAAAAGAAGGTCGCAACAATTAAATTCCTAAGCAAAAAAACAGTGCTATCGGAGATGGAACTAACGGAAGGTTAGCAGTCCATTTTGCGAAAAGAACAGGTTGTCAATGGATGCAGAACGGCCATGATTTGAACAGGTAGGAGGAAGAAAGGAAAAGAAGCAGAAACTGTGGATTTGGTAACCCTAGCTTTTATCCTCACTGCTCCACAAGCAGCAATCGAAATCACGAATCACGTGCCACCCGAAGAGAAGAGGCGGAGCGAGGCGAAGGAAAAAGGAAGCGGAGAGGATGAGATAGGCTGGGGGGAGAAGAGGAGAGTGGAGGGCTGTCTGCGTATGACGGGCTCGGGCGTAAGCGGGGAGAAGCAGAGTATGCGCGCGGAAAAGGCGGTAGCGGGAACAAGTCTGCGCAACAGGCCAGCTAGGTCAAAAACCGCGATGAGTGGTCGTCGTCAGGCTCTTGTTCTGGAGGCCTCAGCCAAACGCACATTCAAAATCCAGAAAAATGTGATTGTTGAGGAAATTCTACTATCGACAGTTCAGTCAGCGTGAAGCCTTCCTAAAGTGTACAGCGAATGCTATGATTACCCTAATCATCAACTGACAGAATCAGATTCAGCAGAGAAAACCCATCAAGCAATACAGATGTGGACATAAACACAGGCTCTGCTCCAATACAGCATGCTTTACTTGTATCCCTACGCTATTAGTGCAGCTCACCTCACGGATAAGATAAAATCAACCAAGCAGCATTCAGCAGTCATGGATTCCAAGATGTGAAGCAGCAGCAGAGTCAGGTCAGACGGGCAGGAGTGGAGCGCAAGGAAAACAAGAGTCACGACAGGATTTGTGCAGCAGGAAAATGTTCGAGCACAGGGCACTTAGAACAGGCCTGGTGGCTGATACATTGATGGTGCACGGACTTGTTCATTCACTGCCGAGCCTAAGCCATTCTGGGCATCACTCTGTGGCCAGCTCAGTGCTGCAGGACTGAGAGAGCGAGGGGCATGAAGAAAAGCATTTGAGTGGGTGAGGGGATTACTCGGAACAAAGGCTTCTAGAAGCTGTGGGGATTGTGCGAAAACATGAGAGTGCTGAGATGGACGAAGAGAAAATGTGCCACTCTTGCTGCTGTTCCCCAGTAACTGGTTGGTAGGAGCTGCTGGTAGATAATCAAAGCTCCGACTCAGGACAGAGTGATTCTCAGTCTGAACGGCTTGCGGCAATGGCTGAAAAGGACTGGTTCCTTGAGAGAGCAGCGGCTGATACGATGAAGGCAAGGAGTTGAGTGGGTCCGACAAATATAAGGAGGACGAAAAACCAGAAGTGGCCCCAGAGGCGAAGGCAGCTTGCTGCTGCATTTCAGCAGGGCCCATTTGCCAGTTGGTACTTTGCTGTAGTTCAGACACACTGCTGGTACTAGCAGCTGCGGCGACATGTGGCATGTGGTCTGTGTCAGTCTCACAGACCAATCCGCAAGGAGCATTTGTGGAAGGTGGAGAAGATGACATCTGAAGCTCAATGGTCAGCGATACTGGATTCTTGCAAACGGGGCAAAGAGCCAAGGATGGAGAGCACTTGGCACATGAACACACATGAGAACACTCCAGAAGAAGCTGCAAAAACGTGAGGAAAAAAAAAGATATATAATGTATACACATCTGAGAGTCCATTCTCAATCGCACAATACTGTTATGTATATAAAATCGATGGACTCACCACAGTGGCAGGCTGAGACTTGCAGACCATACAGCAGCCATAACTATCATCATCTGTTTCACCTGCACTTGATTCTGACTGCGCATTCGAAAGTTTTGTTGAGCTGTTGCCAATAGCAGAATCAGAAGGTTGACTCTGAACAGGACGGATTGGTTCTGGCTTCGGTTGAGGAACTTGAACTGATCGCGGGTGTGCAACACTCTTTTCCTGCACAGAATAATCAGCACTTCGACCCAACTGATCGGAAGGAATTTCAGGCTTCGGCTTGGAGAGCTTGGGGAAAGCTTCTGATTCAAGAGAAACGGCAATGCCCGTGGTGACCTCCGGGGCCTGAATAGCCCTCTCAGAATGAACAAGAGGTTCAGTTGACTCTGTGTAGTAGGTCTTTCTCATGTACTCAAGGGTCGTCAGAAGATGATGAAATGCTTGTGAACTTAGCAGGTGTGACACTCGGTCGACCCTCACATTCAACATGCTGTAAGCGGGAGAATGTTGTGGGAATAAAGAGGCAACAGGAAGAAAGGCAGGGGGGGGAATAAGTGCAAAATTCATTGAAGGATGAGATGATGGTGGGATGGGGAAGAGCGGAGAAGTGGAACAGGCAGACAGGGATGGGGTGTAGACGCAGATGTGGAAAAAGGGACCCAGATATGTGCTTGCTGAAAAACTTTTGGAAGAAACCAGGAATAAAAAAAATTTGCACAAAAAATGTCTACTGGCTGCTATTTGAATGTCACGATTATGCTACTTACTCGTCTGGAAGGATACTCAGGCCAAAACACAAAATTTCCAGGGCTTGCTCAGACTTGGCAAAATATGAAACATGTGCAGCTGCCTGGAGAAGTTCATCAACAATTGTTGCCCGTGACGCTGATGATACTGCAGTCTCGACAGCATAATTTTGTAAGAGCAGAACGAACAAACAAAAACACTTCTTTTCAGCGATGCAGCGCCAAAAAAAAAAAAAAAAACAACAACAAAAAACAAAAAAACCCACAAGATGGTGTTGCGAGACACGCTCGAAGCAGCCGCCCACTCTGCAGCGGGGAGGTATCACAAGCCATGTCTGAAAAGCAGCCAGACATCGACCCCAGCATAGTCTCGGCTACCTCCACCAGATCCAAGCTGAGACAAGCATGCTAGAAACGAGTCAGCTAACAAGTGCGTACGGAAGGGATTAATACAGCGAGCCTCAAGCACTGTACCTTAAAAGACCTTGCATGGAGCGAACTCCAGCGCGGGTCTTCAAGAGCTTATTTCCACCACTCGCCATATTCAGAGCAGCAGCTATTGCGTGCCTTGAAGGCAGTGACCAGCGAATACTCTCAATCAGAAGCAGCGACGCCAGCTGGATCCATTGAACACACCAGCTAAGATGCAAACAACACCTTCAAACAGAAAACACTAGCGGACAGTAGACCTTGACTTACCCCATGCTGTCCAACATAAACTGACGTTCCTTGATCTTTACCAAGCTCCGCGCAGATTTGTGCTAAGGAAGTGAATGCTAAGGACGGTGGAATACGTGCTTTCATTCCCATAGGCGGGCGTAAGGAGCAAATACATATTTCAGCCTGCAAAAGGTTAAGAAATGGAAAAATCAATTTACTAGCTTCACAACTAAAGAGCAGTTAATACGGGATGGCAGAAAAAACGTACAATTCTTTCAATAACATAGACTGCATACTGGTCCATCACCATTGAAAGCTGCACAGTAACAAACGGAAATCAGTTAGTCACTATAAAAAAACAATGAAATGGAGGAGAGCTTCAGGAGACTTACAATGCTTCCTTTGATGCTTTCCATAACCAACTTCATTTCTTGAGGTCCATAGAGGCACACAAGCTGCCAGACCACCAGACAGGTTGTAAGATAATCTGGTAATGCACCCCTCCTCCTGAATCAGAGCAGATGTCCTTCTAACTAACCATTTTCTGAATTGTAAAGGTACCCCGCTGATCTTTTGAAGAAGTCACCAGCCCCTTGTCACGGGTCAAAAAGCGCACAATGGAGGTGAAGCCACACTCCCCATGAACCACCTCATTCCTCGCATTACTTGCATAGTCAAAAAGCTTTTGCAGGACATAGTTTCCTGACACTGAACAGAGAATGTCAGACAGCAAAGAAATAAGAATACTGCGGACCAATGGCGACGAGTGGTGACTCACAATGTGTTGAGAGCTTTGCCGCATAAGGAGCGAGACTTTCAAGAGCTTGTTTTCCCACCCTAGACCTTCTGGGGTTTCCTGGACGCAAGTGGTAGGCCAGGTGCCTTGACCCCTGGTGGTGTATGAAACGCTAAGGTCAATACCAAATCTTCATGGAAATGAGTACACCATTCATGCAACAACGTACTGTGCGATCATAAGCCATGGCGACGAAGTCATCGTAAGGCTTCAGAGGAGGAACAATGTAACCTTCTTTCAGGTCATCCGGTCGCGTGTTCAACCGCAATCCACTCCCATCAGCACCAGTGACGCTGGGAGGAGGAACATACTCATTCAACCCCCCAATTGAGACAACTCCGCTCCGCCCATAACGAACGATTTCTTTGGGAAACCCTTTGGCGTTCCCAGCTCCAATTAGTAACTGAAACGATTGCCTTTCTTCTCGCAAATAATCATCTTGTGGCTTGACGGATTTAGCTGGAGGTAACGTGCTGGAATAGCTTTCAACAATCTGACGGCAGAAAGGGCATCGGACTCCTTTATCAGCCTGCATGCAACGAGACGTAAAGGACTCACGTTCATGAATGCTCTGGTTGCAGCCATGGCTACTGACAAACAACCACAGAGACTGATTAGCATCAGGACCTTATAAACAGCGGACTGTCTGAGCCTCTGGACGCAATCTGCGCACGCTTTGTGGCGGCAAGGAATGAAGAATAAGTCCGCAGACGTGTCTTCACAACATATCGCACAGAACTCGCCATCAGAACCTTCTGACTTCTCCTCATCAAGCTTCAAAGACGAACGCAAACCATCAACCAAGGAATCGTGCGCCGTCCCTCCCTTAACTCGGGCTTCTTGAGATGCAAGCAATCTGTTCAGGAACGACATGATGCCGGCGGTTCGCTGACCAGCTTGTATTTGCTAAGTTGCTACTCTGGCTTGGAATCTGGTGCTCGATGGTTGTGAATGTGGTGGTGCTGTTGGGGAGGGTAGCAAAGCTGTTCTTATCTGTTGAACTGTACTGCTTCGCCAAAGTGTATTCGAAAAAAATTTGCGACCACCAAATTATTGCTATCTGTTATTTGACACAGCCAGTTTGTGTTCATAACGAAACACCCACTAGGGGAAAAGTATGGAGCTGAACCAGAATGTTCCTACCCTCACTTTCACCTTCTAAGACTTCAAATCTCATTTTTGCCTGTGCCATTCTCACACGAACCACATCCCACCCAGCTCTGCATTTCCGCAATGAGTTCAGGTAATCAGCCGTCAAGTGCGAGTGAGGGAAAGGATGCAACCATGTCAGGTGTTGGCGAAGCGAAGGTCGCAAGCACACCAGATGAAGGCGCTCACGCCGTATTATCATCTGCCCTCATGACCTCCTCCGTTGAGCTCAACACATGGAGTTCCATCAAGTCATTGCGTGGATTGAGCGTATCGACTCCACCGGAATCACCTGTTAGCGCAGCTCTTGCCTTCTCAGAAACATACTGGGTATGTCAACCGCACTTGCTTATATCATCCCTGGCCTCAATTAACAATGACAAAATCCGCAGAAGAGGAACATGCTAACGTACGGGGATAAAGTCCCTGATGGTTTCGTTGACGTTTGGGGAGCAGCCGAGCAGTTTCCGTTGTCATCATCCGTCATCCTTGACAACTTCCCAGCGACTGTTGAGGCTGTTCTAGTGGACAGAAAGTCAGACGCCGAGCTGGTCCTTCTTGAACGCAAAGCAATGTTGATTGACAGTCCACCCAGTCCTTCCGGCGCTCGCACAACTGCAAAACTCGGTTGGCGAGGCACCGCAGTTCGTTTGGCAGAGCTTGTTGCAAACCGTATGGGAGGAACAGCAGACTCTGACCAGTCGCTGCAGTCGGACTGGCGTTCCGTATATTGGAAGATCAAGAGCGCATTTCGGAGTCACTACATTTCACTTGGCTTGATTACTTCTGGATTGATCAGGCACAGGGTCCTCCTCTTTAAGGTATGTCAAACTTACCAGTTGCGTTTTGTTTGAGTGAGCTTCATTGGCACGGTTTGCCTTCCAGGTGCTGGCGGATAAAGTTGGCGTACCTTGCTGCGTTGTCCGTGGTCGATTTTACACTGGCACGAAGGATGATGCAAGGGCCAAGATTCGAGATGAAAATGGTTCAGAATATGTGGTTGATCTAATGAAAGCGCCAGGCCTTTTAGTCCCCGTTGCAAATCTGGAAACGCCTACAATTTCACCGATTGCAAGTCCGGTTGGTGAATATTGTGATGGGGGGACAGAGCTTTTTCCAGCGTTGGTGGCTTCTATGGCGAAATTACAGGGGAATGATGGTACGTGTACAGCAATTCAATTCCTATACTGTAAGCCAGTTAGCCCTAGACTTTGACTCAAAACACCTTTACAGGACCAGGACCTGATTCTCGGAAAACACGTTTTCGGCAAACGCCTCTGAGTGATCAATCTGGTCCTGAAAGTGGATCAGATGTCGGAAGCAGCAGCCCAATGTTCCGTCCTGAAGACAGGAAGAACCGACGCAGATCACCTTCCTGGACGGATGGATGGGGTTCCCCACAAGTTCCCATGCTTGTTGCAGATGTTGCCAAGGAGAATCCAAGATTTGCGCAGAGGCTAAAGGTATGACATACTTTCATCGTTACAGATAAATGCTCGTCATCTGCTCATTTTCTATACTTTCTTTCTCAGGCTGTTCTGCAGTCTCCCGATAAAGAAAAGCGACAGCTGTTTTCAGACAATCAGGTACCAAGTATCATCTTGTGCTCTGTCTTATTCATTCCTGCTTTTTCTTGATGGACTAAAACATCTGTGCAGGCTGTAGAAACAGAGGAAGCGATGCTAGGAGCAGGTAATGCATGAGGGGAAGCTTCAAATCAAGCTAGCTGAACTCTTCATGTGCATTTTTCAACAGAGTGTATGCATGGCAGATCAAACCAACAACGGCGATAATGCCTTGCATTCAGTATGTGAAGACCCAAACGATTTCAGTTTTACAAAAGAGATCAAAATATATACGATGGATGGCTATTTGATTCCAAGGGGAGCAGTGTCACTTGGAGAACGAGTGGGACTAGGTATGTGTTGTGGCCCAAGCAATCAAATATCACATTTTCCATGTTGAAAGAAGGTTTGCCTTGCAGGTTCCTTTGGAGAAGTGTTCAAGGGCGAATGGAATGGCTTTGTACGAACATTTGTTATGGCTTTGCTTTGTCTGTTTGGCAGATGACACTCTGTTAACACTCGCTCTTGGCAGGAGGTGGCTGTGAAGAAGCTGATAGACCAAGAAATTCCAGCGGACGCAGTTGAAGATTTCAAGTCTGAGGTATCAAAACAATTTGGCCGATCCCTTCTTGCATCATCATGATTTGAGTGTACCCAGGATAATCTCACTTTATCCGGTGAACCAGGTTGCTATGATGCATCGGCTGCGTCATCCCAACATTCTGCTTTTTATGGGTGCAATCATTGACCCTCCACATCTGTCAATTGTGACAGAATTTCTCCCGAGGTACGAATGTTGTGTAGCATTCGGTAATTGTCAACCCTCTTGGTGATCTTTTTGGAGTGCCAGGGGAAGTATTTTCCGACTGCTCACAAGGCCAAATGCATCTTCGAGCATGGATGAGCGGCGGCGGTTAAAGATGGCACTAGATGTCGTGAGTTAGTGTTCTTGTTGAATTCCTTTTCACAGTTAATGCAATCTGAGTCTGCGTCCCTTGTCTGCAGGCAAAGGGCATGAATTACCTTCACTGCTGCAACCCTCCTATCGTGCACAGGGACCTCAAATCTCAAAATCTTCTTGTTGATAAGAATTGGGTCGTGAAGGTGAAACATTCATACTATGTGTGTTATTTTTTGGACAGTGAAACATGCAACGACACTGACACAGGTGCCTTATAGGTTTGTGACTTCGGCCTTTCAAAGATCAAGCATCAGACGTATCTCTCGTCAAGGACTGCAGCAGGAACAGTATGTATGACCCATTCTGCTTAATTGTTGATGTATCTGATTTTTTACATCATCTGTCATCATTTGCAGCCAGAGTGGATGGCCCCAGAAGTGCTGCGTAATGAACCTACAAATGAGAAGTAGGTTGGCTTCTTGTGCTCTAGCCACTCCTGCCTGAACCTCTGTCCCCTTTCTCCACTCGTTTCGTGCCGTTTGTTCAGTAAATGTGTGCTTTCTATCTACTTCGAGTTGTTTGTTTTCAGGAGTGATGTTTACAGTTTCGGTGTAGTCCTTTGGGAGCTCTCGACAATGCAACGCCCATGGAGGGGCTTGAACGCCATGCAAGTTGTTGGAGCTGTTGGATTCCAGCAAAGGAGGCTGGATATACCAGCATCAGTTGATCCTGCTGTTTCAGGAATCATCAGAGCTTGCTGGGCAGAGTATGTCCCATAACTTTTTTGAGTTTTCCCCTTCTTGATTCTCGTTTCTAAGGTTCCCATTTTCTCCCAAGCAGGAAACCTTCTGAAAGGCCATCATTTTCACAGATAGTATATGAACTCAAAGCCCTGCATAAAAGGTGGACTTCTCCAGTGAGCCCACGGTCACCTACATGAGCAGAACAATGATGTGCTGGCACTCAAAACCCGCGGGCCAAGAAGTTCAACCTTAGGAAGCTTGGTTGGGGCGAGCAATACAATTAACCAAAGATTTTTTGTGCGAGGGCCACACTCAACCGAAGTTAGGAAGGTTGAACCAATTTGGGCTTTCTTGGCCCTCAGGTTTTAAGCCTATACCCTCCATTGCTCTGCTCTGATGTCTTTTGTTTGGGGGTTGAGCATGTGAATTCTTAGTTGGAATAGCAGACCGTATTACCTTGTCATAACATTGCTGCAAGTGAAGTTACTACTGATGCAAAATGCTCTATGCAGTTGCTGATTCTGGCATTTTGAACCAAACATGATGAGGCACAAGAGACCCCTCGTGCTTTGCCATATATTGAGCATTCATCCTGCAAGGAAACAATGGGCGCATGGACGGACATAATTGAAGTGGGCAAAGGCCATAAAATCAGCTGAGGGAGAGGTTGGGAAGATGGGGACTAACAGTACCACAGGCAGCAGTTAGCTTACTTGTCCACGTCAGGGGCGCGCAGGGGATCGAAGGGTTCTGGGGTCACTCCAGCTGCAAACCCAGAAGCCGGTGCTGCTGCTGCACTTTGTGGTGCTGGTGTTGTGGCGGGGGATGCTGCTGCTGCCGCTGGAGCAGCGTGAGCTTGCGGCCAAGCCTGGCACCACAGTGGAAATAATGCAGATGCAGGGAGTTTCATCCAAATACGACAGTGAGTTATGAGCAGAACAATAAATCCTGGTAGACCCCTCATTCCAGAAGAAAAACGAGAACATATAACACTGCTTCGATTCGAACCCTTTAACGTGTACGTACCTGTTGCTGTCCGTAGCTCCCATAACCTCCATATCCACCATATGAAGCATACGCTCCCTGGTTGTAACCCCCTGAAGCATCGTAGCCGCTGTACCCTCCGTAGTAACCAGTGTTACCAGCACCAGCACCCCAACCACCTGCCGCTGCTGCATTAGGATCATGCTGCTGCTGCGGCTGCTGCCACTGAGAGCCTTGCGAGGGGTATGTCGAGGTGCGCTGTGCAGTAAACCACAAAAAAACAAGGAGACAATGGTCGTTAGCAACACGGAGAGGCATTAGAGTAGTACGAATGGAGATTAAACGAAAATAGAGATGAAACAAGCACACATACGCATACACATGCACATGCACACACACGTACGAATCGAGATGCACATGCAAGAAACATATATAAACCTCGTAACGCATGAGGCAGTGGTACCTTTGAGGCGGGATTGCGCCCCCATGAGAGCCGCACAGACTGCTGCCCAATGACCGTGCCATGCATGTTCCTCAGTGCCTCCTCTGCCTGTGATCTGAAAATGGGTGGGGGAGAGGGAATCAGGACAAAAAGCAGGAAACAACATGGAATTTGCTTCTGAAGTGCCTCAAACCCTGATGCCAGCGGAAAAATGGGGGAAAACAAAAGAAGGGGGGTGGATAAGAAGGGCGGATGATGGTTACTAAACACTAGGTGAATGCAGGAAGGATGGAGTAAGGGCACGACAAATGACCCATGCACCAAAGCACCCATCCATCCATCCATCCATGCTCCCATGCACCCATGCACCCATGCACCCATGCACCCATGCACCCATGCACCCTTGCACCCATGCACCCTTGCACCCATGCACCCTTGCACCCATACACCCATGCACCCTTGCACCCTTGCACCCTTGCACCCATGCACCCATGCACTCTGCACCCACCAGTGTCTGAACTACACGAAGCCACAACCTTTGCTGAAGGGAACCTTCACGTATACCAGCTCGCCCCACTGCTGTAGCAGCCATCATCCGCCCTTTCCAACATGCACCAACCCATCCATGCATCACTGCACCCATCCACCCACCCATGTACAATGCACCCACCGGTGTCTGAACTGCACGAAGCCACAGCCCTTGCCGAAGGGGATCTTCACATATACCAGCTCGCCCCACGGCCCAAACACCGCCCTTAGCTGCTCATCCGTCACACTCTGATCCAACCCTCCCACAAAAATCTGTCATGCAATGAGATGGGCAGTGAACAGGAGAGGAGGAAACAGAAGGTTGCTCCATGGTCGACCGAAACACCAACCAGCTCGCTGCACTGCCCAAACATCGCTCTTAGCTGTGCACTCACAGTGGTGTCAATACAGTCGTCCTCCCCCTGGGCCCATGTGGCTGGAGGCCTGCCCTCGCCCCTCCCGTTCCCCAGCCAACCCACGCCGTTGCTTAATCACCGCGGTGCAACGGCTGAGAATTACGGTCGGCCGATTCAACGTGGTGTTAGTGGGGTCGTCCTCCTCCCCTGGTCCCTGTGGTTGGGGCTGGGGTGGGGGCCTGCTCTCGCCTCCCCCTTGCCTCGAGAATCCTCACATTGCTCACTCACCAGGTGTTAGTGGGGTCATCCTCCCCACCTGGTCCCTGCGACTGGGGCTTGAGGACCACCCTCTCTGCCTCCCTCCCTCCCCTTGCCTCGAGAATCCTCACATTGCTCACTCACCGGGTGTTAGTAAGGTCATCCTCCCCACCTGGTCCCTGCGACTGGGGCTTGAGGACCACCCTCTCTGCCTCCCTCCCTCCCCTTGCCTCGAGAATCCTCACATTGCTCACTCACCGGGTGTTAGTAAGGTCATCCTCCTCCCCTGGTCCCTGCGACTGGGGCTTGAGGACCACCCTCTCTGCCTCCCTCCCTCCCCTTGCCTCGAGAATCCTCACATTGCTCACTCACCGGGTGTTAGTAAGGTCATCCTCCCCACCTGGTCCCTGCGACTGGGGCTTGAGGACCACCCTCTCTGCCTCCCTCCCTCCCCTTGCCTCGAGAATCCTCACATTGCTCACTCACCGGGTGTTAGTAAGGTCATCCTCCTCCCCTGGTCCCTGCGACTGGGGCTTGAGGACCACCCTCTCTGCCTCCCTCCCTCCCCTTGCCTCGAGAATCCTCACATTGCTCACTCACCAGGTGTTAGTGGGGTCGTCCTCCTCCCCTGGTCCCTGCGACTGGGGCTTGAGGACCACCCTCTCTGCCTCCCTCCCTCCCCTTGCCTCGAGAATCCTCACATTGCTCACTCACCAGGTGTTAGTGGGGTCGTCCTCCTCCCCTGGTCCCTGCGACTGGGGCTTGAGGACCACCCTCTCTGCCTCCCTCCCTCCCCTTGCCTCGAGAATCCTCACATTGCTCACTCACCAGGTGTTAGTGGGGTCGTCCTCCTCCCCTGGTCCCTGCGACTGGGGCTTGAGGACCACCCTCTCTGCCTCCCTCCCTCCCCTTGCCTCGAGAATCCTCACATTGCTCACTCACCGGGTGTTAGTAAGGTCATCCTCCCCACCTGGTCCCTGCGACTGGGGCTTGAGGACCACCCTCTCTGCCTCCCTCCCTCCCCTTGCCTCGAGAATCCTCACATTGCTCACTCACCAGGTGTTAGTGGGGTCGTCCTCCTCCCCTGGTCCCTGCGACTGGGGCTTGAGGACCACCCTCTCTGCCTCCCTCCCTCCCCTTGCCTCGAGAATCCTCACATTGCTCACTCACCAGGTGTTAGTGGGGTCGTCCTCCTCCCCTGGTCCCTGCGACTGGGGCTTGAGGACCACCCTCTCTGCCTCCCTCCCTCCCCTTGCCTCGAGAATCCTCACATTGCTCACTCACCAGGTGTTAGTGGGGTCGTCCTCCTCCCCTGGTCCCTGCGACTGGGGCTTGAGGACCACCCTCTCTGCCTCCCTCCCTCCCCTTGCCTCGAGAATCCTCACATTGCTCACTCACCAGGTGTTAGTGGGGTCGTCCTCCTCCCCTGGTCCCTGCGACTGGGGCTTGAGGACCACCCTCTCTGCCTCCCTCCCTCCCCTTGCCTCGAGAATCCTCACATTGCTCACTCACCAGGTGTTAGTGGGGTCGTCCTCCTCCCCTGGTCCCTGCGACTGGGGCTTGAGGACCACCCTCTCTGCCTCCCTCCCTCCCCTTGCCTCGAGAATCCTCACATTGCTCACTCACCAGGTGTTAGTGGGGTCGTCCTCCTCCCCTGGTCCCTGCGACTGGGGCTTGAGGACCACCCTCTCTGCCTCCCTCCCTCCCCTTGCCTCGAGAATCCTCACATTGCTCACTCACCAGGTGTTAGTGGGGTCGTCCTCCTCCCCTGGTCCCTGCGACTGGGGCTTGAGGACCACCCTCTCTGCCTCCCTCCCTCCCCTTGCCTCGAGAATCCTCACATTGCTCACTCACCAGGTGTTAGTGGGGTCGTCCTCCTCCCCTGGTCCCTGCGACTGGGGCTTGAGGACCACCCTCTCTGCCTCCCTCCCTCCCCTTGCCTCGAGAATCCTCACATTGCTCACTCACCAGGTGTTAGTGGGGTCGTCCTCCTCCCCTGGTCCCTGTGGTTGGGGCTGGAGACCCGCCCTCTCCCTCCTTATGCCCCACCAACCCACATACTGCTGAACTTGACTGTTTCCGAAGTGAGAATAACGGTCGGCAAACTCACCGTGGTGTTGGTAGGGTCGTCCTCCCCCCCGGGTCCCTGTGGCTGGGGCTGGGGACCCGTCCTTGCGCCTCCCCCCTGCCCGCCCTGCACGCCAGCTGAAAGGAGGGAGAAATTGGGTGAGGCAAGCAATTGGATGCTTTGGGACGGATGCTCCGGGCTACTTGTAACCAAGGTGCATATCACCGCCAGTTACCAGCTCAACCTTGGTTACCAGCTCAACCTTGGTTACCAGCTCAACCTTGGTTACCAGCCCAACCTTGGTTACCAGCCCATGATGCTCACCAAGGTTGAGCAGGTAACTGGCGATGATGATGTGCATGGGGCGAGAGGAGCACATCATATCCCCACCCTACAGTCATTACTGGTGCTTACCCCTTTCCCCCACGGCTCCCACCGCATTCTACCCCCTCATGCATCATCCTGCCCCTTTATCTGCCCCATCATCCTGCCCCTTTATCTGACCCATCATCCTGCCCCTTTATCTGACACATCATCCTGCCCCTTTATCTGACCCATCATCCTGCCCCTTTATCTGCCCCATCATCCTGCCCCACCCTCCTACCCTTACCCACCCTGCCCCTGAGTTCCAGGCTTGTTGGGGTGGCAACGCTGATGCACATGCAGCGCGAAGAACACATCACACTCCCACCCCACCCCACCGCACTTGACGCACCTTTACCCCTCCCATCCTCAACCTGCCCATGCCGCTCACCTGTCCCCTGTGCTCCGAAGCTCTTGGGAGTGGCGACGCTGATGCGCATGGGGAGAGAAGAGAACAGAGGAGCGCAACACAAAACACACCCACCCTGTCCCATCTTTACTCCCTTCCTGATGCACCCTGTCCCCCCACACATCAACACTGATGCGCCTGGGGCGGGAGGAGGAGAGGAGAGGAGAGGAGAGGAGAGGAGAGGAGAGGAGAGGAGAGGAGAGGAGAGGAGAGGAGAGGAGAGGAGAGGAGAGGAGAGGAGAGGAGAGGAGAGGAGAGGAGAGGAGAGGAGAGGAGAGGAGAGGAGCACATTACACTTCCACCGTACCCCACCGCCGCCCAACATCCATATTTACCCCTCCAGCCCACGGCCTGTCCCATCCTCCTGTCCCATCCTCCCGTCTCATCCTCCTGTCCCATCCTCCCGTCTCATCCTCCTGTCTCATCCTCCTGTCTCATCCTCCTGTCTCATCCTCCTGTCTCATCCTCCTGTCGCATCCTGCCCCATCCTGCCTCATCTCATCCTACCCTCACAACCTTCCCACCCACTCACCTTGCCCAGGAGCTCCGGGTGTCTTGGGAGTGGCGATGCTGATGTGCATGGGGCGGGGGGAGAAGAGAACACACACACCCACCCACCCTAGCCCGCCGCCCTCTGCCCATCTTTTCCCCTTTCCCCACAGTCTGCCGCCTCCTAGCCTGCCCTCACCTTGCCCCGGCGCTCCGGGTTTCTTGGGAGTGGCGACGCTGATGCGCATGGGGGGGGAGGAGGAGAGGAGCACATCACACTCCCACCCGAACCCACAGACCTCTGCCCACATTTACCCCTCCAACCCACAGCCTGCCGCTTCCTGCCCCATCCTGCCTCGTCCTCACCCTGCCCCATCCTGCCTCGCCCTTACCCTGCCCCATCCTGCCTCGCCCTTACCCTGCCCCATCCTGCCTCGCCCTTACCCTGTCCCGGAGCTCCAGGCTTCTTGGGTGTGGCGACGCTGATGCGCATGGGGCGGGAGGAGCACATTGCACACCCACCGACCGTACCGTACCGCACTAGACTCACCTGTACCCATTTCCCCCACAGCCTGTCAATTCCTCTCACCCTGCCCTGGCGCGCCAGGTTTCTTGGGAGTGGCGACGCTGATGCGCATGGGGCGGGAGGAGGAGAGGAGCACATCACACTCCCACCCGAACCCACAGACCTCTGCCCACATTTACCCCTCCAACCCACAGCCTGCCGCTTCCTGCCCCATCCTGCCTCGTCCTCACCCTGCCCCATCCTGCCTCGCCCTTACCCTGCCCCATCCTGCCTCGCCCTTACCCTGCCCCATCCTGCCTCGCCCTTACCCTGTCCCGGAGCTCCAGGCTTCTTGGGAGTGGTGACGCTGATGCGCATGGGGCGGGAGGAGCACATTGCACACCCACCGACCGTACCGTACCGCACTAGACTCACCTGTACCCATTTCCCCCACAGCCTGTCAATTCCTCTCACCCTGCCCTGGCGCGCCAGGTTTCTTGGGAGTGGCGACGCTGATGCGCATGGGGCGGGAGGAGCACATCTGGCCGTTCATCTCGTGCAACGCACGGTCGCGCTCCTCCTCTGAGGAGAATCGCACGAAGCCATAGCCCTTGGTGCGCCCACTCACATTGTCCACCACCACCTGTTGAATAGCGGCGGGGGGAGGGAAGGGGGGGGGAGGAAAAGGAGTGGGGGAAGGGGTTATTTTGGGGAGGAGGGGGGGAAGGGTAAGGGGGGGTTAAGTCCTCTGAGGAGAATCGCACGAAGCCATACCGCTTGGTGTGCCCGCTCATGTTGCCCACCACCACCTGATGCAGGGAAGAGGAGAAACGAGAGGCGGGGGTAGCACAATATCTCACAGAGCAAGGCAGACATATTAAAAGTTCACAATGCCTCATAATGTCTACAGACAGGGCCCACTTCTTATAATGTTCTGCCCACTTCTTTCCCCGCAACAAACCCTCGCCTTCCCTGTTCCTAGGGCCCCCCTTTTCGCACCACCTCACCTCGCCCCTCGACACACCCTCTCACCTTATACCCAAAGCCCAAACACAGAACCCCACCCCCCTCCCCTATTCCGTACTCATCCCTCACTTACCTTGGCGTTTATAACAGAGCCATAGCTGTGGGAAATGAGAGTTAGGACTGAAATTGATGCTTGGATTGAGAATGAAGGGGGGTATACATAGGAGGGGGTTGGATACTAGCCTAAGTTGGCATTATTGGACCCCAACCAAGAAGTGGGGTTGGGTGATTATTGGTGGGGTCCAATAATGTTGGCCAAGGTTGGGGTTGAGGCAACATTATTGGAGGGGGCCAATAATTCTACCCAACCCAACCTTTTGGGGTCCAATAATTGGACCAAGGTTGGGTTCCAACCTACAAACTGGGTTACTCCTGTTTGTACACCCAAACTAAGTTTGGGTGCTTAACTCTAGCCTATCCTATAGCATATATGCAGGTTACAAGAGGAGATATTCTAACAATAGCAGCAGCAGCAGAAGGTCTATCAGAGCAAAAACCTAGACCCCGAACCCTAAACCCCAGACCTGAAACCCTTTTCCTGCCCTCACCTTGGCGCCTCTCACGGAGCCGTAGCGGCAGCGGAAGGTCTCGCAGAGCAGATAGTCGTTCACGTCTGGGGCCAGGTCGCCCACGAATATGGAGAACTCCTGCCCGTCCGCTGGGCGGCCGCCACTGGTGTGCAGGGTGATCGGGGATGTGGGGGGTTGGTGGGGGGAAGGGTGATAGGGGAAAAGAAGAGCAGATAGTCGTTCACGTCTGCAGCGAGGCCGCCCACGAATATGGAGAACTCCTGCCCGTCTGCTGGCCGCCCACCACTGATACGTGGAGAGAGGAGGGGGATGTGGGGGGGAGGGCGATGGGGGGAGAGCAGACAGGAAGCAGATCCCGGGCCAAGGACAAGGTCAAACAGAGCAGCTAGTCGTTCACGGCTGGAGCGCAGTCGCCCACGAATATAGAGAACTCCTGCCCGTCTGCTGGGCGACGGCCACTGGTATGGGGGGACGCAGCGCAGGGACAGAGGGGAAGGTGGGGCGGGCGCGGGAGATGGAAGACGACAGGAGTTGGCGAGGCACGGAGAAGCTGTTGGTACGACCGGTGGTGCTGGCAGGCAGGGCGGTGAAGAAATGGACAATGGTAACGATAGGGCATTCCAGGGCAGTAACGATACGTGCAGTACAGCGAGTAGAGCATTTCCACTTCTCATTGTCCCTCTCCCCTCGTCCCCTCCTCCTCAACTCTCCCCCCCCCCCCCCCCCCCCCCCCCCCCCCCCCCCCCCCCCCCCCCCCCCCCCCCCTCGCCCCTTATCCCACGCGCCAAACGTGGCCCAGTTGATGCGAAAGGGCTGTTGCTCGGCCTGGGGCATGGGCGTGCCCTGGTAGGCCGCTAGCGCCTGCTGTGCTTTCAAGTGCCTCCACCCCACCCACGCACCCCGCCCCACCCATATCACATGCACTCCCCTGGCACACCCCTTTTCCCCCCACTCCACCTCCCCCCACCCACACTCACCCCTTATCCCCGGCGCCGAACGCGGCCCAGTTGATGCGGAAGGGCTGTTGCTCGGCCTGGGGAATGGGCGTACCCTGGTAGGTCGCTAGCGCCTGATGTGTTGTGAAGGCCTGTCACCCCCACACCTCGCCCCACCCATACCCAACGCAATTCCACATCCCTGTCCCCCCACACTCACCCTTTTTCCCCAGCGCCAAACGCGGCCCAGTTGATGCGAAACGGCTGCTGCTCCGCCTGAGGCATGGGCGTGCCCTGGTAGGCCGCTAGCGCCTGCTGCGCTGCTGCATGAGTTGTGAACTCCACGAACCCGTACCCCTCGGGCTGCCCTGTTGCCCTGTTGCGAATTATCTTCGCATTTGCAACCTTTGGGAATGAACAGTGGGGGAAGTAGCATTGTATAGGGGGGGAGGAAGCGGGTTTTGGGGGGGGGGTTAACTAAATAGCAGTTCAAATGAGCTCCACTAACTTTTACTCCTCCGGCTGCCCGTCCAATTTTGCAAATCATTGCGAGAGGGATCTTATAGAAATTATGAAACGCTTGGACACCTAAAGACCTCGTACGTGGCAGAAAAGGTAAATCTCGTTCATAGTACCGAACCTTTCTATTTTATATTATTGTATTACCGAAACGTTTCTAGAGGTCGATGGAATACCGACTGGCGCCGCCTGTGGAACGAAAAGTCCCATCGATGGAACGCGTTCTAAAGAATACGCCTCGACCATCCAGTACTAGAGGTCTCTGAGAGAAATATTATTAATTTATGACAATTTATCGCCTATAACACCCACAATTTCCCGTCCATCCGCTACTGCTAAATACTAGACTACCGAATACGACATATATTTCTTGAGGTCAATGGCACGCCGACTGACCTGGCCCGTGGACGCGAACGCGCTCCAAAGGTAAGTCTCGTCCATCCAGTACTGCAGATCGCCCACCCACAACGTCCGCGGCTCATCCGCTCCACCTGCGCCGGCGCCGGCCGCGGCTTGCGCTCCTCCCCATTGCCCCGCGGGGGGTGCTGCTGGCTGCATGCTGGCGTTGTGCGTGTGATCGAGGTACGACGAAGGGACGGACGGGAGGAAGGAGATGCAGACACGAAGTTATATCGCTAAAAAGAACCGTAATAATATCAGGACAGGATATGGGAAAAATCCAAGTCCAGGTGTTTGGTAGGGATGGGGAGAGACGTTCTCGTTATTGAGAAAATTCTGGTCGTGTGATATGTCAGCTCAATCAATATTCCCGTCAAACTTCCTTACCTCCTTATCTCCTTCTGTACTGAACATGACCAGAGGCTGTAGAATGACCCTCTGCGAACGTTGCAAATATTCAGAAGGTCCAACAAAGTGCAGCTTTCATACTCTAGAATAGGAGCACCTGAATCAAAAGCTAACAATAACTTACTCTATTCACCCAATCTCACACCCCTCTAAACTACATGGAGCTGCACTTCCTTGGACCTCAAGTGTACCAAAGCATTCACCACCTACTAGACCACAACCCCGTTTGTAGCAGCCTCGACTGCTCCATCAACAACCGCCTTATCAGCATCTACACCTTTCCGCGCATACGTTCGCCGGTACAGGTCATCCACTTGCGTGAGGTAGTAAGTGCCAGGCTGAAGGCGATCCGTGGGGGTAGCTGGAGTGAAGGAGCATGCACCATACCGTGACTCCATCAAATGCATTGTCTTGACAAACTCCTCTGGTGTTACCTGGTAACAGGAAAGAAGCACGCAGAGAAAGGAAGGAGTATAACTATGTGAGTGGAGTGAAGGGGCATGCACCATACCGTACCGCGACTCCATCAGATGTGTTGTAACAGGAAAGAAGCAGGCAGGGAAGGAGCATGCCTGCATAAGTGAGGGGAGGATGCGACGCAAGGTAGAGTGTTCGTGTGACTGATCTGTTCAGCTGTGCTGTGAGCTCAATTACCATGGGCCTTGGCACGATATTTGGCTTGCAAGATTCCAGCAGCTGAGCTGCATCTAGTAGATCTGAGGCAAAACACAGCCTGGAAAGAGCACTGTTGCCTTCCACCAACCGACCCACCCGCCCATGTTACCACCATCACCCACCTTGGTGCGAGACTCGAGCAGCTGGTGCACATCCAGATGAGCAGCGAGTGTGGCGAGGGAGAAGGGGTGGAGAGGGCACTATCGCTACTCATCCACAACCCACCCCTCCCCTTTCCCACACACCCACCCACCCACCCACCCACCCAACAACGCACAGAAATCCACCCACCCACCTTGGTGCGAGACTCGAGCAGCTGGTGCACGTCCAGATGAGCAGCGAGTGCAGTGAGGGAGAAGGGGTCAGCAGCTTGGCGCACGGTAAGGGAGAAGAGCGTCGACATGAGGCCGGAGCCATATGAGAAGAGCAGAATGCGATGGCCTTCCTGATGGGGGTAGAAAAGGATCAACGGAGAGGGGAAGTGGCAAGGTTGGAAGAAGAGAAGAGTGTTGACATGAGGCCAGAGCCATATGAGAAGAGCAGAATGCGATGGCCCTCCTGATGGGGGTAGAAAAGGATCAACGGAGACGGGAAGAGGCAAGGTTGGAAGAAGAGAAGAGTGTTGACATGAGGCCGGAGCCTTATGAGAAGAGAAAAACGCAATGGCCCTCCTGATGAGGGGTGGAGAGGGAAAGGAGGGAGGCAGGGAGGAAGAGGAAAGGGTGGAAGAGGGGAGAAGAGCGTGGACATGAGGCCAGAGCCGTAGGATAAGAGCAATATGAGAAGGGCCTCCCGATGTGAGCAGGGACACCATAGAGCGAGGAACTGTACATGATACCCACAGTCGTGGTTGCTCACCGTCACTACCAGCACTACCAGTTCTACAAGCGCTGTGAGTGCCGCCACGACTAGTTCCTCTAGCAATATGAGTGCTCCCATGCCTAGTGCCACCACGCGTACCAGTTGCTGCCCTTGCTGTGCGAGCAGCGAGGCGAGGCTGCCATAGAGAGAGGCACAGTACATGTTGCCCACACGCTTGCGTGTGCACCATGAGTGCTCATCATAAGTGCTCCTGCCACAAGAGTTGCCACCACACATACCAGTTGCTGTCCTTGCTGTGCGAGCAGGGAGGCGAGGCTGCCATAGAGCGAGGCGCAGTACATGTTGCCCACACGCTTGCCCACCAGCGTGGTGGGGCCCACCTTGCTGCTGTACACCGGCCCTGCCACTCGCATGGCCGTCTGCAGAAGGGGAGAAGGAGCACGGGGCACGGGTGTAGGGACACAGAAGGTAAAGGTAGCTGGCTTAGTCACAGGCGTTACAAGTGTCCCTGCAACACCTGCCAAGCACCACCGTCCCCAGGCAGATCCATAGCATGCAAGCAGCTCACCTTCTTTCAAGTCTCTGTCCACGGATTGCTCTTCTCTAACCCTCTCCATCCAGAAGGGCCCAGACAATTGCCAGTGCGCTCACCAGCGCCAAGCACCACCTTCCACAAGCAAAGTGAAACCAAACCACACAAGCAAGCAGCGCACCTTCTCCAGGCCTCTATCCACTCTTCTCTTCCTCTAGCCTTTTGAGGCCCCACAAAAGTCGTCTCAAAACCTGCAACTTTCCAGGCGCCTCAAAAGTAGAGCAAGCAAGCAGCGCACCTTCTCCAGGTCTCTATCCACGAGGCTCTTCTCTTCCTCCAGCCCCACAAACGGCTGCAGTGCATCCGCTTCCCCCGCACCCAAATATCCGCTGCATGGGCGAACGAGGCACAGGATGAGTGGGAGGAAGGGCAGAGGAGAAAAAGGGGACATGTGACATGAACTCTTGTTCCTGCCCTCAATGCCCTCGCAGTTCCTCTATGCCCTACCCGTATTTCCACCTGTTCACTGCTTTTGACATGACATAAAGCACCAGCCATGGGAGGCTTTTCTGCGGCTCAAGCCCCCGCGCTCTTGGGCATCTTGCAACCTACGCCCATTCCCCACAACCACGGTCCCCCCTTGCGCCCATCCCCTCAACCCTGCAACTATGCCCTGGCCCATGGATGCTACACAGGGTACAACCCTTTGTGTTTGCCCACCTGCTCACGCCCCTCTTAACGTCGTTGAACAGCAGCCGTGCCACGCTCTTCTGCACCAGCTGAGATACGCAGGGAGGCGGGGAAATGGAACAGGGGAAAGTGGGAGGGGGAGATTTTTGAGTCAGTTTTTGACTCGCATTGACGTCGTTGAACAGCAGCCGTGCCACGCTCTTCTGCACCAGCTGAGATACGCAGGGAGGCGGGGAAATGGAACAGGGGAAAGTGGGAGGGGGAGATTTTTAAGTCAGTTTGTTTACTCGCATTGACGTCGTTGAACAGCAGCCGTGCCAGGCTCTTCTGCACCAGCTGAGATACGCAGGGAGGCGGGGAAATGGAACAGGGGAAAGTGGGAGGGGGAGATTTTTAAGTCAGTTTGTTTACTCGCATTGACGTCGTTGAACAGCAGCCGTGCCACGCTCTTCTGCACCAGCTGAGATACGCAGGGAGGCGGGGAAATGGAACAGGGGAAAGTGGGAGGGGAGATTTTTGAGTCAGTTTTTGACTCGCATTGACGTCGTTGAACAGCAGCCGTGCCACGCTCTTCTGCACCAGCTGAGATACGCAGGGAGGCGGGGAAATGGAACAGGGGAAAGTGGGAGGGGGAGATTTTTAAGTCAGTTTGTTTACTCGCATTGACGTCGTTGAACAGCAGCCGTGCCACGCTCTTCTGCACCAGCTGAGATACGCAGGGAGGCGGGGAAATGGAACAGGGGAAAGTGGGAGGGGAGATTTTTGAGTCAGTTTTTGACTCGCATTGACGTCGTTGAACAGCAGCCGTGCCACGCTCTTCTGCACCAGCTGAGATACGCAGGGAGGCGGGGAAATGGAACAGGGGAAAGTGGGAGGGGGAGATTTTTAAGTCAGTTTGTTTACTCGCATTGACGTCGTTGAACAGCAGCCGTGCCACGCTCTTCTGCACCAGCTGAGATACGCAGGGAGGCGGGGAAATGGAACAGGGGAAAGTGGGAGGGGGAGATTTTTAAGTCAGTTTGTTTACTCGCATTGACGTCGTTGAACAGCAGCCGTGCCAGGCTCTTCTGCACCAGCTGAGACACGCCGGGAGGCGGGGAAATGGAAGAGGGGAAGGGGAAAGGGGGAGGTGAGTGTTAGCAGAAGCAGAGGGCTTGACATGATAATAAAATTCACATCCGTCCTTTGATTCTATTGTGAGGGACATAAATTCTGCACCTACATCTGTTGGTGAGTTAAGTGTGTAAGTCGGCCTGCTTACCAATGCACAAGGATATGCAAGTTGCATATGAATGAAGAACACACACAAACCTTGCTGTGCACCAGTGCTGCCATACCTTGTTGTAGGGCGAGTGGAAAACCACGGATTCAGTGTCAGCCAATGAGAACGCAGAGCCATGCTTCTTGGCGTACCTGCAGCACAGCACAGCACGCAGGCAGCAAAATGCCGTATAGAGTTAGGGTTTTGGGTTTCGGGTTTTGGGTTGGGGGAGGAAGAATAATCATGATTCACAATTAAACAAAACAAAGGGGGGGAACGAAGGAGGGGGGTGGGGGGAAGGTGGGGGAATGGTTGGGGTTGCAGACGAATGAGAGAGTGCTGAATTTTCAGAAAAAATAGAGAGGCGGAGGGCATACTTCTCACAGAAGCGTTGGTAGCAGTGGTCAAGCGCCTTGGTATAGCACGTCTGAGACAGCTTGCCGTCCACCACCTGCACTCACACACACACGCACGCACACACACACACAGGCACACACACACACAGGCACACAGGCACACAGGCACACACACACGCATGCACACAGGGAGGGAGGGGTCGTTGGGCGCAGAAAGGGGTCGTTGGTAGCAGTGGACGAGCGCCTTGGTGTAGCACGTCTGTGATAGCTTGCCATCCACCACCTGCACTCACACACACACACACGCACACAGGGAGGGAGGGGAGAGAGGGAGAGAGCACGGGGAGGGGGCCACAGGGAGTGGAACATAACAGTTATCATACTAGCAGGCGTCCATGCACCCAAATTCCCTTTCACCAGAACACCCAAACACCACCCCACATACACACATATGCTGCGGATATCTTTCCAAATTCTCTCTTCAAGCTGCAACGCCACTGTCCCCCTCCGCTTGCCTCATCCACTGAATAGTTACACAACCGATAGATCTCATGAGTTGCACTGAAGAACTCACAGGGTATTCGCTGGCGAGCTTGGGCTTGTAGAAGTCATACGCGTGAGCAGCATAGCTGCCCGCCAGCCCACTCTCCATGGCCAGAGGCGCGTCTGGTCCCACCAGCATCGCCACCGCGCCTGCTCCCCCTGTGGGCCGCGCTGGGCCCTCCGCGTACACCTGGATTGAGTGGAAGGGTTTCGGGATCAAGGGAAGGGAGGGAGAGGGGAAGGGTTGAGGAGGAGGTGGGTAGTCCCAAGTACCCTTCATCCTGCATCGCCAGAGACGCGTCTGGCCCCACCAGCATCGCCACCGCACCTGCTCCCCCTGTGGGCCGCGCTGGACCCTCTGCGTACACCTGGTGATAGTAGAGCAGGATGGAGGGTAGGACAGGGTAGAAGGTTCGGGGTTTAGGGTTTCGGGTTAAGGAAAGAAGGAGGTTGATTGCGATTCATGGAGCATGGCACGCGTACAGCACCCCATGCCCAGTATCAACGTCCCATACTCCATATCCCATAATCCTTTGCTTGGATCTGCGTATCCATACCCCTTCTCCCCAAACACACCACATCCCATGTTACATCCCACATGGATCTCTTCACACAATACTCACAAGACCCCCATGCCACAACCCATCCTGTAAACAACACACAGTCCCTGCCTGTACTCACGGCACTGTCAACAGCAACCACGATGGCGAAACGGCCGTCCCACGACGACCCCTCCACCCAGTTGACACTGTTCAGCAGGAAATTCAGCAGGATTATGCAAGAATCGCCTCAAAAATACTCACAGCGCTGTCAACAGCAACGACGATGGCAAAACGGCCGTCCCATGAAGATCCCTCCACCCAGTTGACACTGTTCAGCAGCGCCGCCGTGCCACCGTAGCACGCGTTGCACGAATCAACGCCCTCCACGTCAGCGTTGCCACTGGCCTCAAAGAGCGTCATGATGGCGGTCTTGATGGACTTGCTCTTATCAATCACCGTCTCCGTGCCCACCTCCAGCCGCCCTATGCATGATGCATCTATGCCGTTCTTCTCTAGCAACCGCTGGACAACAGTCAGGCTGCATGGGACGGGAGGAGAGGAGAGAGGAGAGCACATAAAGGGGTTATTTGGATACACCAGCACGTCATGGACTTGCTCTTATCGATCAGTGTCTCCAAGGCCTCAAAGAGCGTCATGATGGCGATCTTGATGGACTTGCTCTTGTCGATCACTGTCTCCGTGCCCACCTCCAGCCTCCTTATGCTGGTTGGATCCACCCTGTTCTTTTCTAGCAACCGCTGGACAACAGTCAGGCTGCATGGGTGGCGGAGGGAGAACGAAAGGAGTCAACTACTGTCTCTGTGCCCACCTCCAGCCGCCCTATGCGCAATGCGTCCATGCCGTTCTTCTCTAAGAGCCGTTGAACAACAGTCAGGCTGCATTGCAGGGATGGGAGGAGAGGAGAGAGGAGAGCACATAAAGGCTTCGGTTACATCAGCATGTGAGAGATTTGTTTTCGTCGATCACTGTCTGCATACCTACCTCTTGATGTGTCTACCCAGTTCTTCGCTAGCAGTTTCCAATTTCGCCTCGTGTGCGTTCTTGAATGCACCAGGACTATATTAAAGATTTCATTCCATTGTGATGAAACGCACCTCATGGAGATGAAACGCACCTCATGGAGATGACATCCTCCTGGTCGCAGCAGAATCCGAGCTCGTCCTGCCCCAACCCGATGGTGTACTTGCCCGCACTCACGCCGTCGTGCACCTCCAACTCCGTCTGCATTTGCCCCACACGTTATGGATCGATCAGGCATACGCGATAAAAGCGGTTCACGCTAGTACGTGGAGTATTAGATTTGGGACGCATTACGCAGGAGGCAGCGACAGACTAGAATTGTGAACTCGAGGCGTAACCATGGCAGCAATGCAGAAAGTTGTTTTCCGTTGTGATGATGACGGGTGTTGTGAAGTGATGCATGTACAAGGGACGTCTGCAAAACTTTCATAAAATGGTTATCATGAATTGACGAACAATGAGATGAGATACGAGAATCAGGAAATTAGAGATGTAGTGACCTGGGAGACGAAGCTGGGTGGGACGTAGAGCTCCATGGCGAGGATGCCGACATTCTGAGGACGCGACGCCATAAGCTGCGTGCAAAAAGAACTAAATTCTGGCCCGGAAAGTAAATTGCGAGAAAACAACGGCTCGATGGAGGATCAGCTGGTTACTTGAGAACAGGGGGAGTAATAGAAGCCGGACAAGCTTGCTGAAAGCAGACGGAGATGACGCGGTTGTGGTGAGCTGACGTGAAGTGTAGTGAAATGGATGCAGATCGCGAAATTCAGCGGTCTTTATCTGCCGCAAAAAAATCAGTCTTTCTTTCTTCTTAGGCTGAATCTCGAGGAAAATCAGTGGATGTATGGTCGATTGTGTGAACGACGAGTGACGATGAAAACCAGTCTCCAGATTTCACACTGTAACAGGTTCGGCGATGGCTTTTCACCAATCAGCTGCTGCGAAGAAGGCACCGAGGGCTAGGTGTCACCGCCAGGCCTGTCGAAGTTTCTGGGGCTCGTACTTGGACTCCCCAGCTCCTCCCCATCTGACCCTTGGTTGGGTGTAGGTGAGCGTTTTGGCGCCCTTAACGGTCACGGGCGCACCCCAAAGTGAAAACTTGAAATCCGGGCATGTATTGGACGCTAAGGGCGTGTGTGATACTGGAAATTGGCTAAGTTTACAATTTTTTTGTCGAATGTAGCATTTGAACTTGAGCCGAACAGTGTTCGACTACCGCTGAACGTGAAGTCTGAACCGCGCAAAATATTTTCAGGAATGTCAAATCACACACCCAAGGTCGAATTTGAATGTTGGACCTTATAGGGGGTGCGCCGAGCCGCTCGTAGGGGATGTAGGTTACCAGGTTTTATTCCGTAGACATCGTGCCACGTCAACATACTGACTGTGGTTTTCGTCGGAGGTTTTATTGCATCGCAAGTTGTCGCCAAATTCGCCACTCTTCGTACTTGCGCAAAACAACACACGTTCGGCTCACTGTACGCGCCCGCATTTATGCATTGACTCGAGCCGAGTTCGGAAAAGTTGGGTCGCATTTGCCAAGTGTTCAAGAGAAAAACTTTCGTCACACGGCTTTTGCGCAATTGACGAAGCTGGTAACAAAAAAAAGTTTGACCTGTTTTTCGAACCTAGAATAAAATCACAAACGCCCTAGGGGAATGTTGGGTGCTCCAAGGCTGACTGAGATACTCTACACACACGAACTTTGCTAGAAAACGCTAAGGGAAAAATCCACTTGGCGCGCTCTCGTGCAGGCTAGGGAGAAAGGGGGGAAGGGGGGGGGGGTCTCTGGCAGCCTTGGGGGAGGGGGGGTCGTACGGTCGGAAACCAAAACTTAGATAAAGGGGAAGGCCTGGTTTCGTCCCTTAACGCATCCGGGGAAGGGTCGAACGAAGCACTTAGTGGCACGGGTGGGGTGCGAATCTAAAACTTGACGCATTGGAGCTGGAGCGAAACTAGCCCTTAATGTTCAGGGCATTAAGGGCATATGCCCTTGAATCGACAGGCCTGGTCACCGCAAGAACAGCTTTTTGTTCTCAAGGTTGTGGGTGTCGGTGTAACAACTGGGCTAGGAATTGCTAGGCAATTTGTACTCGTTTCAGACTTACTGGGTAAGAATACTATCACCATGATTTTCCAGAACAAAAAGTTAGACAAAGCACATACTCAGCAAACTAGACATCATGACCTGCCGCATCCCTATCGACATGCCCAAACATCCGATCCCTGTGGTGTTTGTAAACTGTGTTACTCGCACGAAGAAGCACCGGGAAAGAACCCTGAGCGAATCCGAGACGAACGATATGGAACGAAGGACGAACGAGCATGCGACGTCGACAGATGGTAACTCTAGGTTGTGCCCAAACGTCTCTCTGGTCTAGTCTGTTTCTTGGCCACAGCAGACAAAATGCAAGAAAAGCGGGCATATGTTGCTCTGATGATAAGTTGACGTCGTGACCTCTTTCTACTTACGTGGCAGGTCCACCTTGTCATCGTCTTCTCCCCGATATCTTGACTTCAACCATGCAGCTTTTCCTGAGAGGTCCGGGGCCCGAGTCGCACATGATTCCACTCACGATTTCTCCCAACTCGTCTCTTCAAACGTTGATAGATCTCTCCTTGTCAACCTTGTGTTGCTGCGAGACCCTAACCTTGGAGCCCTCACGTCATGGAGGCTGTGTCGGCTGTTCGTCCAATTCTTTCCGTGTGCTTCACGGAGGTCGTCAGCTTTTCCCCTTCGCGTCGTCTCGTCAGCGCTTATCCAGCGTAGCATCCCTCTGTGTCTGTCCGTACGATACCCTAGATGTAACGGTACCCTTGCGAGGCGGAGGTGGTGACGGTGGGGCCACGGGAGCTGAGTCGCGTGACTGCTACCTGCAGATGTACGCTGGTCGCCGTCCGGATAAGGTTGACCCGCGTGACACACGCGTGGCGAGCTGGACGCACTGCCATCTGTCTGGCGAGCCGCTGACTCCTCCTTGTGTGGTGGACCTTCTGGGAAACGTGTTCAACAAGGAAGCTGTGGTTCGCGCCTTAGTGGAGAAGAGCATTCCCGTTGCGCTGAAGCACATAAAGGGGTTGAGGGATGTCGTTGGGATTCAGCTGACGGAAATTCCAGGGCTTGACAAGAAGGCTCATGTCAGGTATGCGGTGGAGGGTGTGTAAGGTCTGGTGACGGGGCCACCATATCTAGTGGGTAGATTCAGGGAGTAGTGTTCTTGCTGACAGTCACAGGAACATAATATGCTTGCGTGAAGATTATGCGTTGGTCCTACATGTCAAGGTGGAGAAACGAGTTTTCCTCTTCGTTTCCTTGGCTTCACGGTCTCCACTTCATGTTGCCCCCATCCTCACTTACATATTTGTGTATTGCAGGTTCCGTTGTCCGATCACTCAGCAGGAGTTCAGTGGCAGCTTTAAGTTTGTCGCCCTTCGCCCCTGTGGACATGTGCTTAGTGCTCGTGCACTAAAGGAACTGCCGTCCCCAACGTGTCTCGTCTGTCATGCCAAGTTTCTGGAATCAGATCGGATTCCAATTAATGGTACTGAGGAGGAGGTGGAGGTTTTGCGCACTCGGATGGAGGAAGAACAAGCTTCCAGGCGTGCTGGGAAGAAGAAAAAAGGTGCTCCTCCTTTTTCTCTGGTTGATGTAGTTGCTACAGGGAATGGGCTGAAAGGAGCTGCAGTGGGGGATGTTGATGGGGTGGCAGTGGTGGATATCAGAGCAGGAAGCCTGGAAAAGAAAAGCGTCGCAGCAGGGATGGCAGCAGCTGGTAGTCTGAGCCCTGAACACAGATCAATTGATGCAGGGGGGCTGGTTGATAAGCGAGGAGTCAAAAGGAAAGCAGCAGAAGGACCAATTGCAGGAATTAAGAACATTTCAGAAGGGTCTGTCAACAAAGCAAGACCAAAGGGGTCGGATTTGGTTCAGGTCAAGCAGCATTTCAGAGCAGTGGACAGGCTGCCAGCCGGTGCAAGTATAGATGTTTACGCATCAATCTTTACTTCGTCGCGAAAAGAAGATTTGAAGGAGACCTACTCTTGCAGGTCATTGCCCCTAGGGAGGAACTGACTGCAGTCATGTCAAGCTACTACAAGTGTCACCAGTTCATTGCTAGATTCATTCTTCCTTGTTTTTACACAACATACGGTAAGTCTGACTGAGCAGTTACTGCTGCTATCGTTTCTGGCCAACTGATCATCCTTCCTTGCTAAGTAAACACAACAATCTAACATATACCAACCATTGCTGGTTTTATTTGCCTTAGTGTCCCCAAATTACCCATCATACCGTACTTGAATAACCTGGAGGTGGCGTTGCAAAAGGGGTGCTCTCTGCTAAAAAGGACGGTTCACTTATGTTTGTGGTACAAGATCCGAGTTCTGATGACCGCACTCAATTGCACGAAACCGTCTAATATCACCCTCTCTCAAAATCAGATTTCCTCGTCAATCTCGCACTTCACCAATCGCCTTCCCCTTGATCCACGGGTCAGCTCTCAAAGAAGATCGCCACATCAGCGCCCCTTGGCGGTTGCCTGGCAGCGAAATCTGACTCTGCACTCTTCCTGCCGGGCATTGTTGACTGTGCTGTGCACTGCTGGGGCGCGAGGCTACTGGGTGCGCGTGGGGAAAACGAGAAGAGCACACCGCGACCACGAGGCCATGGCGCTTTTCCCAACACGCAGCTCCCGCTGTCACTCCAAGTCAAGTAAAGCGTCTCAAAGCTTTCCTAAGAGATGGAGACAGATGGAAGCTGCCGCCAGCAATGTGACAGCGGAGCGCGGCGGCGCATAAAAATTAGGTGGGGGCCACTCTCCCAGAGAGCATTATCGCGAGCGACTCGTTGTGCTGCATGCAGCACAACGGATGTTGTTCCTGCTTCCATGATGTGTCCGTCGTATCGTATGTACTGTTTGCTCCCCGATAATGCTCGTCCACAGTCGCCCCGCAATGCTCGATGCACCAGTTTCACCATGGATAACGTAATATAACAGCATGATGCTTGTGCGTTGCCTCATGAATCATGTCGCTTGGGTACATTCCCTATGTTTCACGCCGCGACCATCCAGGTTTGTCGGGTCGGGTCGGATCGGGGGAGGGGGTTATGGGGGAAGGCTTGGAAAGAGGGGGAAAGGAAAAAAAAAAAAAAAAAAAAAAAAAAAAATCATTGGAGAGCCTCCCACGGATTCCTGGTATCTGAAGGGCGCGGGTGTTTTTTCATCTGCCCGTATTGTCCGCATCCACCTCACTATTTAGGCCCCGGCTCGTAGAGCGAGAGACACCTTCTCATGCATGCTCGCTCACGGAAACTAGTCTTAAGTCGCTCTGTACTACACAATCTTCGTTCTAGTATATTGTATCGTGTTTTCTAATTCATTTTTTTTTTCTCCGGGTGGATCTCGGTCCTCCTAAGCCATAGTAGTAACTAGTCCGCGTCAGAATGAGCAACACGGAGTTGATTCTCAACAAGTGCGGCTCGCTGGTGGTGTTCTTTTCGGTTCCGTTCATATCCTGCTGGCTGCCGCTCATCATTCCCGTGCCGCCATACCTCCTCCATCTCGGGATCCTCTACTCTGGAGGGCTCTTCTTCTCGCTTGCAGTCGAGCACATTCTCGCCGAGTCCGTCGTGGCGTTCGAGGGCCTTATAACGGATGGTGAGGCGCCTTGTAACGGATGGTGAAGCGCCTTATAACGGATGGTGAGGCGCCTTATAACGGTTTTTGAGGCGCCTCAAAAATCTTCGTCTCGCTTGCAGTCGAGCACATCCTCGTGGCGTTCGAGGGCCGTATAACGGATGGTGCGTTTCGTGTTCTTATAGTTGGCCCCTCCCCTTCCAAACCAACCATTCTCATTTCTTTCCACTTCCCCCATCCCCTCACCCTCCTATTTCCCCCTTCCCCCCCCCCCCCCCCCCCCCCCCCCCCCCGCTTTCTGAATTTCACCTCCCCCAGTTGGCCCCTTCCCCTACGTGGTGTTCGTGGCGGGGTACATGCTGACGTGGCTGTCGGATCTGCTGACAGCTGGTGTGATGGATTGGCGGGAAGAGCGGCGGATGATGCGGGAGGGTGAGGCAAGGGAGGGTGAGGCATGGGAGGGTGAGGCAAGGGACGTTGAGATTGAGGTTGGTGCAAGGAATAGTGACTCCCAACACCTTACCCTCAATTCGGAGCAGCAGCAGAGACAACACGGGCAAGGGGAGGAGCAAGAGGAAGGAGACGAAGGAGGAGGAGGAGAAGACGGGGCTTTGGCGCGACAAGCACAGCAAGAGGGAAGGCCAAGCATGGACGCACACTCGCACACCGAGTGAGTCACGTCAGGGACTAACCATTCTTTCTCTGCGTGAGGGAAGGAGCAAGTCACATGAGGCCCTGTTGCCTTAGGGAGGCGCCTCAGATGGGTTGAGTTGAGCCGTGAGTTGAGGCCCTCTGTGTTGGGCAGGTGCGGCATAAGGGTGAAGCCGTGGGAGGAGCCTTTATTTCCCCTCTCTGTCCCTGCTGCAGGCAGTGTGAGGCGTCTCATACGGCAGTAGCTCAGTTCCGCCCCTCTTGCTGCAGAATCACGTGTTGCTGCAGAATCACGTGTTCTGCAGCTTACTTGCAGCCACAGCGGTAGCCGTGGTGGAATCCCGCCTCTCGAATTCGGAATCATACCCTTATGCCCCCACGCCAATGCTCCCCCCCCCACCCCCACCCTCCCACGCCCTTGCTTCTGCCCCCCACGCCCGTCCCACTACGCCCTTGCGTCTGCCCCCCACGCCCGTCCTCCCACGCCCTTGCTTCTGCCCCCCACGCCCGTCCCCCCGCGCCCTTGCGGCTGCCACCATTGTGGTCAGAGTCCCCGTGCTCTTGCTGCTGCCCTTGTTGCCCCTCGTCCTTGCAGCTCTACCTCGTGCTGCCATGCAAACGACTGTAACAGCCTTCCCTGCAGCACCAGCACCAGCACCAGCACCAGCACCAGCACCAGCACCAGCAGCAGCAGCAGCAGCAGCTACGGCAACTTCATCCGTGGCACGGGCGTGGAAGGGGGGGGCGTGGAAGGGGGGGGCGCGGAAGGGGAGAGGGAGAAGGGGGGCGATAGGGCTGTGGCTGTTTTTGGTTCCTGTTCTGGAGGGGACAGCAAGGGGGAAGAGGGGGACGAGCGGGAAGAGGGGGAAGGGGTGGAAGAGGGGGACGAAGGGAAGGAGAGGGGGGATGGGGGGGATGTGGAACAAAGGGAGGGTCAAGAGGAGAGGAAAGCATGGTATGGGTGGGAAGGGGGGGAGACAGGGGGAGGGGATTGGGGAGATGGGTGGGGTGGAGATGGGGAGAAGAGGTGGGGGGGAGGAGTGGTTGCCCATCTCTAGTGGGAAGCCGAAGGGGAGACTGTCGATAGCAGAGGTGCTGCCTCTCATGTTTGCCCTCTGCTTCCACTCACTCTTTGAGGGACTCGCTATAGGCCTCACCGCTACTTTTTCAGACTTCTGGGACACAACACTTACTGTAGTGATACATAAGGTGAGGTTTGATCATAAGTGAGGCTAGATGTCAAATACATAAGGTTAGATGTGATAGTACTTCATGGGGTTTGTTTATTCAAGATGAGGTGTGATTTCATCTTTCGCTGTCCCTTCAGTGTTCCTTTCCCCCCTCTTCCCCCGTTGCTTATGGGCCCCGTTTCCAACCTCTCCGCTCCAACCTCTCCGCTCCAACCTCTCCGCTCTCCCTCCAACCCCCCCCCCCTCCCTCCCTCCCTGTCCGCTCCTTCTCCCTGCCTCCTTTCTCCTCTCTCCCGTCCCATGCGCCAGATCTTTGAGGGCCTTGCGCTCGGCACCACCCTTCGCTCGCAGAATTCCCGCCGCTCCTGCTGCGCTTTCCTCTCGTACGCCGCCTCCTTCAGCGGCATGGTGCCCCTTGGGATTGTCGCCGGTGTCGTTCTCGACTCCTCTGCCAGTGGCACGGTGGGGGGGGAGAGGGGGAGTGAGGGAGGACAGGAGTGATTGAGGGAGAGACTAGGGTATCATGGCTGCTTGCTTGCATCTACAATGGATGATACAAGGTTTTACATTCTCCCTTTCACACATCTCGTGTTCCTTCCTCCCCACCACCTTTCTTTCTCTCCCTGAATATCTCTTTCTCATCCCCTGCTGTTGCCTCCCTCCCCAAATATTGTCCTCCCTGCTCTGCTGGGGAGGGATAAGGCAACGGCAACCCTATGGATGGATGATATCAGAAACGCCCTGGCTTCAGTTGAATCTTTTTATCTCACTCATCCCCAACAGTTTCCTTCCCCACAAACCGTTTCTTCCTTTCACTGCACGATCTCAGGTAACCCTATGGATGGATGCTGTCGGCAACGCCCTGGCAGCCGGGGTGTTTGTCTATGTGGCAACGGTACACCTTATATCGAAGGCCATGCAAGAACAGTCGAGCCTCTCACCACAGTCACGTCCCAGTTCTCAACTCAGCTGCTGTGCTCGAGGTGCTGGCCCTGTATTGGAAGGTGGGAAGGGGGATGTGCACAAGAGGCCAAGTTGGTGGCTCCCTTTTGTCAGGTGGGGAGCTACAGTGCTCGGGGTTGCCACAAATACGCTCCTGCAACTGAAACATTTCTTCTGATTTTTTAAATGTATTTCCCTACTCTTGCTGGTTGGTTTTTGGGAGGGTCTGACTGCGATTACCGTATGACAAGCTACAATATGGTAAGTGTTGCCAGTTACGCATTGAATTTACACAACATCTAGTCATCTGAGCAGCAACCGGTATGCTTTGCAAAGTACGCTTGCATTTTACAGAGTGTTGAAGCCAATATGGTGTTGTGATCATCCATAGTACCAACCATTTTATTAGCAATTCGTGTATTTGTGTGTCTTTATTCGACCCAAGAAAACTAACCTACCTTATGTATCTTGACTTGCACACAAAAGAAAGTGCTTATTGTGAAACTCCTCACAGCAGTACGGGTATGCCACTATGCAAGCTGAGGTCCTGCAGAGAGGATCTGCTGAGCCAGGGTAGAATCCACACCAGCCATACTCTCTGTGAACTTGGAGAAGTTGGTGTTGAAAAGACCACCAAGCTTCTTCAGCGTTGCGTTGTACGCAACCTTATCAGCCCACTGTTCATCAAAGAGACATTGTTGGTAGTGTGAACAGGGCGAAGTGGAAGGTAAAAAGGGTAAGAGAGGAGGAACGTTTACTCACCATGTTCTGCGGCTCAAGAATCTCCTGAGGCACACCATCAACATGGTCTGGAACTTGAAGACCAAATATCGGTGTCGTCTTATATGTAGCAGATGCAAGAGATCCATTGTGGATCGCATCGATAATCTTCCTCGTATATGCCAGCTTCATCCTGCTTCCCGCGCCGTAGCTGCCTCCCGACCAACCCGTGTTCACGAGCCATGCACTAGATCCATTCTCGTGCATCCTCTGAGCAAGCATTCCCGCATACTTAATGGGATGCCACATGATGAAAGCAGCCCCAAAACATGCAGAGAACGTTGCCTGCGGTTCCTTGATACCCTCTTCAGTTCCAGCGACCTGTAAAGTATTAGGTTTGTCAGTCACAACATTCAGTAAAAGAAAAACTCTCCAAACATGAAAGGGTTCTCAGAGTAGCCAACAGGTGAGACCCACCAGAGCAGTGTATCCACTAATAAAGTGGTACATAGTTTGGGGAAGGGTCAGCTTGCTGACAGGAGGAAGGACTCCGAATGCATCACAGGCCAGCAAAATGACATTTCTTGGGTGGGGTCCAACACAGGGAATCTTAGCGTTCGGAATATACTCGATAGGGTATGCAGCACGGGTGTTTTCTGTGAGCATCAGCATGTTAGTGGATGACGTCATCAACAAGAGCAAAACAAGACAAACATACCAGTCACAGACTTGTCTGCATAGTCAACCACCCTGGTGTGGCTGTCAAACACGACGTTCTCCAGGACTGCAAAAGACAAGAGTCAGGAGTTGAAAAACGGTCAAAGAGCAAACAAAGCAGCAGAATACCTGTTCCAAACTTGATTGCGTTAAATATCTCTGGTTCCTTTTCGGGCGACAGGTCAATGCACTTTGCGTAGCACCCTCCTTCGATGTTGGATATACCATTGTCACTCCAGCAGTGCTCATCATCCCCAATCAGGTACCTCTCAGGATCAGTTGAGAGGGTAGTCTTTCCCGTGCCTAAGAAAAACCAGCGAAGATAGTAGACCTTGTCGTAAGAGAATGTCACAGGAGTATCTGGTCAACATACCTGAAAGGCCGAAGAACAGGGAGACGTCACCGCCCTTTCCCATGTTGCAGCCAGAATGAAGTGAGAGTATTCCTCTCTTTGGCATCAAATAGTGCATAAACCCAAAAAGTCCCTTCTTCATCTCGCCAGCATACTGAGTTCCGAGAATAACCATTTCCCTCCTCTTCAGGTTGATGTCAATGCTGGTCGACGATGTCATGTAGTGAGTGAAACGATTGCACGGAAACTTTCCGCCATTATAGATGGTGAAGTCAGGTTCACCAAACGTTTCCAGCTCCTCAGGAGTAGGCCGGATACACCTGATTTGTTCAATGTGTTAGAAGATAAAAGCGCAGCAACTTACGTGTGTACAGTGCTGGATAGAAATGCTTGATCCTCTAAAGACTGAAGCAGACTGGCAAGACCCTTACATGTTGTGCATGAAGAGAGCGTGATAAGCACGGGAGGTGATAATTCTGACTTTGACCCGATTGTCCTTGTCCCAGTTCAAAAACTGGTCGTTCACAAAGACCTGTATTCAAAGCGGATTAGCAATATGTGATCCATACGACCGCAGGTTGTTACATGAAGAGGCACACCTTATCCAGAGACTTCAGGTAGTCGACAGCACGCTCGCGGTTGATATAGAAGGTCTCTTCGTCCATCTCAATGTTTGGAGAACCCCTGTGAAAACGTGATGTGCTCAAACGTGTCCACCATATGCGGAAGAAAGAAAGACGAAACACACGTACTTTCCCCACCACAGGTCATCCTGTGAGGACTCTTCCTTCACAATGCGCTTGTCCTTAGGAGAACGTCCTGTCTTGGCTCCAGAGAGAGTAGCAAGCGCTCCAGTTGAAGTGATGTACGTTCCCTTTTCATCCTTGATCGCGAGCTCGTAAAGCTCTGTTCAAGAAGAAGTGCGTCTAATTTTTTTGCCAATCCAAAACAGTGCTGAGCTGGTCAATCCGCTAACTACCTGCTTGTGAAAGATTGTGAAGTACGTGGGTCGCTTTGAGGTTAAAATCGCTGACGTAGTCAGACGGAACGAAATGCACGTGACCATCTTTAGTAACAGCGGCGTTCGGATCCCCCTTGATGACGTTTGGACCCCGTTCTCGCGCGTGAGACGCCAAGGAGGCACTGGAAGGACTCTGATGTTAGGAATCTTAGTTAATAGCTTGAGCATGCTGAGATGGCAAACGCGTACCTGATTGACTCGGCGCCACCGCCTGGAACTGAAGTTGGCTTTTTCTGAAGAGAATGCAGCTCATCCAGTGACGTCGCACTGACTGGAGCAGACGAGTCATCGCAGCAGACATGCTTCTCGTGTCCAAGGGAAGCCATGGTTCTCACGGGGATGGCGGAAAATGGGTTGGAGGAAGTGGGAACTGGGATTGGAAAGCAGCCACCTCAGCAGTCCCCTTTTCTAGGTGTCTGTCGGTGGTACCGAACCGCTCCTTCCACGATCCCCCAAACATTAGCTTCACTCGCTACAGAATAATTGCGCTAATAACGAAATTTTCTATATCTAAACATCAACTTAAATTCGATGTATCTAACCTCTTTTTCTCCTTTCCATTGAGCTCGATATACAACGAACAGGGAAAAGGCAAACAATTTGGGTAACAAAAACAGTTTAGAATCAAACTACCTACCCAGCATACTTTTGATAGTATCCTTCAATTATGGACCCATCAGCAAGCTTAGCATCCATCACAGTCTGGTTTCCCCGTACAAGATGACCATCCTTGCAGAACGTCACACCACCTTCAGGTAAATGCAGTCGCTGGCAGAAGAGTCCAAACATGTTGCGCAGAGGAGCTGTAGTATTGATGTCATATGTCACTTCGTTGCCGTCCATCCGCACCTTGACCCTTCTGGTTTCTTGCCTCTGTACCTCAGTAGCAGCTCCTCTCTCTTCTCTCTCTGGTGCCTTCCCATGAGACCTCAAAGCCCAGCGACCAGCAGCTCTACTGCCGCTGCCTGTAATCTCTTCCCCTGCTACTGCTGGCGACGTCGTCATCTCCTCTGCTGCTTTGTCCTCGGCAGAAATTGCTCCAGTTTCCAGCGCTGGTGATCGTTCCATTTCTTCCGCGTTCTCGCCGCCTCCTCCCTCTGAGCCAGTTTCTTCCCCCAGAACCACGTCAACAGGCCCTTCCATAGCCTCATCCTCCCCTTTCAACTCTTCCTCCTCTTCCTGTATCCCCTCACGCTCAGTATCCGTTTCTGTTATTGCAATCTCCCTTCTCGTACCCTTCTTCCTCGCCTCGTCACCGGCATCCTGGCGTGCGGACGTGTCAACGAGCGAAGGGAGATCCTCAGCCACGTCAACAGCCGTGCCAAGAGCACGTCCGCCTCCAGTCACAGGAACACCAGCAGCAATCGCTTCCGCTGCAGCAAATGCCGCATCCACCACGGACGCGGGAAGCCCCCGGGTACTGGACGGGGTGGTCGCAGCGATTTCGGAACCTGAAACGGCCTCAGCTGTTGTCACGCTCACTTCGGTCGACTCCAGAACCACCAACGGCGGCTGCTGTGTTGCCTGTCGACGCTCCACTCCTCCTCCTCCTCTTCCCCTCGCTGAAATCCCACGGCCTCTGCCACGCTCTGCATAGTGGATCGCAGGCCGTGGCCTCAGAGACCTGGTTACCGTTCGGGTGGTTCGGACTTGGATCCGTGCAGAAGCCTTTCCTCGAGCCATGGCGACAGAAACGCTTATGGGACGGCGTCGCTGGCGGCTGATATAGGAAATCGCTTACTCGCTTCATCTAAAAATCAAAGTGGCACCATGTGAACGCGCACATACTGAATTGTTAGAGAACGGGTGGCAATGGCAGTCACCCTGGACTTGCTGGCGGCGATTCCTCGAGCCCTCGTCTCCGAAAAGGTGCACTTCTAGCTGACGTACCAGTCCGGGTATCTCGAGACGCCATGAGCACAGGATTGTGAGGGATCAAGAAAGGACACGTGGGACTTCGTCGGGACCGAAGGAGGTGCGGCGGGGCGTGACGAACGAGCATGCATCACGTGGGTGACCCTTAGCTCTCGTGCGCAAAGCAAATAGAGATTTGTGCGTGCCTGTGTGGTGAGGAAGAACTCATATATCGCGTATGTCGGTTTATGTATAACGCGGAAATTGACAATGGCATAGGCGGTAAATGATTTAAGTATGATTGTAATATTTTTTCCACTTTCAAATGATGGAAAAATAACATAGGCAACAATCTTGAGCGAGCATGGATTGCAGTTTTCCCCTGTTTATATGGCATACTAGATAGCTATCTTAAGCTCTCTACCATGGGCTCCTTATTCAACCATCACGTTTTTTATCACACCCATCATTGTCAAAGTAACCTGCTAAAAGACAGGAAGCCCAATTACTGTACAGGAGCAAAATAAATCCATTAAAAACAATAAAAGTTGGATCCTCTCTCTACCCACCAACCTTTTGAATGTATCCTTCAATGATAGAACCACTGAATATCTTAGCATCCTTCACAGTCTGGTTTCCCCGTAGAACATGACCATCCTTGCAGAACGTCACCCCGCCTTCAGGCAAATGCAGTCGCTTGCAAAAGAGTGCGAACATGTTGCACAAAGGAGCTGTGGTTTTGATGTCATATGTCACCTCATTACCATCCATCCTCACTCTGACCCTCACTCTCGCACTTCTGGTATATTGCTTTTGAACCTCTGCAGCTCCTCTCTCTTCATTCTCTAGTGCCTTCCCATGTGATCTCAACACCCAGCGACCAGCAGCCCTATTGCCGCCATCTTTCATCTCTTCTCCTGCTGCTGCTGGCGACATCTCCGTCTCCTTCGTTGCTCCATCTTTGGCTAGACTTGCTGAATTTTCCAGCGCTGGTAATCGTTCCCCTCCCACGTCCTCGCTTCCTCCTCCAGTTTCTTCCCCCAGCATCACGTCCGCCGGCCCTTCCATAGCCTCATCTTCCCCCACCAGCTCTTCCTCATCCTCCTGAATCCGCTGAAGATCAGCATCCGTTTCTGTTTCTGCAATATCTCTTGTCGTACCCTTCTCCCCCGCCTCTTCGTTAAGATCCCACGGCGATGTATCAACAAGTAGCTCCTCTGCCACGTCAGCAAGAGCGCCAAGCGCACGCCCGCCTTCAGTCACGGGAAGATCAGCAGCGATCGCTCCCGCTGCAGCAAACGCCGCATCCACCACGGCTGCAGGAAGCCCCTGGGTACTGGACGGGCTGGACACAGCGGTATGAGGAGCTGACTCGGCCTCAGCTGTAGGCAGGCTCGCTTCAGTTGACTCCGGAACGACCAATGGTGGCTGCTGGCTTGTTTGTCCACGCTCCACCCCTCCTCCTCCCCTCGCCGAAATTCCACGGCCTCTGCCAGACTCTTCATCGTGAATTGCGGGCGCTGCATCGTGAATCGCAGGTGCTGCATCGTGAATCGCAGCCTCTTCATCGTGAATCGCAGGTGCTGCATCGTGAATCGCAGGTCGTGGCCTCACAGCCCTGGTTACCTTCCGAGTGGTTCGAGTGGTTACCTTTCGATAGGTTCGAGTGGTTCGAGTGGTTACCTTATTAGCCATTGGACTGATTGACGTTGGAGTGATTCCGACTTGAACTCGTGTACAACGGCCAAGGAAACACGGCCTTGCTGATGTAGATTACGAGCTCACTTCGTCTCAGATTTGAAATGCGGACTAAGAATGAGAGCACCCACAAGAAGAGTGTTGTAAACGATAGGAATGGCAGTCACCCTGGACGTGCTAAGGGCCATTCCTTCAACCCTCGACTCCAAGGTGCGCTTCTTGCTGACGTCCTCCTCCGGCTATTCCGAGACGCCATGAAGACAGGTCGGCGAGAAAGAGAGAGCGAGAGACTAAGAGAGGACATGTCAAGAAAATGGAGGACGGGGCGATGGACGTGCCGAGGGGAGCGTGACCGAGCATGGATGACCCTTTCGCTCTCGCGCGCGAAGCAGCAAATCGAGATTTGAGGAGTGCGTGTCTGTGGGGTCGAGGGGTCAAAGGGTCATTCGGGAATTTAAGACCGGTGCCTGTATCTCGTACTTCGCGTTGTGGAATCCACAATAAGTACGCATAGAATGGAAAGCAGAAATAGAATTCCCATCAGTTGGATTTGATGATTGAAACAAGGCCTTACATGAGCAAGGATTGCCATATAGCCAATGTGTAGACTGCTACGTTTAGACGTCTTGCATGAAGGCGTATTGCATTTACCGTTCTTGAAGGTGGGCGGTAAAAGAAGTTGGATGGGTAGCGCTAGTTCCCAGGTTAATGTCAATCAGCTTTGTCAGACACCACAACACGCTCACTAGAATCTTTTTTAGATGAATCGCCAACCGGAACCTCGCTAGCTTCCTCATCCCGAAGGGCCTTGCGCAGGCCAAACACAATCAGGAGGTTCGTGATTGTGAGCAATGACTCGGCACTGCCATGTAGGTAGTCTACATTAGATAGAGATGTCCCGTAGTGTATCTTGGCTGCATGGAACAAGGGCACAACCAAACAGGCATCAAGACATGGTAAACACACAAACTTGGCACATGGTAATCACAGCACTCTGTATTCCAGGCAACAAGCATCCATAACGTCCATATGCTACGGTGCTGCAAAGCAGCCCACTCATACCAGCCAATCAAGCCAACGAATGAAGAAAGACAAGCCACACCACACAAAAAAATCTATACAACAGCGACAACACACACAGGAGGGCGACAAAGGTGTGGCATTATACGGAGTAGAAAGGAGCTCACCATATATTCCAGCAGGAACTGTCATTTGAGAGAAAAGGATTCCGAAGCATAGTTGAGCAAGTGGATAAGGTCGTGAGTTGGAAATGGAGGGGAGGGGCGGCGGGGAGGTGGAAGAAGGGGGGAAAGAGCAAGGTAGCAAAGGAGATTATTGGCAAGCGGTGGGAGCAAGTGACGGAAAGCGTGGGATTGAGGAGGAGAGGAAGGAGGGAAGTTTATAGATGAGAGGCGAATGGGGGAAAGAGAGTAAGGGACTTGAGTTGGGAGGGAGAAAAGGAGAGAGTGATGGGAAGAGGGAGAGGAAGGAAGAAGTGTATGGTGTGGTGAGCACCTGTGGCATGGTGCTAACAATTGTGGACAATGGTGCTGGCATAAACCATGCATGGACATAACGGCAGTTTGCCAATGGTACAGCACGCAGCATGCCTATACAGCTCCTAAGTCCCAAACAGCGTACGCATTAGTACCACTAACAAATGCGAGACAAAATCAGAAACCACCGCGCTCCTACACATGCGATTACTTGTGCCTTCAATCACTTGTACGAAAGCGGGCAGAAGGTACAGTCTATGAAGCATGCTATACAGCTCCTACCACTAGCACACTCACTCTTGGCGCCGCAAATGCGAGCACATGGTGGAGTTAAGAAAACCAGCTCTGAGTATACATTTCCGCTCAAAGGAAACATGCCAATAGTGTCAGCTCCTAGTACCAAGGCACTCACTCGTGGCACCGACGAATGCGAGCAGGAAGTAGACCCAATGATACCAGCTCCCAGAGTTATGCACCTCAAAAGAAAGTTGTTGATAGTGTCAGCTCCTAGTACCAGCGCACTCACTTGTAGCGCCGACAAATGCGAGCAGGAAGTAGAACCCGAACAGCGTGATGCGCGGCGCCGTGCCAGAGCGCGTGAGAAAGTATAAGAATCCGAGGTACGGAAAGAGCGATACGGCGAAGAGCGACGACGCGATGCTCTGCGAGTCGATGTTGGGCGACCAGGGATCCACTGGGAGCAGAAACGCGCGGGAAACGACGGCTCCGCGCCGACAGCACTCAGCGCTAGGGACAAATTCCGAAACGTTTCTATTCTGGTGACTCTGCTCGGGGGCTGGACTGAGGAGCGGTACTCTCGAGAAACGGGTGACGCGCTGAGAGGTTCCGAGCGGTGAGGCACGAGGCCGGGTCATGAGCGGAGGAGGCGGAGAGTCATGGCGGGTTGCTGTGAAAGCGGTGATTGAAAGCCTGGGCGGTAATGCAGCGCGAGGCGAGCGGGAGCAGGCGGAACGGGGAATGCGGGAGGGGGAGAAGGCATCTAAGGAAGAGTATTTAGCCGGTGGTCGGGACAGGAGCGCGCTTTCAGCCATGGCGAAGCGGGGCCTTTACACCAGACAAGCCTAGTCTCCTTAGGAGATTGAGGATTGCGGCTGAGGAAACTGAGCTAATGTGCGCTGGGCTGGTGTGGTGGAATGTGGGAGTTGAAGCAGGAGTGGGCAGAGAAGAGGGATTGATATCAATACAGGAAGTTATGGGATTGATATATTGTGTGGGGAACTTGTATCAATTTTCCTCATTGAACTGTAGCAGAAATATCGATCGGGTGCTTTCATGGCGAGTACAAACGTCTTGCAGCAAAGGAGTCCTCTTCTCCCATACCTCCCATACCTCCCTCCCACTCATGTTGACGAGCCATGAATCCCGGAAGCATGACACAGATGCACACGTCAGCGGATCAGAGCGCCAGGAATCGGTTCGCTAGGGCGAAGCGCTAGGCTTCAGTTCTTTACCTGTGCCACCAGCTGAGGAATGCGGCTGGTTTTTTTTCCACAGAAGAAGTCAAGTCGTTAGAGATTCAGGCAGATCGCTCAGAGTCGAGCAAGCGTGATTGCTGCGAGACTCTAATTGGCAGGCATTTGGTCGAGCCGGAGTATCGTTTTTAACCTGCTTGAGTCGCCAGTTCGGGGAGACCCCTCTGTCATGGACGGCGAATCCAGATCGCCTCTCTTCTACCGACACGTGGCTGCAGGAGCGGTTTCAGCCGTGGTGGCGAGCGCCGTCACGTACCCTCTTGATGTCGCCAAGACCGTCGCACAGGCGGGCGTCGCACAGGCCAGCGTCCCACACGCGATTGTCGCACAGACAGGCGCCGTGCAGGGCAGTGCGATCGCGGGGGGATCAGGGGGAGCATCGCCTGGTGGAATGGCAAGAAGCGGAACAGCAGCAGCGTCACGGGCAGCTGCTGCTACCAGCGGTCTCAGCTGGAGAGGTCAAGGTACCAGTCCAACTCTCACTGCCCCTTCCATGTCCTCATTTCCCTTTTTTCCTTATCCCTCCCCTCTCCCTTCTCCCCATCACCCCGCCTCCCCGACCCCTCCCCCACTCCCTCCCTCCTCTCCCTCGGTCTCTGCCGTTTTTTATTATTCCAGTCCCATTATGTTAACTTTTAGAGTGAAGCCAAGACTCCCGAGGGAGAAGGCTCTACGCATTCGTTTGCCTGAGTTTTCTGCCTCTGCTCTTTCCGACGTCCGCTCTCCCTGCCAGCCGCATTCACGGGGTTCTCACCGCATCTCGCGGGGCATCTACCATCTCTAGCAGCCCGCTACACCACCTACCATCTCGCCGCCGCATACCAAATGGGTGAGGCCACCTTACTTCCTTCCTGCTGTGCCATTCACATCGAATTTTCCTCGTTGTCTGCTAATTCATCTGGGAACCCAGCTCACTCAACTCTAGCATGGTTCAATGCTGTTGAGCATAACGCTGTTTTTCTCCGTCAAGCAGCCGCAGCAGCCATTTGTTCCTTGAAAAGCAAATCCACGACTTATAAAGCAAGCCTTCGCTCTTCCTTTTCCCTCCCCTCCTTTCCCCCTCTGCACCCAAATGGTCTGCCCTCTTGGCTTCCCATTTCCTCACCTCAAGCAGCAGCAGCAGCAGGCACGATAGCCGGGGCGACCGAGTCCCTGCTCTCCATACTTTGCTTAATTCACCTGATTCTCTGCCCTTTCTCCCACACCCATTCGTGTCCCCACCTTTGTCCCCCCCCAATTCCCCCTCACAACCCAGATGGTCTCCCTTCTTGGCTCCCCACCTCCCCGCCTCAAGCAGCATTAGCAGGAGCCATAGCCGGGGCGACGGAGTCCCTGCTCTGCACACCATTCGACCTCCTCAGAACCCGCCTGCTGCTCGCCACTCCCCTGCTGCCACCTGTCCCGCCCTCCCACCCCATCTCCCTCCCCCGCCCTTCCATCCGCATCCACCGCCCATCTTCTCCCTCCCCACCAACTTCTTCCTCTTTAGGCAAGCCCTTCCCCAGCGAAACCTTGCCGAGCCATACCTCATCCGGTCAATCCTCCACCATTAATCAATCTTCCAACCCCAGTCAGAAGTCACGGAGTGGTTCCTCTCTTCCTAAGCACAAGCTGGCCCATCCACTCACACACAGACCCACCAACTCTCGAACTAACCGTTCTGATCGCCCGCACCGCACAACTCACAAGCGCAGCTTCGTTTCCTCCTCGTCCCCTCCTCCTCCCACTCCCCTCACCTCCACTCAACCCCTACACCCAAGGCACCTCTTTGCATCCTTGCACACCCCTCCCATTCCCCCTCCTTCCAACCCCCTACCGCTCTCCACCTTCTCCCTCTCCCTCGCCCGCTACCCCTGGACCCCTGTCCCCTCGCCCTACCTCCCTGCCTCGACCCCATGGGAGGCCGCAAAGGCTGGAGTGAGGACGGAGGGGGCAGCTCAGCTGTGGCGAGGGCTTCGAGCGGGCGTGACTAGAGACGCGCTTTTTGGAGCGGTGTTCTTTGGAGGGTGGGTGGCCATAGAGGAAGGATTGAGGGAGTTGGAGGAGCTCCGGCAGACGAAAAGAGAGAGGAGTGGGGAGGAGGAAGGGGTGGAGGGGGGAGGGGTGGGTGGTGGGGTCATGGAGAGGAGGAGGAGTGTGGGGTATGGATATGCGTTGACCCAGGGTTTGGAAGCAGCGATAGCAGCAGCAGTGGCTTCAGTTGTGTCGCATCCGTTTGACTGTGCCAAGACGCGCACTCAAGCCACCGTCTTGCCTAAGGTAAACGTTTGTTGACCTTTCTTCTCTAATTGCTTGCTTGCATTCCATTCCAGTCCACGCTTTTATCCATCGATTGCTTTGCTCTGCTGTGTGCTTGTATCCATACTTACATTTCTGTGAACTTGTTGTGCATCCTCCCTGTGAATCCACCCAGCACGTGGCTATGGAGTTAGCGTTGGTGCGCAGGGGGAAGGATGGGAGGTGGTGGGAGAGACTGTCTGGCTTGCGATGGTGGGATAGGAGCTACCACTGGCAAGGCTGGGCCCTGAGGACCATGCATCAATCTATAGGGGCATTTCTTCTAGTAGGTGGTTACCATGTTGCAATTGCATTGACGAACGATTCTTCCGGGTAATGACCTTTTTTATGATGTTTCCATGCAGTTGCACCTTGAACATTTGAAATCCAAAGAACCTTCAGATTATGCATAATTCGAAATTTCCTTAGCAGTTTGTTGCTTCTAGCGAATTGGCCACAATCGCAGCCCGTGCAGTCCGACTTCTTCCATATCTCCTTCAACCTCCCGCCCATGAATTCGAGCCGCAAGGTAGCTCAACCATTAGGGTGAGCGGAATCGGCGGCCCAGATTCATCAGGCTTCGGTCGCCGCAGAATTAGTCTGGTCAAGAACTGATCCGCGCCGAATTAGGTTGTATTTAGGTATCGCACGTACTCATCAACGCTCCCGTTCAGCTGTAGAAACGTAAGGAACAGCTTCATTGCAGAAACTTGAGTTACAACCTCGTTACGAATTCGAGGAGATCTAAAAGCTTGAACGCGATAAACTCGACGCGAATCAACTCGACGCAATCAACTCGAAGCGATAAACTAGAAGCACTCAACGAGTGGAGTGACGAGTTCGAGTGGCGAAGCGAGTGGCGATGGAGGCACTCGAGAAGGTGGTAACGCAGGCGCAGGGCCTGTCGGGCAGCGCAAGCGACCTGGCGCACCTGCTGGAGGTGCTGCGCGGCGCCGAGGACGCGCTCGCGAAGCACGCGCCGCAGCTCGACACGCTGCTCGCGTCGCTCGACCCCGCGCTGCACTCGCTCGCCTTCCTGTTCTTCCTGTGAGTCTGTGGGGGAGAGGGGGGGGAAGGGAAATCAGGCGAATGGGGGGGGGGGAGGAGAGAGGGGAGGGAGGAGGGAGAGAAGAGAGGGGGGGAAGGGGACAGACCCCGTGGTGGTGGAAAAAGGGAGCGACCTGGCGCTCCTGCTGGTGTGGCGCCGAGGACGCCCTGGCGAAGCACGCGCCGCTGCTCGACACGCTGCTCGCGTCGCTCGACCCAGCGCTGCACTCGCTCGCCTTCCTCTTCTTCCTGTGAGTCTGTGTGGAGAGGATAAGGAAGAAAGTGGGTTCAAGGAAATGCGGGAGTAAGACAGACCCCGCGCGCCACAGCTCGACACGCTGCTCGCGTCGCTCGACCCCGCGCTGCACTCGCTCGCCTTCCTCTTCTTCCTGTGAGTTTGTCTTCCGAGGGAAGGTGGAGAAAGGGGGAAGTGGGGGGATATGGGGAAGGTGGGGACACGCTGCTCGCGTCCCTCGATCCCGCACTGCATGCGTTCGCCTTCCTCTTCTTCATGTGAGCCCGGAAGCGGAAGGTAGAAGGAGGGATTTGGGGGACGGTGGGAAGGGATTTGGGGGACGGTGGGAAGGCAGGGCGAATGGGGTCGGGGGAGAGTGAACACCCGCGCACCTTGCTCTTCTTCCCGTGGGCGCGCTGAGCGCGCATTGCCGTGGAGGAACGTAGTGGGCGAGGGTAGATCCAGGCAACGAATGGGGATACAGAGGGAAGCGGGCGGCTGTGGAAGAGGAGCGGGTGGGAGTGAAGGTAGTACTATGCTTCTGTCTGGCGCGCGTCTGGTCTTCTCATCGATCTGTCCTCCCCCGTCCTCCTCTCCTTCCTCCCACTCGCCCTCTCCTCGTTCGTTATTCTCCTCTTCCCAACCCCTCCCACCACTCCCACCCTCTCCCACGCCTTCGCTTCCCACCCTTCCCCTACAGCGATGCACACGCAGCGCAGGCACCGGGCCAGTTGTGGGAGCAGGTGGTGGGGACGATCATCAACTTCATCAAAGTGGCATTTCCAACGCAGATCGCCCTCGCCCCTGAAAAGTGTGAGTGTCTGTGGGCTGGCAAGTGGATTCTCTACTGTCCAAGTCGAATCAAAAGAAAGCTGACTTTTTAGTCGACTCAAAAGGCAGATTGCTCTCGCCCCTGAAAAGTGTGAGTATCTATCCCATGGGCTTGCAAGTGGACTCTCGACTGCCCGAGTCGAATCAAGCAATCATGCAGCACAGGCGCCAGGCGATTGTGGGAGCAGGTGGTGGGGTGGGGTGGGGTGGGGGGGGGCGATCATCAACTTCATCAAAGTCGCTTCTCCCACGCAGCTCGCGCTCTCATCAGAAAACTGTAAGAGAATTCACCTGTACAGCAGAACCGCATGCAGCACAGCAGCCGTTACACCCCCCCCGCCCCGCCCCCCAAGCTATGGGAGCAGGTGGTGGGGACAATCATCAACTTCATCAAAGTAGCTTCCCCCACTCTGGTCTTCCCCGCGCTTGAAAATCGCCATCACCATCGCCTGTGGGATCTCTCATCATTTCCAGTACGCTCGAGTTGTGCTCCCCTTGCGCCGAGCTCGAGCTGGCCATCAGCAAGGTGCAGCGCAGCAGCAACGCTTAGCACCTCACCCCGCGAGGTGACTTCTGAGTCGACTCAAAACTCCCCTTGCGCCGAGCTCGAGCTGGCCATCAGCAAGGTGCAACACAGCAGCAGCGCGGAGCACCTCACCTTACCCCGCAACACGCAGCAGATTGCCTGCAGCTATGCCTGCAGCTCTGCCTGCAGCTCGGCCTGCTCCAATCAGCTCCTCTTGTCACCCTCTGCTCCGTTCCCTCTCCCTTCTCGTCCCCCGTCCCTCCCTCCTCCCAGTCGCCTCCCTGTGCCATCGCCTGCGTGACCTGCTCATCTCCCGCTCCCAGTATTCCCGAGGCGTCCTGCCGCTACACTGGGCAATCAGCAAGGTGCAGCAGTGCACCACAGCGGAGCACCTCACCCCGCAACACGTGGACTGCCTGCAGCTGTGCCTGCTCGCCAAGCTCTACCGCCAAGGGGGCGAGCTGCTGCAGGGGGATATTCTCGATATTGACCCCAAGAAAACGGGGCTGGTGCACCGAGACTTTCTTCTGTACTGCTTCTACGGGTGAGCTTATTTTTTATTGCATTGATATTCTTTCGCTGCCACGGATGGTGTTTGGTTTACTATGCCTAGCATTCTCTTCCTCCTTTCCCAATGTCAGCTACTTACTTTTTCTACCGCTTGTCTGTCCTTGTTCCCCCTCCTCTTTGTCCCCCCCCCCCCTCCCCCCCCCCTTCGCGCAACGCCTCCTCGCAGGGGCACCATCTATGTGGGTCTGAAGCAGTATCAGAAGGCGCTAGACCTCTTCATGCATGTGAGTGGGTGGGTCTGATTGGTGTGCGTGAGTGCTTGCAACTTGTGAGTGGAGTTTGACGCATGTGATGTGAGTGCGCCGTCGCATACAGCATGTGACGCACAGCAACTGCCACTTTCTTATCCCTTCTTGCTGTATTAATTGTGTCCTTGCCTCACCACACCACCACTGTCATTCCTTCTATCTATCCAGCTATCCAACCCTGGAAATCCCCCACTCCCTTTCCCTGCTTTTTCGTTCTAAGCCGTTCCCCACCCCCTCCATTTTCAGGCCATCACGTCCCCAGCAAAGGGCGTGAATGCCATCCCAGTTTCCCTCCCTCCTCCTCCCCCCTTCTTTGAACCTCCTTTTCTCCCTCAATCTCTCTCCCCCCCCCCCCCCCCCACCCAATCCCTCCCCCCATTTTCAGGCCATCACATCCCCAGCACAGGTCGTGAATGCCATCACAGTGGCGGCATACAAGAGACATGTGCTTGTCTCGCTCATCCTGAACGCCCAGGTGGGTGCAGTGCGGTGCAGGATGGTGTGGTATGATGTGGTGTGGTGTGGTGTGGTGTGGTGTGGTGTTGTGTGGTGCAGTGTGATGCCATCTCCTCCTCCCCACCATAAATGCCATCACAGTAGCTTCATACAAGAGACACGTGCTTGTGTCGCTCATCTTAAACGCCCAGGTGGGTGCAGTGAGGTGCCATGCAGTGAATCGCGGTGTAATTCGGTGCAGTGCAGTGCAGTGTGATGCCATCCCTTCCTCCCACCATAAATGCCATCACAGTGGCGGCATACAAGAGACACGTGCCTGTGTCGCTCATCCTGAACGCCCAGGTGGGTAAAGTGTGGAGTAGTGCGGTGCGGTGTGGTGTGGTGTGCTGCCGTCTCCTGCTCCCCCCATGAATGCCATCACAGTGGTGGCATACAGGAGGCACGTGCTTGTCTCGCTCATCCTGAACGCCCAGGTGTGTGGTGCGGTGCAATTCGGTGCAGTGCAGTGCAGTGTGATGCCATCCTCTCCTCCCCACCATGAATGCCATCGTAGTGGTGGCATACAAGAGACACGTGCCTGTGTCGCTCATCCTGAACGCCCAGGTGTGGTGCAGTGTGATGTGGTTCGGTGCAGTGTGGTATGATGTGGATGTGGTATGATGTGGTGTGTACCTTGGTGTTGCGCTAGCAGGGTGCTGAGTCAGCAAGCAGGTTTCAATCTTGTTATCGTTGATTCTTGCAGGCTTTTACTAGAAAATTACAAAGCAACTCTCTTCCTTCCGTTCTCCATCCCTCTCATTCGCTCTCTCGCTTTGATCCATCCTTTCGCTCCCCCCCTTGCTCCCGTTCTTGCTCCCCCCCCTCATGGTCCCACGGAGGCAGCTGTCACCTCTACCCAAGTTCACTCCAAGCATCGTACAGAGAGGGCTTAAGGCCTGCTGCCAGGTGTGTGCGTGGGGGACTCAAGGCCGTGAGTGAAATTTATATATACCCATGTATACAATCACATATGCCAACAATCACATGTGCCAGGTGGTGATGACGTGATGTTTGATCATTGCATGGCATGTGTGGCAAATCATTTTGGCTGCTGTGTGATCTGTTGCATCCCCCACAACCCCTTTGCAGGTCTTCCCCATGACCTGGCTTTCAACTTTCCCCTATCCTCCACGAATCCCTCTTCTCCATTCCCTTGCCCACCCTTCTCCACCCCTCTCCACCCGACTCCACCCCTCGCAGGACTACCACGATCTGGCGAACATATACGTGTCGCGCGATGCAGCAGAGCTCAAGAAGTTTGTCGACTCGCACGAGCAGGCCTTCAAGGCGGTGAGTGCGAGCTCGCACCACATGCACTGTTGTGTGTCTGCACTGTTGTATGCCACAAGATTACGGCACCTCAAACTGCCACCATCGCTCTCATTCTCTCCTTCTGTTCTTTCATTCTCTCCCCTTCTCTCTCCCCCTTCCCCCTCTTCCACTCAGGACAACAACCTTGGTTTGGCCCATCAGGTGGTCGCATCGGTCCCCAAGCGCAGCATCCAGCGTCTCACTCACACCTACCTCACTCTCTCGCTCTCCGACCTCGCTCAGTCGGTGCACCTCTCCTCACCTGCCGAGGCTGAGAAGTACCTTCTCTCCATGGTGAGTGGTTTCCAAGTTTAAATACAATTTTTTTCATGGTAGGCTTGGAAGTGAATTCTTCCTATATGCTGTGCCTTGCAATGTGTACCTTACCTTTCCTTTGTGCCTGTGTGCCTTTTTTTTGTGCCTTTTTTTCTTTCGTGTCTTCATCTGTCACTGTGTGCCTGGCAGATAGCGGACGGGGAGATGTTTGCGAGGATAGACCAGCAGGCAGGCATGGTGAGCTTTGAGGAGGACCCTGAGAAGTACGACTCGCTCGCCATGGCTGCTGTGGTGGAGGAGCACATCCAGAGGTGCGATGAAGAGGTGCATTGAGAGGTGAAAGGTGCATTGAGAGGTGAAAGGTGGATTGGGAGGTGAAAGGTGCATTGAGAGGTGAAAGGTGCATTGAGAGGTGAAAGGTGGATTGGGAGGTGAAAGGTGGATTGAGAGGTGAGAGGTGGATTGAGCTTCGAGGAGGACCCTGAGAAGTACGACTCGCTCGCCATGGCTGCCGTCGCGGAGGAGCACATCCAGAGGTGCGTTTGTTTTGATGAGATGGAGTGCAGCAATGGTTAGGGTCGTTGGTGTCTTTCTCTAGCTTGGAGGCTACAGTCGTGACCCTGAGAAGTACGATTCGCTCGTCATTGCTGTTGCGGTGGAAGAGCACATCCAGAGGTGCGATGAAAAGAATGTTGTGTGTGTGTGTGTTTTTTTTTTTTTTTTTTTTTTTTTTTTTGTTGGTAACAGCAACTCATCCAGATGCTCCTTCAGAGGCGAGATGCACTGTAGACTCATGGCTGGTTCACTTTTTGTCCACGGGTGCTTCACTGTGAGTGTGCGTCCACAACATTTCCACGAACCATGTGTGCTGCACTGTGAATTTGCATCCATGCTTGCTTAATGGATGTGCAGGGCGACTAAGCTGTCCAAGAAGCTGGCGCTGGTGCACGAGCAGATCTCCTCCGACCGAACATACCTCACACGGGTGTGTGCTTGCTGCACACTACTTAGTGCACCATGCTCAGTGCTCACTGCGCACTACTTAGTGCATACTGCTCACTGCACACTTCTTAGTGCACACTGCAATCATCCCCCGCTCTGTTTCAAGCACTTCATTTGGTCAAGCGTCATCGGGCCCTTGGATCCTCGTTCCATGTCTTTCGCTGCTTACTCCACGTTTTTTGCACATTTGAATCGATGGGTGTCTTCCCTCCCATGTATGTTGTATTGCAGGTGCATGCACGCGAGCGTAATATTCGGTATGGAGAGCACGAGGACTATGAGCTTGCACCTCAACGCATGTTTGACACCATGTAGGAAGTACGGTATCCTTGTAGAAAAAACGGAACTCGTTCGGATTGTGGCCGCATGCATGTACTAGGATGTTAGGCACTTGATAGTTGAAGGACGGTCTTGAAGGAACAGATCAATGCAGGCAGGGCGTTGTCCATCTTGAACCTAGTTGCCTACTCCGATTTTAGGCTAAGACTTCTGTTACAGTGAGGCTGTCCTGGTTTTAACCAGCATGATCACCAGTTTCCTCAATAAAGTAATACCGTTGGCCTGTTAGTTGTGTACTGATAGTGTAATCTCATGGAGGCCGATTCCCCAAAATTGGAGCCGAACTGGCCTCCATGGCTCGCTCCTTATCAATTCCCGGAGTTAGCGTGCGTTGCGCCTTCTTCAATCACAGCAACAATTCCCAAGGGATCGCCAGCCATCAAGCATGCCGAGTTGCAGGGTACTTCTTCACTCGAGTACAGCTTGCTTTTCCAAACACGAGCAAGTAGCTCCTGCCCTTGTGCTCTAAGTCGTGTCTGATCATTGCTCGAGGCACGACTCCAGAGTGTTGTCATACCATCCAGGCAGGATGCTTCCGCGGGGAGCAGCCATCGTGCCTGTGGCGATAGTGTCGGTCTGTGCTGTCGCCCTTCTCATCCTTCATGGCCAACCTCTCCTCAGCCATCTCTTGGGTGACGATGGGCCGATGAAGAAGCACATCGATACTGCGAAGGGTCATTTGGTGGTCGCGATGGTCAAAGGAAGGGAGGCTCGCATCAACTTCCTCTCTCCTGTCTTGCAAATTCTTGTGGGAGTTACTGCATTCCTTTCATCGCTTGTCGCTGCGGACCGTCTTTTCCACTTTTACGTCGCCTTGTACTGGAAGTTCTCCAAGAAACGCCCAGAGGAAGCCTTCGAAGCGAACACCTTGCCAGATCCAGCTACCTGTCCCGAAGCTTTCCCCAAAGTTGTTGTTCAGATTCCTATGTTCAACGAGAAAGAGGTGAGGGCATGCGCCACATTTGGTATTCCGAATTTATATCCCGTCTACGTCCCTCACTGTTTGACGTGCGGTGTTATGATTACCTTGCAGGTGTGCGAGCAAGTGATTGACGCATGTTGCAAGCTGATATGGCCGAGATCGCGCCTGTACATCCAGATATTGGACGATTCAACCTGCCCCATTACTCGCAGCAGGGTGGTTAAGAAAGGTATCAGATCACGTTTTTGTCATCCGCGTGTTTCCAAACACACGGCATCATATCGACCTTTCTCTCCTTCCTTGCAGTGGCCGAAAAGGTAGCTCTTGGAATTCACGTGGAGGATCGCTGGAGATCCAATCGGCAAGGATATAAAGCTGGAGCAATGATCGAGGCTGAAAAGGCACTTGGAGATTACGAATTCACTGCTATATTTGATGCAGACTTCAGCCCAGAGCCGGAATTCCTTCTGAAGACGATTCCGTATCTCATTGTAAGTCCTCAGATGCGTTTGCTTTGTTTCTTTCAGGCCAAGTCTTACCGTCGTTGGCTACTCACAGGACAATCCACGGGCTGCGTTTGTCCAAACACGCTGGGTGTTTGCCAATGCGGACGAGTCCGTCTTGACTCGAGTCCAAGAGATCTCACTGAATTATCACCTGAAGTGCGAACAGTATGCCAGATTCGCAACAGGCAACTTCTTCAATTTTAATGGTAGGTGACACATTGTCCATTTCTCTCACGTGCATCAGTAACTAATCATTTAGCGCTATTTTTGCTGCAGGAACGGCTGGAGTATGGAGGCTCTCTGCAATCAAGGATGCAGGCGGCTGGAATAACAGGACAACCGTTGAGGATATGGATCTTTCTCTACGAGCTTACGTTAGAGGCTGGAAGTTTATATTCTTGAATGACGTAACGGTAAGCCAGCGTTCTTGCTCCACTCTATTTTCTGTGGTCCGAGTGGTCTGACGGTTGTCCCCTACCTCCGATGCCATTGTCATGAGTGCAGTGTGTTAACGAGATTCCATCAACATATGCAGCTTTCAGGCACCAACAGCACCGCTGGAGCTGTGGGCCAATGCAACTTTGGAGAAAAGCTATGGATCAAGTCTGGGAATCTGAGGTATGTACATCAGCAGCGGCCAGTTGTTTATCCTGACCGCAGTTGTACTAACTGTGTTTGTCCCTTCTCAGATCCCACTTGTTCAAAAGATTTATCTGAACTGCTTCTTCTTTGGAACAAGGTTGTTCGCCACCCATATTGTGTCCTTTGTGTTCTACTGCACATTGGTGCCCATCTGTGTGGTGGCTCCAGAAGTGACAATCCCGTATTGGGCTTTGGTTTATGTGCCCATCCTGGTTACTATCTCAACAGTGGCTTTCACTCCAAGGTAAGCGTCATAATCACAGCTGCTTATTCATTTTCGTGTACTCTTCTAACAATATTGGCTGCTCTTCTAGGTCGTGGCTGTATGCTGTACCTTTCGTTCTGTTTGAGAATGCCATGAGCATTGTCAAGTTCTCTGCAATGGTCTCCGGAATCTTGGGCCTGTCTACGGCTCATTCATGGGTTGTAACCCAGAAGCTTGGGAACTGGGTCCAGACTGATGCAGCAACTGCAAAGACAGGGCTGGCGAAGTATTTGGGGAAAGCTGGAGCCATTCCACATAGTCTGAGTCTCCCAGTCATTTCTGAAGGCCTGGTGAAGCAAGGAGCTGATAAAGCCCAGCCAGGAGCTGATAAAGCCCAGCCCAAGAATTCTAAAAGCTCTTGGTTCAACCGCACGTAAGTGAATGCTCCAAGGGCAGACATTGCTTCTCTTATCCACCATTTATCTTAACCTTACCATCTCTTCTTTTCTGCAGAATATACAAGAGGGAATTGGGTATGGCTGCCTTTATCTTCGGTGCAGGGATGTACGCGATCTTTGTGGAAGACCGCTGGGATTACTCTATCTTCCTCTTTCTGCAGAGCATTGCGTTCGCCATGTTTGGCTTGAACTTTGTGGACAGGACAAATTGATGCAGTTTTCATAGAACATTGGGTTGAAAGTTTGCGTACTTGGGTGTTCTTTGATACCGTAAGAAATGTTGTACTGGTACATCATTTAATATAAAAGAAGGCAACGTCAACTTATCAAAATGGTAGCTAAATCTAACCAGCTCTAGTCCCGCCACCTGTGCCCACAGTTTGGGTTGCAGCACACAAAAAATAGGGTCATGCCTTCTTCCCCGCGACTTGTAGCCTGTAAGGGACGTGTTCCAAGGAGAAAACAATCACAGATGAGAGAAAATATAGCAATGTAGAGGAAGACTGTCGCATATTGAACCGAGGGCCAACATCGTGGTGGGCCATACCTGAAAGAACACAGCCTCGCCATGGGCACATTTGGCGCAGCGTACTGCCTTGGTGCGAGGAAGTGTGGGATCTGCTGTTACATCTTGCAGAATCTGTGTTCTCTCATCTGCAGTGTGATGCACTTCATTGCGATACACGCAATTGTTATCTGCTGCCTCCTGTTAGTCCGCATAAGCATGAATGGAGGGTGAAGCTGGAGAATATGAAGCTGGAAGGGGGTTGACGCTGGAGTGACACAGCTGACAGGTATATGGATCTAAAAACCCTCAGAATCCCCGGGCAATGTTGCAGTCGTGAAACAAAAAGACGGGCTTGGAATAAGGCATATGGACAAACCTGATGGTCACAGTTTCTGCAAGCATACAGTAATACGCGGTTCTCTCTATCTTCTCTCGGATACAAGATGTTGTTACTGCATACCACATGGAGGCAGAAGAAACGACAAGGGCCGGGAGGGAGCAGGGGAGGGAGCAGGGGAGGGAGCAGGTGGGGGGAGGAGATGGAGGGAAGGGAAGGGGAGGGGCAGACATGTTCACATATACGGCATGAGATGAACCCGCCATGGCAACCGCTCATCTGTGTGCACGGTACGACGAGCAGGCGCATAGACGCGACTGAGCGTCCCAATGGAGAGGAATGAAAGTGAGCACCAGGGGCAAGGGAGTTTCAAGTAGCTGAGCTTCTATGTCTACCAAAAGAGACGGCCGGATAGCTAGGTGACGAAAACCCACCATTCGCGACAAAACTTCATCGCACTCATTGTGGCGAGGATGGTGCGAAGACTTGCACAAGTAGAGGAAGCGACAAACGATGGTTTTACAGCAGAAGTTCAAGCGGGATGAGAACCAAGAAGAGCTCGACTTTGAGCACGTAGTTTTCGTCACCCAAAGCGCGAGCGCGAATGGATTATACCGTGGTTGCGGCACGAAGAAATGAAGAACAGACATAGGAACTGCTTTCTGCAGGCTGCGTGGTGAGGGGCTGTACGCGATAACGTAAGTGGCCAGCCACTGTAATGGCAAGCATTCGTTGTGATGTCATTTACAAACTGAATGCATCGTCTTTTTAATAATACCATTCCTAGTGAAATTAATAAATAGCATACGTGTATAATATCGAGCTGATTATGGGACAATAGGGGAAATCATTATTCGTGGATTTGAACATAATATAGTAAGTGGTACAAACATTGCATTATCGACAAATTGAAAGGGGGATTGGGGTGTACACCAAGCTAGATCAAGTCCTTTTTTTTGGCAGCCTTGCATAGACCAAACTACCTTTCAGGCAGCAAACTGGTCAGCAGGCACTGATCTGATATCAGTGATCTGATTCACCTCGCAGTGCAGAATGTGCTTCTCCCCCCTGATGACTGCATACATAGCATTTGGTGCGATATAATCACACGTGCGTTCAATCCGGAACTCCTCCCCAGGAACCTGGTTCCCAGAGTGAATCTGCACTCCTGTAATGACAGCGTAGTCCGCTGTAGCGGGGTCGACTGTAAGAGAGATGAGGTGCTCGAGGTCGTCAGTGATGGCTTGAAGGGCAGCACGAGTCACTTGCACCAGGGAAGGGCTTCCTGAACCAGGGGGAATCTGTATACGGGCCACGGGAAGTAGTTTATGGTAGACAGGGAGGGAGGGAGGGAGGGAGGGAGGGAAGAAGGAAGGGGGAGGGGTAAGAAGAAGAGAGGGTTGGTTTAAATAGCTGGACGGGGATTTGGGCGGTGAAGGAATGAAATAATGTAGAAGTTGGCAGACAACATCATGTCACGCCATAGACAGACGTTCCCCGCACCTAACAGGGCACTCATTGTTCTCATGTCTTGTGTCAACCATGCACATCTGCATTCATTGCAGTGGCTCCTCCCGTTCATCCCATTAGTGGAACGCCTTAGTCATCCATCGTGATTTCTCAGCACATTTCCATCGACCAATGAACCTGCATGAATCCTTCTGCACACATTTACATCCCTCAACACAATGCTTCATCCACCAGCACACATGTACATTCCCCTAGGTACGCCAATGCCTCTACAACGCACCCCCTCCCCTCCACCCTGAACCTTAAACCCTTGCTTCACCTCCACACACGCCTTAGCGGCAAACCGTCTGAGAATATAAAATCCCGCATTGCCGGAGTCGTCCTTAATCTCCCATAATCTGACTTGTGAGGACCCTATTCCACGTTCTCTCAGTTCATCCTCGATCTCCCCTGAACCGAACTGTGAATCCACAACAAAGTTACTCCCTTGTCCTCGTTTCATCTCCAGACACACGTTAGCGGCGCCATCCCGCTAGAAAAGAACATATCCCCCGTTATTTGGGTTGTCCTCAATCTCCTTGAACTGACTTCTTTTTACACTACCATATGAATCCCGCCTATTCCTTCACCTCCACTCACCTTAGCAGCGATCTTCCTCTTGAGAAGAACGTATTCCCCGTTGTTCGGGTCGTCCTCGATCTCCTCTGAGCGTGAGTACACTAAGAAACACCCCCCTCCACCCTCTTCCCTCCCACCCCACCTCCCGTCACCTCCACACACCTTAGCGGCGATCTTCCTCTTGAGCAGAACGTATTCCGCGTTGTTCGGGTCGTCCTCGATCTCGCCTCCAGCGGAGATGTCGCCTTTAATGGCGATCAGCGCTCCGCACGCCGACGACGGCTTGCCACGCCCGCGGCGAAGCAGCGACCCCACCTCGCCGCTCTCTCCAATGGACACGTGGGGGAAGCCGAAGAAGATGTCTGGAAGGGAGCAAGGAAGAAACGGAGGGAAAAGGATTGAGCATTTTGAATGACAAGGCAGGTCTGTCCAGGCCGTTGCGAACCTCGCCGCTCTCTCCAATGGACACGTGGGGGAAGCCAAAGAAGATGTCTGCAAGTTAAGAAGGGCATGCGAAGAATGGGAAGAGGCGAGGGGGAAGAGAAGAGGGGAAATGTGCAATTGAAGGCACGCGGGATACTGATCCGCAAGAAAGAAGACTCAGGTTACCACTTACATCTTTCGCGAGGCTTCCCGTCGGTTTCGCACGGGAACTCGGGCGAGTGGCTCATAGCCGCCTTGAACCCCGTCTTGCCGCAGTTCACGAGTCCTCCCAGCCCGGTAATGTTAAAACTGAGCCCGAACTCCTAGTCAATTAGATTCACGATGGGATTACCACTTACATCTTTCGCGAGGCTTCCCGTCGGTTTCGCAGGGGAACTCCGGCGAGTGGCTCATAGCCGCCTTGAACCCCGTCTTGCCGCAGTTCACGAGCCCTCCCAGCCCCGCGATGTTAAAGCTGAGCCCGAACTCTTTGTCGATGAGGTTCACGATGGGGCGGCAGACCTCGTCGCGACACGTGTTGACGAGCGCGATGCAGTTGTCCCGCTTAAAGCCCAGGTTGCGCAGCTCGTCCGCCACGGCGTGCATGAAGGTGTCCTCCTGCATCGCGTTGGGGAATGTCGCCGCCATTGTCGCTAGCGCCGCGGGCGCGGCCTGGGGAGGTAGGGGGGTTGGGATGAAGGGAGATAGGTGAGAAGGTGAGGGATTATCGAACCGGATCTGTCTGAATTTCTTGAATTGTTTGTGCCGTTCTTTGAATCATGCGCAATGTGGCATTTCGAGCGATGCAAAAAAAATGGCAGGGTTCAATCCAAGGTCGCCAGTAGAATTGTTTGATTGGAAGGAAGAGAGCGTGGCTTTCAACCTTACGTTTGAAAAGGAAATGAGCAACTTCGCAGCTTACCCTCTTAGCGCGCGAAACAGCAGCACCATTAGCGGCATTCCCCGCCGCTGGAGCCGCACTGGCAGCCGGCTTAACCGCCTTAGACACCAGGGCGAATGTCGCACCGCCCAGGATCCCCGCGCCGAGCAACGCGGGAACGACGACTCCCCCTGGCGAGGAAGCGGGAGCGGAAGGCGCTGCGGCTGTGGCCTTGGAAACGCTCGCAAAAAGCGTCTGCGACGGCTGCGACTGCTGCGACGTGACGGAGTCGTTGCCGCTGGTGGAAGCTGCGACGAGGACTGGGGAAGCGCGACGGGTTGACTGAGCCTTGGGCGCAATCTTGGTCGCCTTTGCGGGCGCAGCGGCGCGGAGGCCGGAAAACGTGGGAATAGAGCTGCTGAGAGCCGCCATGGCGTATTCGCGGGCGGTGACTGGTCCGAGCTGGCTAACTAAGCGAGCTGCGGGTAGCAACTGAGACTAATACGGTCGTGTGAAGCTGTGAAGAACAGCGGGAAATGTAGTATTAGGTATTTATAAAGCTTATCTCAGTCTTGTAACTGAAGTTGCTTCTTTGAGGCATGGGGGAAGTCTCAAGGAATTCCCTACTTTTGGCGGGAAACTAGAATGTTCTGTTTGCCTAACTGGTCAGGATGCCACAGCTCTTTGCCACGTGCGCAGGCCGCCTTGGCTCAAGACACCAGCGAAGAAAGAATTGCGACGTCGTGATGGACCAAATCAAGTCCTTAGACTGGTTGCGACCGTCGCGAAAAAAAATAATGAATTATGAGAAGTAGCCAGCATGGGCTAGAAATCAGTTTTGTGGAAAGATTCATGCTCGCGTGGAATTGTCCTTCACTGGTGGAACATTCAACTCGCAGTTCCATGGTGCAAGATTCATGAATCTGGCTGCCAATGTGTCAGATTGACTGGTTTGAAATGGATACAGTCTTCAACAGAGACCGTTTCAATTGTACTAAAAATCCATTACAGAAACAGAGCATCTCGTATGGATAACAAGTTTCCAGAAGTATACCAGAGTTTATCCACTATTCCGATACTAAAAACAAGCTTCCCATTGTGGTTCACATTCAACTTGCTATTCCTTTGTTAACTGCTCATGAATCTGGATGCTCAGGTTGGCTTGAGATGGAGACAGGCTTACCAGAAAACGTTTATTGCAATAGAAATCCACAAACAAAAACAAAGCATCTTGTTCCTTCGCAATAATTCCTTCACCACCAGAATCTTTTCTTCATTGTTTCAAAGGTGCCTTCTTCACGCGGTCAGCTATCCTTGCAGGTCCATCAACGTGTGACTTGAATCTTCCACGGCCTTCCTCTTCCGTTTCCTGCCACATCAAACAAGAGACAAAACATACCATTACATACAGTGCCACAACCGCCTCACCTCACAGAAAAAAAAACCATTACAATGCCCCTCCCCCGCTTCCCCCCCTCTCCCTTCAAAGAAAAAGTATATGTGCACACTCTCACTATCCAAACTGAATCAAGGCGACACATTACCTTCTTTTTCACGATCTGAACGACATCCTCGTCTCGCAGGACATGCGCCAAGCCGCAGCGCTGCGGGTAGTGCTTGACACTGGTGCCCCAGCACAGCACATACTTCACATCCTTCAGCAAACCCCTGTGAATGTGGTCACAGAAGTCCCGCACTGTACACCCTCCACGATCCTGAGAAGCAGGCAGAACAACAGGAGAGGCGGGAATGGGGGACGAGGGCGGTGGGGGGGGAAAGGGGGGAGGAAGAGGGGTGCGCAATGAAAAAGCGAGAGGTGCAGATAGGTAGGTGATTTTTTAGTCAACTCAAAAATCACCTCCGACCGCAGCGCTGCGGGTAGTGCTTGACACTGGTGCCCCAGCACAGCACATACTTCACATCCTTGAGCAAACCCCTGTGAATGTGGTCACAGAAGTCCCGCACTGTACACCCTCCACGATCCTGAGAAGCGGGCAGAAAACAGGAGAGGGGGAAAAGGAGGAGGAGGGAGGTGGGGGGGAAAGGGGGGGAGGAAGGGGGGTGCACAATGAAAAAGCGAGAGATGCAGATAGATGATTGTTTAGTCAACTCAGAAATCACCTCCGGCCGCAGCGCTGCGGGTAGTGTTTGACACTGGTGCCCCAGCACAGCACATACTTCACATCCTTGAGCAACCCCCTGTGAATGTGGTCACAGAAGTCCCGCACTGTACACCCTCCAATCCTGAGAAGTTGGAAAAAAAAAGGGGGAAAAAAGGGGGGATTTTTTTTTTTTTTTTTTGGAAAAAAAGCATTGGCTATTAGATGAAGCGAGAGACGCAAAGGAGGCTAATTAAGCAGCTGCTTAGTTAACTTACATAGTTGCATCTCTGTGGAGCTGGTGAAGGCACCTAACCCCATCTTGTGGAGTTAGCTGAATGGGTATTGAATAGCACTTGGTCACTGGGGGAAGGAACACAGGGCCAGCAACGTCCGGCTGCTGCTCTATGTGCTATGCCAAATGGTGCATGCACTCTGTGGTCTACTTTTGAGGCACCTCAGAAGTAGATGTATGGCTGCTGCTCTGTGTGATAAGCTGAATGGTGAATGCACTCTGTGGAGTGTGCTTCTGGTGTACACCCCCATCAGCAGCAGTGAAACTCGTTGCCTCATCAGTGGAGAGTTGTGACTGTGTTCAGGAAGTGGTGGAGTGCGGTGCAGTGCAGGGTACTCACGGTGGAGAGCACAACAGGGTCGGTAAAGTCAGGCTGCTGGCCTTGTGGCTTGGTGTACACTCGCACGAGCCCCAACAGCAGAAAGGAGGCCCATTGACGCACTCACAGTGGAAAGCGGTGTCTGTATTTACAAAGCGGTCGAGTACGGTGTAGTACAGGGGGAGAACTCACAGTCGAGAGCACAACAGGGTCGGTGAAGTCGGGCTGCTGGCCCTGTGGCTTGGTGTACACTCGCACGAGCCCCATCAGCAGCAGCGAGACAAGGCCTAGTGATGCAGTCACGGTGGAGAGTGGTGACTCTGTGTGCAGGAAGCGGTGGAGTGCGGTGCAGGGGGGGAACTCACGGTGGAGAGCACAACAGGGTCGGTGAAGTCGGGCTGCTGGCCCTGTGGCTTGGTGTACACTCGCACGAGCCCCATCTCCTCCCACATTCGCGCCAACAGATGGTCCATGTTCAGCTGAGGAAGGAAGGGAAAGGGGGATGTGGTTAAATGGGGAATGGAAGACCGTGAGGCAGCATGAAGAATGAGAAGTGCCTGCAACTGACATGTGCATGTGCATGTGCATGTGCATGTGCATGTGCATGTGCATCGTTCTCACCTCGAGGTTGGCAGAGATGACAACGGAGTGCGGCTGCCTGGCCAGCCTGTCCACATCGTCTATGCCCATGACGTCGATCTTGTTGTACACGTAGAGGCACCGAATGTACTTACGGTTGCCTTCAATCACGTCAATCAAATCGTCCACTGTGCTGTCCTCGCGGAATAGCACCTGGAGGAGATTCATACACGCACATCACAAGGACACTCGATAAATGCACGCACATTACGAGCACACTCAATAAATACATGCACATTACAAGCACAATCAATAAAAGTGCATTTGATACAAAACAATGGTTATAGGATATTCTGTACTCGTGCAAGATCTGCTACCACAGCTTCTCATCTACGCAGCAACACAGACGCACCTCAGCATTGTGAATTTTGAACTCGTGCAAGATCTGGTAGCACAGCTTCTCATCAATGTGCGTGAGAGTGGTGGAAACCACCGCTCCCTTCCTCGCCCACCTCATCCCCCTCCACACACACAACAACACAAATCGACAAACCTCCGCGTTGCGTATCTTGTACTCGTGCAGAATCTGATAGCACAGCTTCTCATCGATGTGCTGTCCGACAGAGGGGTTATATACGAGTCCACACAACACACATGCCACACACGCTTCCCCACGCACCTCAGCATTATGAATCTTGTACTCGTGCAGAATCTGATAGCACAGCTTCTCGTCTATGTGCGTGAGAGGGCCCGTGGAGTTGAATGAGATGCCACCCGTCTTCTTCTTCTTGAAGTAGATCTGATGGGGGAGAGGTGTGGGGTGTGGTGTGGTGGGATGTGGGGGTGAGGTGAGGTGAGGTGGGGTGGGATGGGGCAGCGAGGCGGTAACAGCACAGCTTCACATCGATGTGCGTGAGAGGGCCTGTGGAGTTGAAGGAAACGCCACCTGTCTTCTTCTTCTTGAAGTAGATCTGACAAGTAAAGAGGAGTGGGGGGTGGTGGTGCGGTGTGCAAGAGACCTGATTAAAAGGAGATGACCCTTGTTGTATTCGTGAAGCAGATGTAAGGGGCAGGTGGGTGGGAGGATGGGTGAGAAACAGTCATATGCGTAACGCGGTGACTTGAATGGAATTCCTTCTTCCTTCCCCTCTCAGCTAACCTTCAAACCCACTGCTTAACTGAATGCCCAGCCAATACCCTCAACTCCAGCCCATACCCTCAATCGCAGCAGCCCATACCCTCTCAGCCACTCCTGCCCACGCTCACATTAGGTGGCTGCTTGTTGAGGCGCAGCCCCACAGCCTCGAGCTCCTTGGTAAGAATCTGCCGGTGGGCGTCGCTCTGTAAGAGATGTGAGGGAGAGGAGGGTGCATAGGGGTAGGGGGGTGTGTGGAAGGATTGCGGTGGGTGGAACAGTATAGACTGAAAGTCAGGAAGAGACAAACTCAAGCTCGCAGTTAGTTTTTAAGAGTTTTGAACAAAGTAAAATCTGGTGGTGGGTGTCGCTCTGAAGGCGAGGGGGGAAGGAGGCAGAGGGAGGGAAAAGGGGGCAGAAAGGGACGAGGAAACGGGACGGGGGACGCAGGTTGGAAGCACGTGTTGCAACACGTCTACCCCATCTCACCTTGGACGCGTCCAGAACCATGAGCACGAGGTCAGAAGACTTGGCTGTGCACGGTTAAGTTTGGCTTTCTCAAAAACACGTGATCAAACAGACCCTGATGCTGAAGGGTGTTTTTGAGAATTCTCAAAAACACCCTTCATCATCTTGGAGGCGTCCAGACCAGAACCATGAGAAAGTGGTCAGACGACTTGGGTCGATGCTCATTAAGCATGAGCGAGTGACAACTCCCTCACCTTAGGTAACCTCAGATCAGGTAACTTTGATATCTAGTTGACACCTCGTTTACCTTCCCGTCCCGGCTTGCCTTTTCCCCATCAGAGCCTCACCTTGGACGCGTCCAGAACCATGAGCACGTGATCAGACGACTTGGGTCGATGCTAATGAAGTATGAGCGAGTGACAACTCCCTCAGATAACTATTTACCTTCCCCGCCTGCCTTTTCCCCATCAGGATCTCACCTTGGAGGCGTCCAGAACCATGAGCACGAGATCAGACGACTTGGCGACTGCAATGACCTGATGAGGAGGAGATGAGACAGGAAGAGGGAGGATGGGGAGAGGAGGGAGCGAGAAAGGAGAGGAGAGAGGGGGGAGAGAGGAAAATGGAGAGCGGGAGGAGAAGAGGCGGGAGAGAGGAAATAAGAGAGGAGATGGGGGTTGAGTCGGCATAGAGAACCATGAGCACGAGGTCAGAGGACTTGGCGACTGCAATGTCCTGATGGGGAGGAGGCGGGCAGGGAGAGAGGGGAAGGAAGGAAGGAAGGAGAGGATGGAATGAGGCAGGCAGGCAGGCAGGCAGGCAGGCACGCAGGCAGGCAGGCAGGCACGCAGGCAGGCAGGCAGGCAGGAAAAATCGGAAGAGTGGGCAAAAGCGTGTGGATGTGACGAAAAGGTGAAGAGGGAAAAGTCACCGTGTAAGATGATCAGAAATTTCACCAGCTCACACTCATTTGGTCTGGCTGAAATTTCACACAGACCTGATAGCTACTCACCCCGACCAACCCCACCCACCTGGCGCCCCACGCACCTTGCCCTGGGACGCGCCCTCAGTAATCCCCGGCAAATCCAGCAATTGAATATCTTGGTGTCGATGTAGTTGATGATCCCAGGGATGCACGTCAGCATCGTGAACTCGTACGCTGCTATCTTGCCTCCCTCCCTCCCTCTCATTCTCTCACCCACTCACTCAGTCCCTCACTAACTCACTGTCTCTCAACACCTCACTCACTCTCTCCCTCACTCAATCGCACCCCCTCCGCCCTACCCACCCACCACCTACCCACCTGTCTGCCGCATCCCTTGCCTTGAGACGCGCAATCAATTACCCCCGGCAGGTCCAGCAGCTGAATCTTGGTGTCACTGTAGTTGATTATCCCCAAGATGCAAGCACGTCAGCGTCGTGAACTCGTACGTTGATCCCTTCCCTGTCTCCCTCCCTCCCTCTCATTCCCCATTCACTCACTCACTCACTCCCACACTCACTCAATTTCCCTCTCACTCCCTCCGTCACTCTCTCCCTCACTCGCTCGCACCCACCCCCCACCCACCTGTCTCCCGCGACCTTTGCCCTGCGACGCGCCCTCGATAATTCCCGGCAGATCCAGCAGTTGAATCTTGGTATCATTGTAATTAATAATCCCAGGAATGCACGTCAGCGTTGTGAACTCGTACGCGGCTGCCTCTGAGCGTGTGCCAGTGAGGACAGTAAGGAGGGTTGATTTTCCAACACTGGGAAAACCAATCAGTGCAACTCGCCCGTGGCCAAACTTGGTCACCTCAAACCCCTCGCCTGCGCCTGACGAGCCCTGCAGGGAGTGGGGAGATAGGAAGGAGGGAGAGGGAAGAGAAGAGGGGAAAGGCAAGAGAAACAGATTCGTGAGAGCATGCGACTAGTATGTTGCTGCATCTACCCATGGCCCTCTGACCGTGAACATCTGAGCACGTGCCAGTGAGCATGGTGAAGACAGGGGATTTTTACACGCTGCACAAATAGCTCTAAGCCTCTGACTGTAAGCATCTGCGCACGTGTCAGTGGGCATGGTAAAAGAGGGGGGAAATTACCCCACATTGAGCAAATAGCTCTAAGCCTCTGACTGTGAGCATCTGAGCACGTGCTATGAGTGCATGCTTATAAGAGCACGGTCAGGGGAGCATCGGATGGGATGGCATGGATCCAGATGCTGAATAAGACACTGACGTGTAGCTTATATGGCGTACAGACGGCACCTTGGCTGGTTTTAGCCTCCAGGTAACCAATCTGTAAGACACACGTGGGTTACATGTACAAAGACCACATTTTGGCTGGCTCCAGGAGCTGTGTTTGCAAAATGCATGGCTTTCATCACGTATATGGCTCTTATGGCTTATATGGCTTGTATGGCGTACAAACCGCACCTTGGCTGGTTCAAGCAGCTGTGTTCGCAGGCGAGCTAGCTTCGCCTTGAGCTGACCCAAATGGTACTCTGCACGGAGTGGAAACGAGAGATACGATAACGAGGATGAATGTTCGCAGGCGAGCTAGCTTCGCATTGAGCTGACCCAGATGGCACTCTGCACGTCAAGAAGGGATACGAGGAAGACAATAACGAGGGTGGAATTGATGGCAATACAGAGGGGAAGCAAGTACGAGGGAACAAAGGCACTTGTGGCATACGAGCGTGCGACCATGCGACCACGTGGCCAGGCAATCAGGCGACCAGGCGACCAGGCGACCAGGCAACCAGGCAATCAGGCGACCCAGGCGACCAGGCGACCAGGCGACAAGGAGTTTAACAAATCCATCCGTATGCATGCGACAACGAGGCAGCTGCAGTCATGACATGACATCCCCCATGATCATAATGCGATATGATCATTATGACATAATGATGACAGCGCAACCACCAGGTGATGTGAAACCTGCCTGAATGATTCCACGCCTGCACCACGCGTGAAACCACCACCCGTCACACCTATCAGTGGCATTCACCTGTAAGGGGACCTCACCCGTTGCTTTGTTCTTCTGCGTGCGAGCCATTTCCAGCTCAATCTCCTTAATCTTCTCCAGGACCCCCATGGCTGCTGGCCTTTATACAATCCAATATCGACTTCCTGAGGATTGTTTGAAACAGATTGATCGACGATCGAGATCGTCGACGGCCGAGATTTGTTCGACGCCTAAACTGATCGACAGTCGAGACCGATTGAGGGTTGAGATTGATCGACGGTCAGGGTAGGCGGAGACGGATCGGTCGAAACGAAGAGGCCTAACGAACAGGGATCACCAGGTCGTAAACGCGTCTTCCCTGGTCGGAATCACTTCGACCGGTCGTCTTCACAGGGGAAGCAACCAGGGCAATGCTGCCTGCCAGCGCAGCACGACACGAAAAGGCTGTTGAAGCTTGGGAATAAAAGCCGAGTTCCCCGAAATCGCGTCAGCCTATAGTGGGGTATGGGTGGGATGGGATGGGATGGGAGGGGTGGTGGGGTGGCGATGAGGAGGTTCAGGGGGTTTTGTACGCGTTATATGCTGTATGTTAGAGAGTAGAGATCATTGCGTGATGCTGTGCATTTCAGAACCATTGCGTGTCAGCGTAGCACAAACAAATGAAAACAGTATGACAACAAACCTGGATGAAAGTCACCAACATGACGGCATGACGGCATGAGGGCATGACAGGATCGAAGTTTTGGACATGTCAACAAGGCACGCAAATCCCACCTTCACACTATCGCACGACCGAGTATTCAAGGAGGTAGCTAAAACTCGTTTCCAGCAACCCTATGATTTGCCCGTCGCAGCAATGGCGCGCGACGCTGATACTTAAAGCCCGTCTTGAAACCCTAGTCGAATCAGATCTCGTCGTGCAGCAGCGTGCGTACAAGGAAAGAGCGACGCGTCGCGGCCACCAACGCGCGTACAAGAAAGGAGCGACGCGTCGCGGCCACCATGGCACAAGCGGCGCTGACGGCGCTGGACACGTGGACGGCGCGCGATTGGCGGAAGGAGGAGCGGCAATGGCGCGAAGAGCTGCGCCGGTGGCGCGCGGATGACGTGGCGTTCCGTGCGGAGGAGAGGCGATTCAAAGCGGAGGAGCGCATATTCCGCGCTGTGCGACACAGGTGTGCTTTTAGCGGATGTCTTTTAACGGGTGCGTAGCGGGTGTGCCTCTAACGGTTGTGCTTCTAACAAGCGTTCGTATCACCCCGTTTCACAACGAATAACCTGTCTGACCGAGTAAAAAGTATTCAAATTCCGTTCCGCGCCTGTCCCTCTCCTCGAATGCCCTCTCGCCAGGTGGCGCCACGAGATAATGCAGCAGCGCCACGTGGACAACGCCATGCACCTGTGGGACCGGTAAGAAGGAGGCGCAGCAGAGGCGGTGTACCTGGGGAGTGTTTATCTAAGAAGCGTTGCTATGCGGTGCGGTGTATATGTGGGACAGAGTTGGGGAACGAGGCAGGGAAAGAGTAACCAAGGAGGGAGAGGGCATAGAGAGGAGGTACAAGGGGAGAAAAATGGTTTAGTCTCTTGGTATACCTCGCTTTTGTGAGTGATGCACTTTTGTGAGAAAAATGCACTTTTGTGAGAAAAATGCACTTTGTGAGAAAAATGCACTTTTGTGAGTGATGTCTGTTGGTATACCTCACTTTCAGTCCCTCGATATCTTGCATTCCCCATGGCTTTTGTCACTGAAAGACCGTGTCCCCCCCATCCATAACCCTGCTTGCCTCTCCCTCCGCTACTTTCCCCTCCCCGCCAGCACCAAGGAATGCAACAGCCGGAGCGTGGAGGAGAAGGCATAGAGAAGCACATAGGAGGCGTGGCATTGCATGGCGTGGCGTGGCGTGGCGTGGCGTGGCATAGCACACCATCATCCTCATTTCTCCTACTCTCTGCTCCCCAATCCTCTCCGTGCCATCTCTCCCCCACCCCTGCCAGCACCAAGGAGTGCAACAGGCGGAACGTGGAGGAGATGGCGGAGCACATGAGGGCCATGGCGTGGCACACCTCGCTCCTCGTCGCTCATCCTCCTTTCCCCCACTCTCTGCGCCCAATCCCCTCCTTTCCATCTCTTCTCCCCCCCCCCCCCCCCCCACCAGCACCAAGGAGTGCAACAGGCGGAGAGTGGAGGAGAAGGCGGGGCACATGAGAGCCATGGCGTGGCAAGCGCACCTCCCCAACCTCTTTCCTCTCTCCTCTCCCCACGTTTCCCTCACTGCCCCCGCAACAAGCACCAAGGAGTGCAACAGGCGCAGTGTGGAGGAGAAGGCAGAGCACATGAGGGCCATGGCGTGGCTGGCGGCTATAGTGGGCGGATTCACCATGACTGCCCCCGTGGAGTTCACTTACAGCGACCCCGATGCCCCCATGGTGAGGCTGCACTCCACCGTACTCCACTGCACTCCATAGCACTGCAATCCCCTCCACTGCACTGCACCATGCTAAAATGTGTATTCCCATACACATGAGGGCCATGGCGTGGCTGGCGGCTATAGTGGGCGGATTCACCATGACTGCTCCTGTGGAATTCACCTATAGCGACCCCGATGCTCCAATGGTGATGTACCGCACTGCACCACACTCCACAGCACTGCAATCCTCTCCACCGCACCCAATTGTGCTATGCTGTGTGTGGAGCACATGAGGGCCATGGACTGCACCAGTGGAGTTCACTTACAGCGACCCCCATGCTCCCATGGTGATGCATCGCTCTGCACCGCACTCCACTGCACAGAGCTGCTCCCCACCATGCTGCACCACACTGAACTGTGCTATGCTGTTGCGCTTGACTACCCCATCCCATAGCAATGCTCACATGGTTGAGTGGGTATGCATGCATGGTAACTCGTTCCCCACGCGTACATACACCCACACCCCCCAATGCAGGTCGCATTGAATACACTCCTCTTCTTCCCCCCTTCAAAATCCAAACCACCTACGCTCCCTCTCACCTCCCCATCCTCTCCCTCACTCGCTGTGGCCCCCTCACTCCCCCCCGGCAGGCCCTTGTCACGGCATATGCCCTCTGCACTGCTCTCGTGGTGAGTGGTGTGGATAGGCGTGTATGCACATGCATAGGATAGGATAGGGGACATGCACATGCATAGGATAGGATAGGGGACATGCACATGCATAGGATAGGGGACATGCACATGCATAGGATAGGGGACATGCACATGCATAGGATAAGGGACATGCACATGCATAGGATAGGGGACGTGCACATGCATAGGATAGGGGACATGCACATGCATAGGATAGGGGACATGCACATGCATAGGATAGGGGACATGCACATGCATAGGATAGGGGACATGCACATGCATAGGATAGGGGACATGCACATGCATAAGATAGGGGACATGCACATGCATAGGATAGGGGACATGCACATGCATAGGATAGGGGACATGCACATGCATAGGATAGGGGACATGCACATGCATAGGATAGGGGACATGCACATGCATAGGATAGGGGACATGCACATGCATAGGATAGGGGACATGCACATGCATAGGATAGGGGACATGCACATGCATAGGATATGGGACATGCACATGCATAGGATAGGGGACATGCACATGCATAGGATAGGATAGGGGACATGCACATGCATAGGATAGGGGACATGCACATGCATAGGATAGGGGACATGCACATGCATAGGATAGGGGACATGCACATGCATAGGATAGGATAGGGGACATGCACATGCATAGGATAGGGGACATGCACATGCATAGGATAGGATAGGGGACATGCACATGCATAGGATAGGGGACATGCACATGCATAGGATAGGATAGGGGACATGCACATGCATAGGATAGGATAGGGGACATGCACATGCATAGGATAGGGGACATGCACATGCATAGGATAGGGGACATGCACATGCATAGGATAGGGGACATGCACATGCATAGGATAGGGGACATGCACATGCATAGGATAGGATAGGGGACATGCACATGCATAGGATAGGGGACATGCACATGCATAGGATAGGATAGGGGACATGCACATGCATAGGATAGGATAGGGGACATGCACATGCATAGGATAGGATAGGGGACATGCACATGCATAGGATAGGGGACATGCACATGCATAGGATAGGGGACATGCACATGCATAGGATAGGATAGGATAGGGGACATGCACATGCATAGGATAGGATAGGGGACATGCACATGCATAGGATAGGGGACATGCACATGCATAGGATAGGATAGGGGACATGCACATGCATAGGATAGGGGACATGCACATGCATAGGATAGGATAGGGGACATGCACATGCATAGGATAGGGGACATGCACATGCATAGGATAGGGGACATGCACATGCATAGGATAGGGGACATGCACATGCATAGGATAGGATAGGGGACATGCACATGCATAGGATAGGGGACATGCACATGCATAGGATAGGATAGGGGACATGCACATGGATAGGATAGGGGACATGCACCGGCAGAGGCAGAGGTAAATGCACATGCAAATACACATGTGAATGCACATGCAAATACACATGTGAATGCACATGCAAATACACATGTGAATGCACATGCAAATACACATGTGAATGCACATGCAAATACACATGTGAATGCACATGCACGTGCACATGCACATGCGGGGTGCACATGCGCAGCTGGATATGATCTTTTGCCCCTGCCCCTCTCCCCTCCCTTCTCTCTCTCCCCTTTTTCCATTCCCCCACTCCCCTCAACTAACCCAACTGTCACTGATGGTAGTAGCAGCAATGATAGCAGTGTTTGTGTTAGGAGCAGTGCTGAGGATGGGCAAGCTCTACGTGCACGAGAGGGAGGAGGAGGAGTTTCTCGCCTCCTCCAGCTGCTTCCTGCTCTCCCATTCTTGCCCCCTCCTCCCTTCCCTTTATCCCTGCCCCCTACCCCCTGCCTCCTACCCCCTGCCCCCTGCCCCCTGCCCCTCCACCCCTTCCCCCTGCCAATCTCCCCACCCCAAATCCAGCCATCACTGATGGTAGTAGCAGCAATGATAGCAGTGTTTGTGTTAGGAGCAGTGCTGAGGATGGGCAAGCTCTACGTGCACGAGAGGGAGGAGGAGGAGTTCCTCGCCTCTGCCCGCTTCTTCGCACTCAACCGGGCGGCGGCGGGCGGCAGCAGGACGACGGTCGCCGCCCCACCTGCTGCCTTGAGGAGCTTTGACCGCTTCTGGGACCTCAGGTGATCAATCGCCTTCAGGGCCGCTGGTGATTGATGCATGGAACTACTTTTGAGGCTCATAGCAAAACCGCAAGACTTGAGACGACTTTTGAAGCGCGTCAAAAGTCGTCTCAGGCGATTGATCACCGACAGGGCCTCAGACGCATGGAACCATCTTCCCACTTTTGTATCCTCCGTTCCGTCTCTTCGTTTCTCCCCTATTCCGTCCTCTTCCCTCCCCTCCCCCCCTCTGATTTTACCTCCTGTATCCCTTCTTCCTCTTCCGCATACACCCCTTCATGGTTTTCTCTCTCTCGACCCTTGTATCTTCCCTTCCACTCCCCTCGTATCGTCTCTTCCCTTTCCCTCCTATCCTTTCTTTCACCCCCTCTGTGCTCACACCTCCCCTCCCTTGGTATCCTCACTTCCCATCCCTCACTTCCCATCTCTCACTTACCATCTCTCACTTCCCATCTCTCACTTCCCATCTCTTACTTCCCATCTCTCACTTCCCATCTCTCACTTCCCATCTCTCACTTCCCATCTCTCACTTCCCATCTCTCACTTCCCATCTCTCACTTCCTCTCAATCCAGATGCGAATCCGATTGGCGGCTGACCTTCCGCCTCTTTTCTGCTGGTAGGTACCGTTTGGTGTGTTTTGAGGTGACTTTTGAGTCGACTCAAAAGTCACCTCGTTACTATGGCACACGCCTATTTCTGCTGGTAGGTACCGTTTGGTATGTTTTGAGTCGACTCAAAACACACCTACGAAGCGGATGTCATGACTCATAAACAAATGAAATCAGACGAGTTTTGAGGCACCGCAAAACTGGGTAAGGTACGTGCCGTGCAGTTCAGTCCAGTCACTAGAACGAATACTGTGTGTGAGGTGACTTTTGAGTCGACTCAAAAGTCACTAGAACGAATACTGTGTGTGAGGTGACTTTTGAGTCGACTCAAAAGTCGCTAGAACGAATACTGTGTGTGAGGAAGCTGGTGCCATGTCAAGTGCCTAGTTCCCGTGCCTTTCCAACGTTTGGGGCTATCAAGTGAGGGTTTGGAGAGGAGCGGAGGGCGGGGAGGGGAGGGTTGGGGAAGAGGAATGGAGGGGAGGGGAGGGGAGGGGAGGGGAGGGGAGGGAAGAATTTTAGGTTTTGAAGCATGTCTCAGATCCATCTAGAGCCTGCTTTTCCACTTGACGCATTACTGAAACGGCACAGACTCGTTAGTGTCACAGCATGGCCAATGGCCTATTGTCATGGTGTTTCAGCCCTCACATTCAAATCATGAAAGTCAACACTCGCATTCCATGCCAATCCAAGGATCCGACAAAAACCCCCCCACCAACCCCCTTCCTCACTCTCTGCAACACAAGCTCCATAACCCCCTTCGCCCCCCAATTCCGCCCCAATCCTCCCAACCAACTCATCACATTTACCCCCAAAACTTAACGCGTCCACTCCCTCTTTTTTCATCCCTCTTTTTGCATCCCTCTTTTTGCATCCCTCTTTTTGCATCCCTCTTTTTGCAGGCATTACCTTCTTCTTCCCTCTGCTTTCCACCATGGCGTGAGTTCCTCCTATGGCATGGCATGGTAGACATGGCATGGCATGGTAGACATGGCATGACATGGTAGACATGGCATGGTAGACATGGCATGGCATGGTAGACATGGCATGGCATGGTAGACATGGCATGGCATGGTAGACATGGCATGGCATGGCATGGTAGACATGGCATGGCATGGTAGACATGGCATGGCATGGTAGACATGGCATGGCATGGTAGACATGGCATGGCATGGCAGGCATGGCATGGCACACGTTCCATTGATGCCTTTGCTTCACAATCATATCACACCCGTTCAACTCATCTCAGCCCATATGCCCTGCAACAAAGAAAGAAAGAAAGGCAAGAAGGATTCTGCTTCTGGAATTCTCATGAGATTCGTGTACCTTCCATTCGCACACACCATCACAATCAAGTTCCTCAAGTTCCACCCCAGCGTCTTGATTCCTATGCATCCCATGAAGTTCACACTTCCTGCACATGTCTCCGCCCCCTCCACACACGCACACACCATCACCCTCAGGTTCCTCAAGTTCCACCCCAACGTCTGGATCCCATCCATCTTCTCCTCAGTGCTGCTCGTAGCTCTCATCCAATGGTACACTACATTCCCACTACAATGGTACACCACACCACACCACACCACACCACACTCCCTTTTACACTGTGCATGGCACGATTGTTTGCAGTAAGTGCCTTGACAAATGCGTCACACCATCAATCGACGCATTGATCCGCCCATTTCCTGCTTTTATGCCATGCACATGCCATCCCGTGCCATCACGACATTCCACCAACCATGATGAATTTATCAACCCACTCCCTCACATAGCGTTCTTCCATTCCACCCATCACCCCCCACTCTTGCTGCTCCACCCGGTCTCTCTTTCCCCTCCCATCAAGGTTCTTCCTCTTGCAAAAGTGGGGTCGCTATCTCACCTCCCCACTCCCCTCCTCTTCCACTTCCTCCTCACACCCTCCTCCCCACACCCCCCGAGCATCGCACTTGACCCATGATTCTCTACTTATGCGTACGCCCCGCCCACCCATCTCCAACCATCCGATCGACTGGCACATACGGCCTTTGCCGCTCCTACCCCCGTCTGGAGATGACATTGCATCTTCCTCCACACATAGCGGCAGTTTGAGTGGTTATGCCGATGTTGATCGCGAGCCTTACCTTGTTGATTCTTTCAGATCCTCGGGCGAGCATACATTGGAGGACGAGATGTACAATAATGATGATGTTGAAAATGGTGCGGCAAATAGGGTTGAAGGCGATGATTTAGGGCGTCGAGAAGAGAAGGCTGATAGTTACCGTCAGTTGGAGCTTATGCAGGTTTCAGGCTTGTTGGAAGGCGTGGTGCGAGGAGTAGATTTTGATGTGGAGGAAGTGGAGCTTGATAGGAATTGATGTGAACATCAATAAAATCGTTTGTGAAGGTTGCCCTGGCAGTGCAGTTCCGAGTTACTTCAGAGGTCTTCAAACGAATTATTGTTGCAGGGGGATATTCAGGCTGATCTTGCTTGAGATGCTGCATCAGATTCATGATAATCTGACGTGTATCACACTTGATGGGTGGAGATGCGACCTCCACATTTTGGGTTGCTCTCCGCCACGCAAATCGGTCTTCATCACTGCAAGCGAGTTTCACCCAGCCAATGCCCGTCGCCAAGGGCACACGACTTGGATTTCCGATTCGTGATTCTCGTACCTGGGAGCCAATGACAGTATCGCTAGACTCGGCCGTCACAGTTGTTCCAACATGGGTTCAGCTCAACCCCTCCTAAGAACGGGTGCGAAGCTCGCAGCAATATTGCGAACGCTTGCGACCTCGCAAATTTTCCGGCTCGATGTCTCGGCGAAACGAAAAATCTCGACGGAACGTGGAAACTTGCGATACGATTCGCGGTGCCGTGAATGCAATCGCACCACCCGCGAGAAACACACAAGTCACGTATGCGCTTCGGGCTCACATATAGAAAAAAAACCCACTTAGAAGCCCCTTTGCAACTATGATACCTTGCACCAGCGAATCCAACCGCATCATCCCTGTGTCGAGGAATTTGGTCGGGTCGAGGCGAGGAAAACTCTCTTGTGTTCTGTTGCTGGTGTGCTCTGTTGCTTTGGTGTGGTCTCGGAAGAGATTTCCCTGCCTCTCCTCGCTGCCTACGAAGGAATGAAAACACGTGTGGAAGCGTCCTGACTCCTGAGCCCCAACCAGCCTATTTCCTTCAGACCGCCCCCCGGGACGGGAATTTGTTGTAGACGTTCATTTCTGGAGCGAACCACCGGAGGGGGGCTATAGTGTAAGGCATCAATCAGTAACCCAGTTCCGCCTCAGCCTTTATTACCGCCTTCCCTCCGCTCAACTATGACCGAGGTCCTCAGTTCCCACGGCCACGCATCCGCCTCGTCGGCATCGTTAGGCCTAGCGACGCATCCGTGGGAGCTTATGGACGGCGGCGCGTTGAATAAAGCGGGAGCCATGGCGGCAATCGCGGAGAGCGAGGTGTTCGAGTCGGGCGACGACGACGAGGAGAGCCGACTGCTCTGGCAGATCATGATGATCGAGGAAGCGGCGCGAGAGGCGGCCGCGCAACGAGCGGAAGCGGTAAACACAACGGAAGCGGCACACACAGCAGAGGCCACGAGGGAAACAAACGAAACGATAGAAACAACAGAACCGACGGGAACGTCAGAACCGACAGAAGAATCAACGGAAACGCAATTGGCGGAAACGTCTGATTTGACGGAAACACCTGACACGGCGGAGGCCGCGGAGGAGTCAGCTGAAGAATTGAAGCAAGTGGCGGAGGTTGCGGCGGCGGAGACCACGGCGGAGGAGTGCGCGAAGGAGGAAAGCGCGGAAAAGAGCGCGGCGACGGAGAGGGCGGCGGCGGAGAGCTCGGCGGCAGAGAGGGCGGTGGCGGAGGACGGGGAGGCGGAGAGCGCGGTGGCGGAGAGGGCAGTGGCGGAGAGCGCGGTGGCGGAGAGGGCAGTGGCGGAGAGCGCGGTGGCGGATAGCGTAGAGGCGGAGGGCGCAGCGGCGGAGAGCGTGGCACTCGTCACCTCTACCAACGCCGCCATTGCTAGCGACACCGGTACCACAGCCATCGCCGCTGCTCCGAGGGCTGAAACCGCTGAAACCTTGAACGCCCCAAGCAGCAGCAGCAATGGCGGCGGCTTCGGCGGCGGCGGCATTCGCAAGAGCACAAGCGCAAGCGGGCTTTTCACTCTCGAATCCGCAACCAGCAATACTCCTACCAGTGACACGCCGCCCATCAGCACCAGCGCCGGCGCTGCTCCGCACAAAGATGCCTCGCGCGCGGCGAGCACCGGCGGAAGCATAAGCAAAAGCACCAGCACCGGAGCCCTCTCCTCCCTCATTTCCGCGCGCTCCTTCCGCATCCGCGGAAAGTCCTCAGGCGGAGGGCTTTCCTTCCTCCCCGCCCTCACTGTTCCGGACTCCCCCTCAGCCTCCGACGACCACGGCCCGCTCTCCTGCTCCGCCATCCCTTCCGCAGCCGCCGCTGCCCCCAGCAGGAGCGTCGGCCCCCTGCTCACGCCCTCCCGTCGCTTTTCAAAATGGTTCTCGTTTAGGGCGGCGGATAAGGCGCAAGCTTCTAGCGGGGATAGCAATGCGGCTGCTGCCAAGTCTGCCGCGCAGTTCCTGTCTGGGAAGCCTGCGACTGGCGGTTTTTCCTCCGCTGCTGTCTCTGACTCGAGTGAGGTTGTGTCTCTGAGCGTGGCCGAACCCATTGCGGAGTGCGAGAGCGAGGAGGGGAGGGGAAGCGCAGAAGAAACGGGCAAGTCCAAAGACACATCCTCGTTAGGGTTGGTCTCGCCAAAGTGAGTAATCCCACCTTGCTGCCACCAGCCACGAGCGTGTGTGACACGCCATCCTGATTCGTTCCTTGCCGGTCCCCGGTGACCCCAGTAGGTCCACAGCTCCCATGCATTTCCCCCTCCTCCACCCTCCCGCTTCCCCTAAGTGGCCTGTCATTCCGGCCCAGCTGCCCACAAAATCTACTCCCATCCACCTTGTCCCCACTCCTAACCAACACCTCTCCTGGCTCCATACCCTGTATTTGTGGCTGTGCGGCACTAATGACTGCTTTGTTGTCCTCCCTCTCTTCCCTACAACAGGAAGCGCATGGTGCCATTTCGCAAAATGGCAACATTCAAGTGAGAATGTTTATATTCTGTGATGCAGCCTCCTCTTTCATAGGATAGCCAAACTTGTCTTGTGTGCGGTGCCTTCTCTCTAGTTGCAAGTATGACTAGTATGGTAGAGGCATGTATGTATGTACAGGGTTGCTTATTTTGTGCACTGCAACAGACGTTGAGTTTTGACAAACAATTCCAAGAAGATTGGAGACTATGAGATTGACAGCAATAAGAAGTGTCATGCAAATCATTAGAGCAGTTCGCTGATATACAAGCATAATTTCAAAAAGCTTCTATAGAGCAGGATGGAAAACGTTGCCTCGGGTATGGAATGCTGTTGAAAGCCTCACGCGGACCGCGACTTCAACCGACATCCCACCACCACTATCGGTCAACGAGCTTCGCGACATTTTCTGGGCCCCCATACGACAAGTACAGTAGCCTCCTCCCGTCTCTCAGTTTCCAGCACGACGAATTCAAGCCTATCGTCCACCGGAATTGTAACTTCGTCTCCCCTGCATCACCGCTTCCCGCGCCGCATGTCGGTAATTGTTGACGCGCTCCCGCTCCCAGCCAACCCCTTGCCCCACCTATAAAGCATTTTCCGTGCATCTCAACCTTCCATCGAATTCATTCGTGCCTCTCATCAATTTCGCTTCCCTTGAGTCTCGAAGTCACCCGCTCGCTTCAGATTCGCCCCAGGAGCCAAAACCCTCCAGCGTATCGCATTTCAGATCGTCGCTCCGCGCATAACTATTTCTCGCTGTACAATCGTGCACTTCAATCCTGAACATGGCCAGCTCGCGGTACCTCTCTCTCTTGGGGCTGCTTTGCATCGTGCTGTGCTTTGCGAGCGCGCACGCCCAGGCGCCGGCGAAGCCCACCAAGGCGCAAATAAAAGCGGAGCTACAAAACATGGCGAACGCAATTACTAAGAAGTTTCCGCAATACTCGAAATATGCCAAGGACATCAACAAGTACATCGGCCTCGCACGTAAGGACTCTCTTCTAGTGTTTTTCTACTTCCAATGTACTCGCCTCGCCTTGTTATGTGCCGCCACCATAATTCCCAAAATGAACGACGTCAAGATCCCATGCTAGCTTATCGGATTCTCCCCTCGACGAGGCAAATGCACGTCGATTACTAACCTCTTCCAAGTCGTTTCCGTAATCCTGTTTTGTTCCGTTCCAACTAGCTAGAAAACCGCCAGACTTCCTGTTTCCTGTTTCTTAATTCCCGCTCTGCGCCTACTTTAGGCTCTGTCCCCCACTTGCCATCCCGTGAACCCCCGTACCAAGTTCGCTAGAGGTTTTACTAAATCCTACCTTGTTCTCTATTCGCGCTCTATCTCTGCCTCTCCCTCTCTGCCTCTCCCTCTCTGCCTCTCCCCCACCCTCGAAACCCCCTCCAGTGAACTCCAAGTACGATTTCACAGCGCTCAGCGACGCAACTCTCCTTCTCCCCAGCGACACGGAGGCGGAGGCACTCGCTAAGAAGGTTCCCGTTAATAAAGCCAACATCCCCAGAATCTACAACATCACGGCGTACCACATTATCCGCAAGAAGTACACCGTTCCCGCGCTCAAGGTGCTCAAGAAGTCGCAGCCGCTCGGCACGCAGCTGAAGCAGGCGATGTACAAGGTTTCGCAGCAGAATGGTAACGTTGTTTCTTTCGCCAAGACGCCCAACGCCCCCCCTGCCGCCTGGACCACGATCAAGATCGTCCGGCTGTACGCTGGACCGTACTTCATCGCTCACGGCGTGGATAAAGTCCTGATTCCCACGAACACCAAGGTGTAAATTCTTGAGCGCGCGAACAGCCCAAATTAAGGATTACTTCTAGAAGTAGGTTATCCGTTCCCAGTTGACAGTCAGTCATGCTACGGGTTCAACCTCTGAACTAGAGATGACTGGGCGTCAACTCGGCACACAATAGTTTCTTGTGGCTTGAAGAGTCAAGAAAGTTGTTTGTGGTATGCGAAGGCTTGGAAGTATCATTTTGCGGAAGTGTTTGACATATGTGTAAATGTTTCACCCAAAACAAAAATCGTTACAAGTCAGTCTCTAAGAGATGGACACAGAGCATATGGCCTGCCACTTTGTGGTTTAAGGGAGGATTGCACAGGATGGGTTGACATCTCCATGGTTTGCAAACACTGGTGGTGTGTATGCATAACAAAAACAGTTTCAAGTTCCATGGATTTAAGTTGGTAAAGCATCTCACACAAGATTTCTGCTAGCTCCAGCCCAGCTTGGTAGTCACAAGCCTTTGCTTCTGTACCGTATGTCCAGAGAGTGGAGGCGGGTGGGGACGCCATGGTGTGGTGGCTTCGAGGGAAGGAGAGGGAGGAGGGAGTTGAGGCGGGGGTGCCTACCGGTACTAGAGTCTAGACATGACATTTCCATGCAGTGGACTGCATGAGTGAAGCTAAGGACTGAACTGTAAGGAGGGGAATGGATCAACCCGCTAAGGCAATGACGCACACCTTTCCAAAACTTGGGTTGGAGATTGGTCAACAGGATGGATGGTGAATCCAAACGGCTCAGCTCAGAGAGAATCCGAGCCCTTGCTAGGACGAGATGGGTAAGGGAGGGATAGGTTTTTGGTGTCAACCAAGCCTGGGTACGTGAGGGGTTCACACATGCTGAGCTGTAATCTGGGCGTTATTTGGACGCACAACACACCCAGCCACTTTGTGAGTAGTTACGTGATGCTTGATTTCCCCGTATCCCATGATCTCTGACATTGAATGCAAGCGGCATCAGGCAGGACTCAGGATAAAATTCTAGAATGGCAAAAAAAAAAAGGTAAGGGGTAGGGAAGAGAGGGAGTTCGGACAGTGAGCAGAGCTGAACAAGATGGAACAGAGGAGAAGGAACAATGAGCAAGCCATGGAAAGCCAGGATTTGAAGCAAGAGGAAAAGAAGGGAGGGGCGAAGAAGACAGAACATCTGTGATGAAATCAAGAGATAAAAAGGAAGCGATAGTCTGTGAAGCAGTGGATCCAACAAGATGAATAGATCGGAGGAACATATTTACAAGGAGGAGGGCAGCCAAGAGGCGGCATGGCATGCATATGGCATAACCCTAGTTGCCTGGAAGAGGCAACTGTACGGGAACGCCATGGCGATCGGCTTATAAATCCGTCGGCCCAGCCATCTCTTCATCGCTGGAAGCATCGTTGTCATCATAGTCGCTCAGGTCTTCACTATCATCGTCGTCAGAATCCGCCTTGTGCTTTCTGACTAAATCCTCTGCCTTGCCGTATCGTAGGCAGTACTCTGCAGCAAATGATGGAGGGAAAGATGGCGAACCGTTGATTACACAATTTGTGAAACATTAGAAAGTAGAAAAGGCTGGTTCCAATCCCCTTTATATGCCATTGCACAGATTAAGAGGGAGGGAGAGAGATAGAGAGGGAGGGAGGGAGAAAGGGGGAGAGAGTGAGAGAAAGAGAGAGAGAGAGAGTGAGAGAGAGAGAGAGGAGGGGAAAAGTCAAAGCATTACCTTTCACTTTCTGCTTGTATTGCTCTGGGTCCCGCATGAGCATTGCTGCAGCTTCGCCATTCAGAGGATCAGTTGGATTCGGGTACAGCAGGAGCTGTGGAAGGAAGACTTCAAACACGTTGATCAAGTCTGCAGTGACGTAACGGTATGGTGAGCCATGAAAGAAGAAATGAATAAAGGAAGCAAATGGATAGACAATTAGCGAGACAAAGGAAAATAGTAGGGAGGACTGAGCAACTGGAAATGAGAAAATGGATGGAAGGGGCGGGGGGAGGGAAGGAACAGGTAGCCTAGATGAGTTACGGTGTGCACATCACGCACCGAACATTGGACTCCATATTTGATTGATGACGTCTAGGCATACCGAGCCAGACCTGGAACACGCCGATGCATACACGAAATACGCGTTAGTGGCGCGCGCTGCTCTCCCCCAAGCTGCGCAACGAGAATGGGAAGCGCGTCGACGGCGAGAAGAACAAGAACTCACGATTCGTCGACGTTAGGGTGGAAAATCCGATTAATAAATCCAATCGATGGAGACTTGTAGGGATACGCATCAGGGAGTTCAACGTGGACTTTCCATACGCCTCCCTCATACGGACCTGACGGGCGAGAAAATGAGAAAAAAAAAATGAGAAAATTCCGACCAACAGCCGAGCGAGCAGAACTGAGAAAGGCGGGGAAAAGCTTACTTTCTTTAGGACCGTGAAAGTAGACGTTGAACTCGATCATACTGTCGTTTATAAGCTCGACTTTATAATCGCTCATCATCCTGCACTATCCGAAAACACCCGAAGTCAAATCCTGCTGATAAGCCGGGAAACCCTAATCTGTCTCTCGATAAACTCCAACCACCAACTCACAGCTTCATCACATCCATCTCCCTCCGCTTGTTCGGCGTCGACATGGCAGCGGAAACCAGATAACGCGCTGCCTGAAATCCCCCGGCTTTCACGGATGACCGCGCTCAGAGAACTGGGCTTATCAAAGCCAGTAGTAGCAGTTTTTAGAAGGAAACAGCAGCTCAGAGACACAGCAACCAGCAATCAACGCCAGAAATTTGAACCCCCAAGTGATGCGTGTGACGAGTGGTCCCTGTTGTTGCGTGTGATGATGGCTAGAGGAAAAGCAAGGGTTGGTTTTGGGAAGCTTGGATTATTCAGTGCATTGTAGGGTGCCCCGTCACAGTCTCGTGGTACTTCACCTCAACCTTATGACTTGAGTCACCAACCATGCATTGGAAATTCTTTAAAGCGACGGTGCACATTTGCCACCCAAAACCCAGAACCCTGGCGAACTGTTACTGCAGATGAAAAGTGTCTGCACGAAATCCTGGTTTTCGCCAGCCAACACTTTCGCGCTGGCAAGCCTGGTTCAAAAAAAAAACTTCTGAACCCAACACTGCCAAAAGTTGCTCGTCGCTTTAATCCTGAACCACACCATCCTAACATCCAGCTGTGTTAGCTAATGCACTGCATCCACCACACAATAGCCGGGTTGGAGTATGCAAACCAAGTCCTTATGCGGCCATACCACCGTACTTGGTAACTACACACATCCACTGCTGCTACAAAATTCCAGTGAACCACCCATGCATTTTTTCCGCTTCACAGTACAGTTTTATACATTCATTTCCATCTCACAACAAATCCTTGAACGCATTCCCAGGATTTTCTCCGTCAATATTGATATGCTCAGGGAAGTCCCACGGCATGCTCTCTTGCACCAGAGGCGGCGTCCAATCAGCACTTGATTGGAGAAGTGATGACAGCTGCTCGAATAGAACCTTGTTACCCCCAGGAGCCAAGTGGAGCCCGTCGCTGGAAGAAGAAAACAGAAAAGAACGTAATGAATAGAGGGTGTGCACGGGGCCAAGTGAAGCCTGTCCACGGAATGTCACAACAGAAAGGAATAACAAGGATAAAGAGTGTGCATGGGCCCAACAGGGGAAGAAGAAACTCAAGAGACTGGACGGACCTAGTTACACAGGGGAGAGCCTGTAAAGAGCGAGACGGGGAGGACAGACTAAGGTTTATGTACCTTATGCTCAAGGCTTTGAGAAAGAAAAGGCTCTGCAACCAGTAAGCATCCCTAAGAACATTTTTTAGGCGCCTCAAAAAACAAAAGAAGCTCTGCAACCAGCAAGCATCCCTATGAACATCCTTCACATGACAATCTTAACTTGATATGACAACTATTCTACCAGCAGGTTACACATTGAGAATCCACCAGAAAACTGGAGCACGTGGGTGGGTGTGAGCTGAGCTGACCTGAGCAGAGTCTGCCAGTGGGGTTGTTGCTGCAGCACGGTCCAGAGGTCAATCACAGGCACGCCCCCACACGCCTCTGCCACCTCCTTCACCGCTGCTGCATACTTCCCCGTCACCTCATTCGTCCGCTCCGGCTCCTTCATACACTGCTCACCGTAAGTCGCTCTGAGGAAAGGGGGAAAGAGAAAGTGAGAGAAAGTGTTTACGCCCCCACACGTCTCTGCCACCTCCCTCGCCGCTGCTGCATGCTTCCCCGTCACCTCGTTCGTGCGCTCCGGTTCCTTCATGCACTTCTCGCCGTACATTTCTCTGAACAAGGGGGGAGAGTCGGTGTGTGGGATTAGTGAACGACCAGCATTCCCTTACAAGAGGCACGCCCCCACACGCCTCTGCCACCTCCCTCACTGCTGTCGCATGCTTGCCTGTCACCTCATTTTTACGCTCCAGTTCCTTCATGCACTGCTCGCCGTACATTGCTCTGAGCAGGGGGAAAAGACAGTGAGAGAAAGGGAGTGGGATTCGGACTTGAGATGCACACCCCCACCCACGCGCTGCTGCTGGAAAACAATTCCCGCACTTGGCTCCTGCATGCATGCACTGTTCACCGTACAATGCTATGAGGCAAGGGGTGGGAGGAAGTGGGATCAATGATGAAAAGGGTTCCTTCATGCATCCCTTGCCGCACATTGCTCTGATTGCGGTTTGACCTTTGATAAATTTCAAAAGTCAAGCCAACATCGCTCTGAGTGCGTGGGCGGAGTGATGAAAAGCAGGAAGGGCGCCTTATCACATGACTTGAGAAACAGAGCAGAGCATGGGGGGACACACGTCACACAAGGAAGGTAAACCTTTAGGGCCTCTAAGCAGGGACTCACTTGGAGTTTTCCCAGGCAGGCACCAGGCCAGGCTCATCTACAGAGGGTGATGGGACGATGGAATGAGCACCAGGCAGGGGTGGGAGGCTTGTCACATGGCATGAGAACAGAGCAGTCATGAAGGAGTGCCAAGCGGGCTTACTGATCAAGGAAAACCCTATTGACTATCAAGGAAAAAAACTGCTCTATAACTATAACCACGGGACTCACTTGGCGAACTCCATGCGACCAGGCTCGTCCACAGGGGGGGGAGTGATGAGCAGAGCACCACGTGTCGCTTTATACCAACTCGCAGAAGAAGGAACTTTCCTCGAGCAGGGGACTCACAAATCAAGGAATCCCTCTAGACCCCCTCGAGTAGGCACTCACTTGGCGAACTCCATGCGACCAGGCTCGTCCACAGGGGGGGGAGTGATGAGCACCACCCGCACGTTGGGACCCAGCGACTGGCGGTAGGGTGGAGGGGTAAGAAGGGGGGAGAGGAGGAAAGAGGGGGATGGTGAGGAGAGCACAACGCAAAGAGGGAAGAGTGATGAGCAGCGCGCACGCACGTTGGGACCCAGCGACTGCATGGGGTAAGGAATGTGCATCCGGGTAATGTAGTGGTAAGGAATGTTGAGTGCATCCGGGTATGTGGGTATGTGAGTGCTAACATCCGTTTTTCTTATGTGTGTGCGTGCGCGCGTGTGTGTGTGTGTGCTTGTGTGTGTGTGTGTGTGTGTGTGTGCGTGTGCGTGTGCGTGTGTGTGTGTGTGTGTGTGTGTGTTTCCCGACCAACGAAAGAAGAACTCACATCATACCTGCAGGTGAGTGACGGTGACTCGCAGGTTCTCCTTGAACTCTAAAATCAGCACGTGCTGAGCGTGCCTCTGCTGCTCTGACTCAATTGATACGCTGCAGCTTGTAGAGCAACCATTGCACACCGCACATCACACCTGCATGCGCCTCAAACCTCAACTCATACCTGCAGGTGAGTGACTATGACTCGCAGGTTCTCCTTAAACTCGGGTATCGGCACGTGCTGCTTGCCGCTCGTTCTCCCTGGCAGAGCGGCGTCGTTGGCGCCAAAGAAAACAGTCACCAGGGCGGGAGGCGGAATCGAGGTGTCACCCTGACGTGCGTTGATGCAGAGATATGGACAGGGGTGTGATGATGGGGGGGTTGCAGTTGCAGCGTACAGAGTGGTCTGGGTGACTTTTGAGTCGACTGAAAAGTCACCTGAATCGAGTTGTCACCCTGATGTGCGTGGATGCAGAGATATGGACAGGGGTGTGATGATGGGGGGGTTGCAGCGTACAGAGTGGTCCGCATCACACACTGCGCTGATGAACGGTGGATGATGAGCCACAAATCAATCTTGTAAATCCTCACCATTGGAAAGTCTCACCTTGGGAAAGAGCTTGGGCAGGAGAAAGAGTGCCCAGCGTGTGTTGTACCCACTTAGCCCCGTAACACCACGTCCACCTGCCCGCAGCACAACAAAGAGCAGAAAGCAAGCGAGAGCATAGGGAGGAGGAAGGAGGAGTACTCAGTGTGTGTTGTACCCTCTACAGCTGTATCCCAATAGCACCACGCCCGCCTGCAAACAGCACAGCAACAGCACAGCAACAGCACAGCAAAAGCACAGTAACAGGACAGCAACAGCACAGCAACAGGACAGCAACAGGACAGCAACAGCACCGAGTGACGTGAAGGCAGAGCATTGTGTTTGAAGTCACTATGTGTGGCAACTTGCATTGTTGCGTGTACCCCGTCAATGGCTGTAACCCCGTCACACCCCCGTGACCCGTACACCTGCAAGCAGGGAAATGGAAATGAATGCAGAAGCACTGCACTTTGTTCATTGCGATTGTGTTCGAGCGCCCCTTGTAGCAGAGGGTTCACCTTGCGGGCATAGAGGTTCTGCAGCGCTGCCCCCCACCCGCCTCCAGCAAAGGACCTCTGAGTGAGCGAGTCACCAAAGAGCACAAAGGCAGGCCGGAACCAATGTGATGCTGCTGCTGGTGGTGGCGACATCACGTGTGCCACACGTGCTGACGCTTCTGCTGTTGTTGCTGTTTCTGCTGCTGTTGCTGCTGCTGCTGCTGCTGCTGCTGTTGCTGCTGCTGCTTCTGCTGCTGTTGCTGCTGCTGCTGCTGCTGTTGCTGCTGCTTCTGCGTCTGCCGCTGGTGCTTTTAATGAGGACGACACTGGCGAAGCTGGTTCTAATAATGACCATGATGGTGACAATGGCAGTGCCCCCCTGTCCTGGGCCCTCCGTCGCCCCCCCAGTGCACCTCGTGCCAGAGCAGCAGCACTCTGCCCGGCCATAGGCTGAGAGATCTCCTCCCGTGGTGCTGCTCCCGCCCTCCCTTCACATGACAGAGCCCTCCTTCCCTCACATGCAGCCGCCATCTCGCTCCCTTCACTTGGCTGTGTGCTGCTTTCTTCCTGTAGTGCTGCTCGCTCCCTCCCTTGATCTGTCAGAGAGCCGTCCTTCTGTGCTTCTGCTCCCTCCCTCCCTTCACTTAACAAAGTGTAACTCCCCTCTGGCGAATCCACGGAAATTGAATGAGGGGAAGGGCGATCAGGTGCGGGTACATGTGCAGGGGGGTGATGAGGCGGGTACATCTGCTGCTGGCGCTGCTGCTGGTAGTGTTTCTGTTGCTGTTGCTGCGGCCACTGCTGCTGCCACTGTTGCTGCTGCTGGCCTAGACCGAACCAGCGCCACAAATCGAGTTTGTGAGAGAAAGAGGTTGCGGGGAAAGGCTGGAAAGGAGGAGCCTGGTGGTATGAGGGCAGACGGGGAGGCAGCGGCAGCAGGAGGAAGAATACGGGGAGCGAGAGCAGCTGAGAGAGCAAAGCTCCGAGGATGAAGGAGGCCAGGGGAGAGCGGAAGGGGAAGCGGAGAGAGGGAGGGAGCAGCGAGTTGGGTCGGGGGAGAGAAGGGAGAGAAGAATTGGGAGGTGGTATGGAGTTTGTTTGATTCAGACTTCGGAAGAGGGATCGTGGGGAGGCAGAGTGAGGGTAGTGGTGGGAGCGCGTGGATCTATCATGTCTCTCTTTCGTGTGGGACTGGTGGGGCTGGTGGGACTGGTGCTCCAGCTTATGCTGCTGCTCTTGCTGTGGATGGTGCTGATGGCGGTGCTGATGCTGCGGATAATGTTGCTGCTGCTGCTTTTGCTGATGGAGATAAAACGGTTGCAGCTGTTGCTGCTGCGGAGGCGGAAGGGAGGAGGGCCCTTGAGGCGAGCGGGGAGTTCGGTGGTGCAACGACGGGGAGCCAGCAGTCATGCTGCGATGAGGAGATGCATTGGAGGTAGCAGGTCTTGATCTGCCTGGAGACGACTTTTGAGACGTCTCAACAGTCATGGTGAGATAAGAAGATGCGACGGTAGAGCAGGTCTTGACCTGGAAGGAGGTGGGGAGCTAGCTATTCCGTCGCAGTTAACTGCGGGAAGCGACACAAATTCGCTGAGTCGTTGGATTCCCACCCGAGAGTCTAGACTCTCTCAGTCATGCTTCACCGTCGATTAGAGCGGCACGGATCCGCTGAGCCGTAGATTCGAGCACGGATCCGTTGAGCGCCGTTGATAAATTCACGGACCTGCTGAGCCGTTGGTCGTTTTTCTTAAAGGGGTTTCACGAAGGAGATCAGTGGAGGAGGAGGAGGATAAGGTAGAGGCTCACCTTGCGCGCGTATTGGTTCTGCAGCGCTGCTCCCCACCCGCCCTCGCTGAACGAGTGCTGCGTCAACGAGTCGCCGAACAGCACGAATGCCGGACGGATGCGAGCCATTCCGCGGAGATCGCCCGATTTCTAGTGAAAAAGGTCTCAGTCTACGGGAGAGTGTTTTCGATTTCAGCTAAGCTTCAAGCTCAGCTATTCTTGGGAGCTGTCCAGTACGTTGGTAATGCTGCTTGCGTTTCCACCACAGTCGAAGTTGGACAATCTGTACTGCACGTTGGCCAAACGCAAGGCGGGGACGCTAAAAAACGAAGTGTCGTAAGTTTACCCGAAGACTAATGCGAAGCCTGACGTGAAGCCTACGAGCGGCGGAGGGTGCGGTCCGAGGAATGAGCCTCAGTTCAACTGAATGGGCTTCATGTTGGTGAGCTTGATCAAGGAACAAGCATCTGTCCAGTGGGATTTCTATGGAGCGGAAGTCTCGAGGCTATCTTGCCTCGCAATCAAGTTGACCGTTGGGTAACACGCGCTGTAAAAAATGTAGGCTGGATTGATGACGAAACGGAAAATCGAGTAACCAGGTGTTTTCGCAGAAATGACGAAGCGAAATGATCGACTAGGACTGAAAGACGATACTCAATATGATGTTCGCGGGGGGTAATCAAACCCGAACGAAAGGGGGTTGGTTCGTCTAGCCTTTCGCCTGCGACACCTCCTGTTGGAACTTCTTGGACGAAGCGAACAGGTAGAAACTGCGCTTCATTCGATGTGTGTTCTTCAAGCGCTCCAATTTGACGCTATTGCTCAAAAGCTCGACAATCACCGTTTTGCACCGAAGTATAACCTAGCCTACCCTGTACAGCCTCTCTCAAACTACGGATTCTGGTGTCATCACATCAGTGCTGGATGTGCCACTCTCGCCCTCGCATTTCTGCATCTTCCTGCTGGAACAACACCAGAGAAAAGCGCACCTGCCAGGCACACAGAACCGCACGAACGACCTTTCTAGTCTCTGAAACCAACAGGCTGCAAAGCCAGGGCGACACCACGTGTAAGGTAAGCCGGCTTGTCGTGGTTAGTGCTGAATGCTATATTTTGAGGCGCGTAGAATATCGTACGCCCACGTTGGAGCGACCTAAATGCGACCTAGTGCGAACGAGAACGGCGTTATTTCAACAAACGAACGTTCTTATGACAGACGGGCGAACGGCAATCTACGCTAGGGTAGAAGTTAACGGTACGTACTACGAACACCCGCGGACAAACTTGAAATGCAAATCTGTGCGAGGCGTAACGTGTGTGTTTTTTTAGAATTATAAGAAAACACAATCTGTGCGAGGCGTAACGTCTGCCATTTTCACGAAATCGCTGTAAACTGAGACGAGTTTTGAGTCAGCTCGTGCAAGGCGGAACATCTGTCTTCGTCAAATAATCTTTCTCATAGGTTGACCTCGGAAAAACACGTACTCTAACCCTACGTCCTCGTGAACGAGCCTCACACGCTTCTAGGTTGAAACGAAGCAGAAAATCCCAGTACATGCCCGTACAAGAAAAGCTTGAAACTCACACGCTGTCTACTATCCTAACTATTTGGATTCCGGAATTTCCCTAGAAATTCTGCACTGTCTGCCAGCCTCGCATTCCACATGACAATAGCATAACAATAGATTAATCTCTGCTGCCTCCCATACTCTGCTCCTCTGCCGCTGTTCCACTCTCTCCTTTTGCTGCTCTTCTCCTGCGTTCCTATTTAGTCCATACTCAGCCTCCCATAATCCGTGCCGTGTCCCTTAACAGGGACGGCTAATCCATGCCCCCTATTCCGCATCTCTTCTCCCTACCTCCGCACCCTCTCTCCCCCCCCTCCTATTTTCACACGTTCACAGGCATGGCACGGGCAGCTGCGCCCACAGGAATGGCAGCAGGAGCGACAGCAGCAACGACAACGTCAGCCGCAGCAGGAGTGGCAGCGGCAGCAGCAGCAGCAGCGGCGGGGGCGGCGGCAGCAGCAGCAGTAGAGGCAGAGGGAGAGGTGGTGGGGGCACCTGATGAGGACATGGCCCTAGCACTCACAGGGGGTGAAGCAGAGGGGACAGAGGAAGGATTGTTTGAGGCTCTGTTTCCGTTCGAAGGAGCATCAGCGGCAGCAGCAGGTACAGCAGGGGCACCAGGAGCAGCAGGGCCATCAGGGGCAGCAGGGACAGCAGGAGCAGCAGCAGTACTAGCACATATCCCTTCGTCCTCTCAGTCCCCTCCTAAACCTTTCCCCTCTCTTTCTGTTCGTAAGCCTGTTCGCTCGTTGAACAAATTCAAAGTGGTCAATTTAGACGTTGACCCTTCCAAATCATGCGAGCTGTCCCTGCATGCTATACAGCAAGGGAGGCTTGCTGTATGGGGGATTATCTCCCAGGTTCAGTTGCAAGGCGCAGATTCAGCAGATTGTGACGGGGGTAGAAGCTCGGGTGCGGGTGTCGGTCCAGAGGACGTGATTCTTGTTAAGGTTCACGAGCCTATACTCGTTATAGGCTTCCATATATCGCCCATTTGCGACCCGGACGCCCCACCAACACTTATTCTACACTCACCTCTTGCTTTCTATGTCTGCCAGACACCAGACTTAGAGTATGAGAGTTTTGTTCCTTGCCTCTTATCCACCCCTCTCCTTTCTTGGGCTGTGCTGCATGGGTTGCTGCTTCCGGATGTGAGTGTGGAAAGGGGAGGAGCAAGGGGAGAGGAGGAGGGAGGAGGGGAGGAGGGGAGAGGAGGATTGGGGAGGAGAGGCGGCGGTGGGGGTGGGGTAGGTGGGGCAGACGGGGTGGGTGGTATTGGGGCGGCGTTGCGTGGATTTATGTGTGGGGGGAGGAGTGGGAACGAGGGGAAAGGGGTAGGTGAGGAGGGGAAGGAGGGGGGCGAAGGTGTGGAGTGGGGTGGGATGCGGTGGCAAGGAGCGAAATTGGTAGAGGAGTGGGTTGGCGGGATGTGGGATTATTGTGAGAAAAGGGGGGAGACGGGAAGGAGAAATGGAGAGACAGGCTTGGGTGTTGTGTGTGGGAAGGGAGGAGCAGAGGGAAGAGACAAGAGGAAAGGAAAGGAGGTTGTGGTGGAAGCAGGAAGGGGGGGAAGGAGAGAAGGGGTGTGTTGGCATCAGTGGCATCAGTGGTACCAGCACAGCACAGAGAGCAGACACAGCCGACACAGCAGACACAGGAGGAGCAGTAGGAGCAGCGGGAAAAGCACACATATTGGGGATGTGATGGGGAGGATGAGTGGGAGGAAAGTGAGGGGGCTTTGCTTTGTTTGGCCGAGGTCTATGGGAGATATGCTGGCGAGCGAGAGAGAAGAGGTGTGTGGGTTGCTGGAGGGGGAGGTGAGGGGATGGAGAGGAGGAGAGAGAGAGGAGGGAGTGGGTGATGTAGAGGAGGGAGATGAGGAGGAGGGTGTGGGGAGGGGAAGTGGGAGGTGTGAGTGGTGTGGGGGAGAGGGGTGTAGTGGGCTGATTGGTGCTGTTGGTGAGTTGAGGAGAGTGTTAGAGAGAGTGGGGAAGGGGAAGGAAGATAGAGTGAAGGGATGGGGAGCGGGACAGGGAGGGATGCGGAGGGGAGGGAGGCTGTTGATAGGGGAGGAGGATGAAGAGGATGGGAAGGACAAGGAGGAAGAGGAAGGGGAGGAGGGAGGGCGAGAGCGTGGAAAGGAGATAGGGAGGAGAGTTAGGGAGGAGGAGATGGGTGGTGGAGGAGGTGAGATAGGGCTTGTTGTCGGCATGAAAAGCGGGGTTTGGTCTGGAAGGAAGGGATTGGTTAAGTGCAGGGAAGGATGGGAGGGGTGTGGGAGAGAGGGGGAACGGGATGGGAAAGCAGCCAGGGGGAAGGGTGGTAGTGGGAGAGATGGGGGAACTGCTGCAAGAGGTGTTGAAAGGGGTTATGGAGGGGTAAGGGGTCTTGGTGGTGGTGATGGTGGTATTGATGGGAGTGATGGGGATGACAATGGGGTTATTGGGTTCATTCCCTTGAGTGGTGCAATGCCTCTGAAGGTGAAGGCAGGGGCAACAAAGATGGATGCAGGTGCAAAGGGAAGAAATGGTTTTACCCCGCTGATATGGGTGACTAAGGGTGGGGAGGAGATGAAAAGGCAAGAGGAGGCAGGAGGAATAATTACTGGTGGGGGTGTTGGTGGTGCTGCTGCTGCTGCTGGTGCTTTTGCAGGTGCTGGTGCTGGTGTCGCTGGTGGTGGTGCTGCTGCTCCTGTGGGTGGTTATGCTGGTGCTTTTGCAGGTGGTGCTGGTGTTGCAGGTGGTGCTGGTGCTGGTGTTGCTGGTGCTGCTGCTCCTGTGGGTGGTTATGCTGGTGCTGTGAACGCATGGCTGGAGGACGAGTGGAGTGTGGGGGCGAGCGCTGCTCAACTGAAAGGGAAAGAGGGCTTGAAAGAGAAAGAGGGGTTCAAGGAGAGAGAGGTGCCGAAGGAGAAAGAGGGGCTCAAAGTGGGAGAGGGACGAGGGGTAGGAGGCGCTAAGGGCCCTGAGACACCTGCAAAGGCGAGGGAGGGAGGGAATGCTGTGAAGGGGAGAGTGAAAGAGGGAGAGAGAGTGAGTGGTTTGCAGGTGAGGGTGAAAGAGGAACCAGTAGAGGATGTATTGGTGGGGGGGAGAGGGAGGGGGGGTGTGGGGGAGTTGGGGCAGGTGGGGAGGGCGGGAACGGTGGGGAAGGTGGGGAAGGGAGGAATGCAAGAGACTGCTGAAGCAAAGGCTGAGGAGAGAGAGGAGGGGGAGGTGAGGGAGGAGGATATGGAGGAGGAAGAGGAGGAAGAAGGGGAAGAGAAGGAGGAAGAGGAAGAGGAGGGAAAGGAAGGAAAGGAGGGAAAGAAGGGAGAGGGAGAGGAGAGGAAAGAGAGAGGAGAGGGGAAGGAGGAGGAGGAGGAGAGGCAGAGAAGGAAGGCTGGGGCGAGTGCGGGGAAGGATAGTGAGGAGGAGGAAGCTGATAGTGATAGTGATGAAGATAGTGACGACGATTCCAAGGACGATGATTACAAGAATGATGAAGAGGAGGAGGACGATTCTGAGAGTGATAGTGATGGGGATGGTGATGGGGATGGTGATGGGGATGGGGATGTTGTTGAGGTGAAGAAGGAGAGGGTGGAGAGCGGGGTGGGAAGTGGTGGGGTGGGAGGCGGTGCGGTGGGAGGTGGTGTGGTGAGATTTGGTGGAGTGAGAACAGGAGAGAGAGCAGGAGCAGGATTTGGAGTTGGAGGGGAAGGGGAAGGGGAAGGGGAAGGGGGAGGAGCAGTAGCAGGGGTATGGGGAGCGGAACAAAGAGGGCTGGGGCGAGGGGTAGGGGGAGGGGGATGGGGAGTGGGAAGAGGGGAAGGGGATGAGAGAGGGACGGGGGAAGCCGAACTGGGAATGAAAGGCTTTGATTCTGGGTCTGTTGGTCGGAGTGAGCAAAGGGGTGGGTTTGTTGGTCGGAGTGAGCAAAGGGGTGGGTTTGTTGGTCGGAGTGAGCAAAGGGGTGGGTTTGTTGGTCGGAGTGAGCAAAGGGGTGGGTTTGTTGGTCGGAGTGAGCAAAGGGGTGGGTTTGGTGGTGGTGAGAACGAGCTGAATGGGGGGCTTGGGGCTGAACATGAGCCAAGGGATAAGTTCGATGAGAACATTTTTGAAGCGCCTCAAAAATCAACTCAGAACGGGGGGCTTGGGGGTGAACATGGGCTAACGGATAAGTTTGATGAGAGCACTGGAGAGGCAGTGGCAGAATGGTTGATAGGCACGATGGGGATGCTTGAGAGGAAAGCGAGGAAGATTGTAGAGAGGACAAGGAAGGACGCGAGGATGGGAGGGTGGGAGCTTGAGAGGTGGGTAGCAGAGGCCGTTGACTTTGCTGCTGCTGCTGAGGTGCATGAGAGGATGGTGGAGGAACAAGAGGAAGAGGAGGAGCAGAAGGGAGAGGAGGAGGAGGAAGAAGGGGAGGAGGAGCAGGGGGGTGGTGGTGAGGGAGAAACAGGGAAGTATGGAGCAGGATGGGGTCATGTTGGCGCTGGTGCTGGCGATGGTGTTGGCGGCGGTGGTTTCGGGGGTGGTGGTTTGGGGGTTGGTGGTTTCAGGGGTGGCGCAGGTGCTTTTTCTGGTGCTGCTGCTGCTCGTGGTGCTTCTGGAGGCGAAAGGGCAGAGGGGAGGGCAGGTGCGAGGGCAGAAGGGAGGGGCATGGGAGGCTGGTTGCATGAGGACGAGGATGGGGCATCCAGCTTTGGTGAGTGCTGATTGCTTTGCCTTCCTTGGTTGCTGCTAGTGCTGCTAGTGCTGCTAGTGCTGCTAGTGCTGCTGCTGCTGCTGTGTGAGAGGTGGGAGGGCAGGTGGGAAGGGCATGGGAGGCTGGTTGCATGAGCACCAGGATGGGGCATCCACCTTTGGTGAGTGCTGTTGTTTGCCTTCCCTGGGTGCTAGTACTTCTGCTGGTGTGGCTGGTGGGCGGGGCATGGGAGGGGCATGGTGTTGGTGTTAGCCCTCAATCTCACATTTTGTACTTGTACTTTTATATCCTAGTTTAGTGTAGTTTGCACTTTGTGTTTGGTTGGGTGTACACCCACATCCCAACCAAACCCAAATGTAATCTCCAAGCAATCTCCAACCCACCAATTGGAGATTGCCTTGGGATTACCCTTGATTCCCTAGGATTGCCCCCTGATTCCCTCCTCATCCATACCTTGCTCATTTCTGATGTACTTAAAGAGCTTTGAGCTCACTACTAATGCATCAGTTTTAAGCCTAAGTTCTGACACATGGGAGGGGCATGGGAGGGGCATGGGAGGGGCATGGGAGGGACATGGGAGGGGAAGATGGTTGCATGGAGGCGAGGATGGCATGGCGCATCCAGCTGTGGTGAGCCGATTCTTCCCACTTATCCCACTTTTCGCCTTCCCCTCTTCCCTCTTGTCCCTTCCCTTCTTCCCACTTATCCCACTTTTCGTCTCTTCCCACTGTCCTCACTTTTCTCTTCCCCTCGTCCCACTTATCCCACTTGTCCTTCATTCCCCCCACTCGTCCCTTCCTTGTCTTTCCTTTTCCCCCACTCCCTTTCCCTGTCTCCCCTTCTCCCTTTCCGCTCTTCCCTTATCACCACCAGGCTTAGGTGGTTCTGGTCTCACCCGTCCACCCACCACCTCTGCTGTCTCCCGCGCACCGCCGCACTCCCCAGCATTTAGAGCTGCTGCCTTTAGACCCAGCGGTCAGGCAGGGCCCAGCAGGGTTGGATGCGGTGACGAGCGGTGGGGGAACAACACAGCCAAGGGTGGTGGTGATGGGTGGGGTACCAAGGCTGGATGCGGTGGTGAGCGGTGGGGGAATAACACAGCCAGAGGTGGTGGCGAGGGATGGAGAAACGGGGTGGGATACGGTGGTGAGCGGTGGGGGAGCAACACAGCCAGAGGTGGTGGTATGGGGGCGGTGGGGGCTGGGGGGTTTGGAAAGGGAGGCGTAGAGCGACAGCTGGCACGGATGCTGACTCAGCGTGACAGCGTGGCAGGGGGTGTGAAGGAGGAGGGATGGGAGGGAGGGGGTTGGGGAGGAGTTGGGGGAGGGAGAGGGTTCGGAGGAGGGGGGTTGAGAGGAGGGAGAGGAGGGGGGGTGAAGGGCTGTGGGGACGGAAGGGGAGTGGGGAAATGCAAAGAGGAGGAGGGGAACTGGTGGGATGAGGCGGGTGATGAGGAAGATGAGGAAGGAGGAGGGGAGTGGAATGGTGGTTTTGGTGGTGGTGGTGCTTGTGTGGGTGCGGGTGATGGCAATTGGTGGGATTATGAGCAGGAGGAGGAGGAGGAGGAGGAGGGTGAGGATGACTATGGGCTTGGTGGTGTGGGTGGTGCAGGTGCTGTGCGTGGGCTTGGTGGTGTGAGTGGTGTTGGGGGTGTGGGTGCTGTGAGTGGTGTGACTGGGGCAGCAGCAGGTCAGAAGCGAAGGGCGAGCAGTGGAAGGGGCAATGCTTCCAAGGCAAGTGTTTGAATATCCTACAACTATACTGGAGTCTAGTGGTGCATGTGCTGTGAGTGGTGTGACTGGGGCAGCAGCAGGTCAGAAGCGCAGGGCGAGCAGTGGAAGGGGCAAGGCAATGCTGCCAAGGCAAGTAATTCACTTTCTAGTGTTGTCGAAGGTGGAAGGGGCAATGCAGGTGCTGCTGTGGGTGCTATGACTGGGGCTGCGGCAGGGCAGAAGTGCAGGGCGAGTGGTGGAAAGGGGAAATACCTACAAGGCAAGAGGTCAAACAAATGCTTACGGCCAACCCCCTCTTATGGCACACAACCATCTGCCCAAGGCATGTGATGAAAGAGATGTTTTGAGACGTCTCAAAACAACCCCCTCTTATGGCACACAACCATCTGCCCAAGGCATGTGATAAAAGAGTTGTTTTGAGACGTCTCAAAACAACCCCCTCTTATGGCACACAACCATCTGCCCAAGGCATGTGATAAAAGAGTTGTTTTGAGACGTCTCAAAACAACCCCCTCTTATGGCACACAACCATCTGCCCAAGGCATGTAATAAAAGAGTTGTTTTGAGACGTCTCAAAACAACCCCCTCTTATGGCACACAACCATCTGCCCAAGGCATGTGATAAAAGAGTTGTTTTGAGACGTCTCAAAACAACCCCCTCTTATGGCACACAACCATCTGCCCAAGGCATCCTGGACGGCAATCCCTCTCAGACACCCTCTCAGCCACCCCCCCTGTCCCTCTCACCCTCTCAGCAATCCCTTTCTGCCCCCCTTCCCCCCCTTTTCTTATCCCCTTGCAGAAACGACCCCCCTTGCCTGCACCCAACCTCGTGCACTCATCCCGAGGCATGCAAGCCATCAACCCCACCCATCCCGCCACGCCCGAAACGCCCTTCCGCTGCAGCCCCAGCGACTTCGATCCCTCTTTCTCGCTTACTTTCTGCCCCTTTCCCCCCTTGCAGAAGCGACCCCCCCTGCCAGCGCCCAACCTCGTGCACTCCTCTCGAGGCATGCAAGCCATCAACCCATCCCACCCCACCACGCCCGAGACGCCCTTCCGTTGCGACCCCACCAACTTCTCGCGCATGTGCGGCTTCGGCGGGATTCCCCGCATCATGCCCTACCAGCGAAACCCTGCTGACCTGAAGCTCGCTCCCAAGAGTGTGATGATATACGTGGAGAATATCAGGGATGCTGACTGGGGCTACATGTCCAACCAGCTGTTCTCGCTGCCTGTGGAGTTTGTTGATAGTGCGCACCTGGGCATGTGCAGCAGGAAGCGTGGGTGAGTGTGGGGTGAGTGTGGGGTGAGTGTGGGGTGAGTGTGGGGTGAGTGTGGGTGGGTGAGTGTGGAGGTGAGTGCGTATGCATGTCTATAGTGCGAGTTTGCATGGGAGTTTGTGGATAGTACCCACCTGGGCTGGGCGTGTGCAGCAGGAAGCGAGGGTGAGTGCTTGTTGAGTGTGTATGCATATGTGCGTGTCCGCAGTGCATAGATGCATATGTATGTGGGCCTTTGTTGCCAGCTCCCACCTGGGCTGGGCATGTGCTGCAGGATAAGGGGGTGAGTGAGTGCAGCCGGCTTCCACAACCATGCTTTACACCCACCAGAATATCTCTCTTGCACTCACCTTCACATTCGCAGTCGGGTATCTTTCTACAAGCGCAGATTGTAGAAAGATACCTGCACCACCTGGGCGTGTGCTAACACTCACCCTGCAGGGAGTTTCCGCACTTACACTCACCTGTATGGCCACTCACCCCTGTTATCCACCCACCCACTAACCCTAATTTCCTCATCCTCCTTCTATTTCAACCCCTCAACCCAACAGGTACATCCACAACTTACCCACACAAAGTCGGTGGCTGCCCGAGGAGATTCGAAACTGCCCGAAGACGATTTTCGGGGCGTTTCCCGACTTGGAGAAGTTTTGGCCTGACTGGGACACGCGCCAGAAGCTGAATGTGATAAACACTCAGGCGTTTGGAGTGGATGTGAGGCTGCAGGAGTGGAACGACAAGCTGCAGATGCACGGCGCTCATGGGCTCCCCCCAGAGACACAACAAGAGCTGCTGAAATACATCAGGAAGTGAGTGGATGGGCGAGGGTGGGAAGAGGGGGAAGAGGTGTGCTCTGAGTCGAATCAAAACACAAGGAGAGAACACCTCGAGTCGGCTACCGAACGCATGGGATTCCCCCGGAGACACAACGGGAGCTGCTGAAATACATCCGAAAGTGAGTTTGTACTTTTGAGAATTCTCAAATGTCATTCCAGTAGGGGAGTTTTGAGACGTCCCAAACCTCAGCTTGGCCGTGCAGTGGAGACACAACAAGAGCTGCTGAAATACATATGAAAGTGAGTTGGTAGGGGAGGTGTGTTTTGAGTCGACTCAAAACACACCAGTGTGGGCTTTCCTGTGGTGACACAAGGAGAGCTGCTGCTGATATACGTCAGGAAGTGAGTTGATAGGGGAGGGTGGAAAAGGGGGAGGATGTGAGGTTGCAGGAGTGGAATGATCAGTTGCAGATGCACGGCGGTCAGGAATACATAAAGAATTGAGATATTACTTCGAGAAGGTGTGATAGGAAGAGGGGGAGGAGGTGATAGGGTAGGGAGAGGGGAGGAGTGAGGGAGGGGTGGGAGAAGGGGAAGACAGCGGTGTTTGTGAAATGGATAGGAGTTGAGTCATGTGGAGTGGGGAGGAGGGGAGTGGGGTGGAAGTGGAATGGTGTATATGTGGGGTGTGGAGGCAGAAGGTACCCTGCTTTGGACCTGAGAGTTATGGCACGTCATTTGTTATGCTTTCAGTGATAGTCTCGTGCTGCGCTTATTCCACGGGGTCTGTCCCTTGTCAAGATCTGTTTCTTGAGAGCAACCGACTCTCTCCTTTGCAGTTGGAGGAACTGATGGGATACGAAGGCAAGAAGCATGACTCCAAATCTGGACTTAGTGCAATCCCGTGCCTCTTTCGAATGCCTCTCTTTTGAATGCCCCCCTTTCAAGTGCTCCCTTTTCGAATGCCCATGTTTCGAATGCCCATGTTTCGAATGCCCATGTTTCGAATTCCCATCTTTCGAATGCCCATCTTTCGAATGCCCATGTTTCGAATGCCCATCTTTCGAATGCCCATCTTTCAAATGCCCCCCGTTCGAATGCCCCCCGTTCAAATGCCCCCCGCTCGAATGCCCCCACCCCCAAATGATCAGGTACAATCTGCTGTGGATTGAGCGCAACCGGCTGGCTCCGCTGAGGGTGAAGCAGCTGGAGATGCTGATGGGGTACCCCGAGGGGCATGTCAGCGTGGTCACCAACAATAAAACCAGCCGATATAAGATGCTCGGTAAGAATATTCATGGAGAATGACAATGAGGAGATGAACACATCAGTTGTCGTTGACATGTATATACAGCATAACTCATTGCGTTCTCACAGTGACCTTCCTTTCGTCCTCTTTTTTTTTTTTTTTTTTTTCCTCCAGCGTTCGCCGTCGCTGCTCCTTTCTTTTCTCATCCTCCCTTCCTCCTCACTCAACTTAGAGCGTTTATGATGTTTCCAACCCATCCCCCATCGCCCTATCCCCGGGCAACATCTTCCATGTCCCCACCAACGCTCTCCACCTCTTAGTCCTCCACCACCTCTTCAAGACTTGTTGAGTTGTCACAAAAGTTGCAACCCATACCCAGACTCAAAAGACTCCCGGTCCCCCTTTCTTGTATGTGACTTTTGAATCGACTCAAAAGACTCCGGATCCCCCTTTCTTGTAGGTTGTTTTTGAGAATTCTCAAAACAACTCCCATCCCCCTGTTTCACTCCTCGACCCCCCACCCCCCAAGGCAACACCTTCCATGTCCCCACCGTCGCTCTCCATCTCTCAGTCCTCCGCCGTCTCAACCGTCCAATCCGGGTGCTCTCTCTCTTCTCAGGCATTGGGGGGGCCCTAGTAGCGCTCCACATGGTGAAGGTCCCTGTGATCTGCGCCGTGAGTGTGGAGTTTGAGAAAAGCTGTCGTGATGCCGAGGGGAGGTGGTGGAGGGAAACCGCAATGGCGGAGGAGAGGGCTGGGAATGGGGTCAACCAGATGCTGGGGGATTTATTGCAGCTGTATCACAACGTGAGGTCTTTGAGCCGGGAGGTAGTGGAGTCGTTGGTGCGTGAATACGGGCCCTTCAACCTCATCATCGGAGGGAGCCCCTGTACTAATTTCACTGGTAACAACCGGCAGCCTGCGGACAGCCCTGCTGGGAAAAGCGGGCTTGATGGGAGGGACTCGAGCTTGTTCTTTTTCATGGCTGATGTGATTCGCCATGTTGCGAGCATTCAGGAGAGCCTTGGTCACAGGGTTTTTCGTGCACCATAGGCTAACAGCAGGCCTTAAGACCTTGAACAATGTCGTTCAGGGTTTACCTGGGAGGGTTTTTTAGAAGCTGCTTTTCTCCTTCCTGTACCTAGGCTGATAATTCATCAGCCTTAACTGGTGATGTTGATTATTCACGCAAGGGTGTTTTGTCTATCCGCACTGTTTTGTCAGCCTTTCTTTAAGCGTTTTTTTAATGTTGTTTTTCCAGCCTCCCAGCCCCACCTCTCACTCCAGCCCCAATCACCTCTCACGTCCAGCCCCAAGAATAAACGAAACATTAGCACCAAGGTTATTACGTTGTTGAGTACACAAGAAACGCGTACATCCATCCAACATTCGTAACTGGCGAACTGCCGAAATGTCACGTCCGATTCGTGAACACCCATATCCCGCACTCCAGGGTTTTCGCGATTGGCCGCCATTCGCAAAGAAGCCCACCTCGTTCCTTCCCTCCCTGATCTGCTTTTCTCTTCTTTCTAGCAGTTGCTCCGTCCTGCCGTGTTTTTCTGCTCTGTTCTGCTTTTCCCTTCGCTGTTCCATGTCGGGTTGGGACTAGGTTCATTTCCACTCCATCTCTGCTCTGCCCTGCTCTTCCATGTGGAAATAGCGTCCGACTCCGAGCACGTCATGCTCGGCAACAAGTGGCGACATGGGACCGGCGGAAACGCGGCGAATACAGATTTTGCCGGCAGCTTCCACGTGACAGCCTTTTTTCTTCACGTTTCAACCGCCACGTCAGCCGTCCGTCTGTCTGATGGTCGGATTGCCGAGCGAGACAAAACGGACCGAACCGAACCGAACCTAACCTAACCGAACCGCGCCGCATTTTTACGAGGAGATTCCACGATGAGCGTTGCGCAGACGCGCCGGCGATGGCTGCAGCGACACGCAACCGCGCGTCTGGCCGTTACCATCTGCGGATCCATCCGTTATTACTGCCTGTCTGATTGGCGCCGCCGCGCTTCGGGCATTGCACAGGTGGCGGTTGCGGCTACTAGTGTATTTAGCATACCTGGCCGCGGCGCATCTGCTTCAATCAGAGCAACACCTTCGAGCGCATTGAGTTAACGAATAGCTAGTGAAGAAAAGCTTCATTGAGTGGAATGTAGTAAACGAATGCTATTGTCTCGCAGCACATCTTGACGACATTCGATTCGCCATTCGACGACATTCGCCATCATGACGGCGACATTCGCTCCCCTGATTCGCCATCACTCTCCTGCGCTTCGCCTCGCGCTCCTCCTGCTTCTCGCCTCCGGCTGCGCTCTTCGACCGGCCGAATCGGATTCGATCGCCGGAGAATCAAATCCAGCCGGTCCGAGGAAGCGCGTGTCCCTCACACGCCCCGCACACGCGCAGCTGATGCAGCGCCGGCAGCAGCACCAGCCGCGGCGGCACCAGCAGCACCACCACTTCCAGCCCGCCTCCACCTCCGTCCTTCGCGGCGGCTTCGGCGGCGGCGGCGCGACCGTTTCAGCCGTCGGCTTTCCCGTCGTCCGCTCCTCCGCCACTCACATCACCTCCCACGCCACCACCGCCGCCGCCGCCGCCGCCGCTTGTGCCGTCACCCCGGCCGCAAGCGCGCCACCAATCAAGTACCACGGATGGCCGGTGATCGTGGGAAATCCGACGGAGAACGTTTACCCTATCTACTACGGCAGCTGGGGGGCGGGGTCAGGCAGGGAGATCATTGACGCGTTTGTGCAGGTGCTGAGTAGTGACTCGGGCAGCCAGGGCAGTGCGGGGGACGCGAGTGTGAAGGGGTTGTGGGCCATAAGTACTGCTTATTACCAGTCAGGCTCTGGCGGGAAGAAGAACGTGAGCTCTAAGGTGAGAGAGGACTTCTGAGTCGACTTAAAAGCAGCGCGGGGGATGCAAGCGTGAAGGCGTGGTGGGCAACGACTGCTGGTTATTACCAGGGCCTGTGCTAGGATTTAGGGCACCCTGAGCCCTCAGGGTAACTTTTGAAAACTTTCAGAAATGCCCTGATTTCTCAGGGCAAAATTCCCTGGCCATCCTGAAATTTCAGGGCACCAGCAGAAATTCATCTGGATGTTTCAGGGCAAAAAATACAGGACACTAGAGTAGTGGGGACAAAAACATTGGTGGGGGAGGGGTGGGGACAAAACTAGCACACACACCTCCCAGCCTCCTTCCTCCCCTCTCCCCCTCTCCCCCCTCCACCCCTTCTCCCCTTCCCACGAGTCAGGGCATCCCCCTAGGTTCACCCTAACACTTCAGGGCAAAATTTCACTGCCATTCTGAAATTCCAGGGCAAAACACATAAATCATCCTGACGTCCCAAGGTAAATTTCAGCGCCATTCTGAAATTCCAGGGAAAACTTGAAACACCAACCTGAAATCAGGGTAATCAGGATGTTTTGCCCTGATATCGTGGGCCCTGGTTATTACCAGTCAGGCTCTGGCGGGGAGAAGAACGTTAGCTCTAAGGTGAGAGAGGGAGGTTGAGGAGCAAGTCATTGCTCTCCTTGGTGCTATCTGCTCTTCTTCTTGGTGTTTGCTATTCGCCTGTGTCCTCATTCCTTCCCTCATCCACGCTCCGCATGCCGCCCGCTATATCTGCTTGAATGCAGGTTCGTCTCGTGGGAACAGTGAGCGACAACTATTCACGCGGAAAAAAACTGACAGACGACGACGTGCTCGCCAGTACGTGCTGCTCCCTCCCGACCACTCGTTTCGTTTTGAGTCGACCCAAAACGCTGCTCTCGTTCCATTTTGAGTCGACTCAGAACTTTGCTCTCATTCTGTTTTGAGTTGACTCAAAACTCTGCTCTCATTCTGTTTTAAGCCGATTAAAGTCAGATGACAGACAATGACGTGCTCACCAGTACATGCTGTTCCCTCCTGAGTCCTGACCACCCATTCCGTTCCATCCCCATGCGCGCTACCCATTCTCCCCTCCCCTTGTCACTCCACCCACCTTGCACGGGTGCATCCGTTCCTGATATGACACGGGTGCATCCATTCCTGATACGACAACCTTTCCTGTTTGGTCGTCACCCCTCTGCACATGCCACACGCTCTCTCTCTCACCCCATGCCATCCATCCTCCCCTCCCTACGCATCCTCCCGCCCTGTGCTGCCACTGCAGTCGTGAAGGGCAAGGTCGGTGCGGGCAAGCCCTGGGCGCTGGACCCTAACGGCCTCGATTTTTGACTTGTCTCAAACAAAACCCCTGTACATGCACACTCACTCTCTCACCCACTGCCATCCATCCCCGCCTTCCGCCTCCCTCCTCACCCCCATGCGTCCTCCCACCCGGTGCTGCCCCTGCGGTCGTGAAGAGCAAGGTCGGTGCAGGCAAGCCCTTTGCGCTGGACCCCCACAGAATCTATGTGCTGCTCACCAGTGCAGATGTCACGCTCTCAGGCTACTGCTCAGAGTTCCACGTGATAGAAGTGTAGTTTTGAAGACTCAATCAACTCCTCGCCTCTTCGCTACGCCTTTGTGGGGCACCTCGGGCAGTGCCCCGACGCGTGCGGGGTAGAGAGCACGTCACCCAACGGGAAGCCGGGCATTGACGCTACTATCTCCACGCTCGCGCATGAGCTCATTGAAGCTGCCACTGATCCGGATGTGAATGCCGGGTGGTTTGACGACGACGGCGAGGAAAACGCGGACAAGTGCTCGTGGGAGTATGGCAATACAAAGACTGGTTACCAGCAGAACGGGCAGAGCTGCAAGTACAATGTGGTGGGGCCGAATGGGATGAAGTTCCTGGTGCAGCCCAACTGGGACCGCGTGAAAAGCAAGTGCGTCCTGCAGAACGCCCTGCCCAGTGCTGGTGGTGGCGGGGGGGGCACTCCCCCCCCACCTCCCCCAACTGGAGGCAGCATGAAGATGAGGTGCGATTGCATCTGTGCTAGTGCCAGCAACCCCATGAGCTGCCAGTGCTCCTGCATCAAGACAGGGTGATTTGCACCAGTATTGTGTAAGTGTACGGCGGGTGCTGCTGCACCAGGGACATCAGGAGCGCCTCACAGATGCTTGATTTGGGATATAAATTTCTCCAGTGACAGTGACAACTGCTCGTAGCTTTCCAGTAATATTTTTTGGGTTCCGTCCCCACATCTTTGAGATGTTCCTTGTCTTTCTTTTCACAGATGGTTGTGGTTGTGGTGTATTGGTAGTGTAAACAAGTATTTCGAATAGCTACGGTATGTACTAATAAACATAGCTAGTACAGTGTACTTGTGTGCTTGTACTAGTAGTATGGTACGACATCAATACGGTACAAGATCCCATCTTGACTGGTACATTGCATCATAGTACAACTGCTTGCACAACATGAAGTTATACAACCAAGAGTCCACGTTTTCTGTCATCCATTATTCTTCTGAAGCTGCCTCAGCAGCAGACTCAACCTGTACAACAGGCTTACCGCCACCAGGATCTGACTTAATGCTAATCAGAGGAACAGACTCGATGTCAGATGGAGTGGTCTTCGTTGGCTGCGTTTGGGTAACTGATTGCTGGTATAACACTCCACCGAATATGCACACTAGGAGAGCCACCAACCCTGGCGCCTGGGCATGCTTGTCCCATATCAGTATGTTAATGAGGACTGTAAGAAGCTTATTTGTCACTCCAACAACTGTGTAAGCAGTTGCTGAGACTGCCTTCCGTGCAGCGAAGCCGAAGAAGCTTATGGTCAGACCAAAAATGCAGGAGAGCGCAACAGGGAAGAGAGTCCCTATGCTGAATATCCGGGACAGACCAAAGGCAGCAATTTGACTTGGCTCATTCATGCCAATCAGTGCAGGAGGGAAGAATATCTGCAAACGAGTCAGACACAAGTATTAGCAAGGATGCAGAGAGTTCCCTCTCGAAATTTTGGTGGATCTGAGTCTTACCAGGGCTAGCAGATTGTTGTAAAGCACCAGACCCCATGTATTGAGCCCTATGCTCATAACGACTGACTTGATGTAGACCATCTGCACCAAAAGCTCGATAAAAAACAAGGAAACGCTATTCCGGTGCGTAATGCCAGTGACGCAGAAAAACACTCACCTCGAAGGTAATGACGATCAGATATGCCCAAGCCCACGCATATGCTGTGACGGTGAATCCGGTGTCAAAGAAGACGTAGCCAACCGCGCCACCGAATATCGTCAGCAAGGACAAAAATGTGAGACCCGAAGGCCATGACCTTCCCATAAACACTGAGTCTGCTATCGCAACAAGCAGTGGTGTAGAAGATCGGAACACAATGAACGTTTCGATGTTGGCATGTTTGAGGAGCTGAGTATTTGTCCATATGGCAACGTAGAACGTCGCTGCTGCCGGTAAGAACTTCACAATCTTTTCCAGGCTGAGAGAGTCATGCTCCAACACCTTCAATCTTCCTAGCCCCAGCGTAACAATGGTGCACACAAGGTACTGAAGCGCGGTGAGGAATGCTGGGAAGGGAAAAACGGTCACTGCGTACTGGAAACAAAAAATTGGCCAGATTTCTTTCACAGAGCAACAAGTGGAAATCCAATCGTGAAACATACCTTGTTAACAATGGCCAGCAAACTGGAACTCAGCGCGTAACCGATAACAACCCAAGCTACTCGAAGCTTTTCTAGTGATGAATGATGTCCAGGAACCTGCGGTGTTGGCGGTGTTGCCATCATCTCCCCCACCAATGAAACCAAGCTCCCTTTAAAACAAGCTGAATCGATGTTGAAGCCCAACCCACTGAATGCGGTACTTCACCTATGAAACGGTTTCGTGAATGCGGATGTGCCCTGAACCCCTTGTTATCAATAACAAGAGATCGTCGTGAAGCCCAAGGGAAAGTATATCCCCGCTCCTGACTTTCAGATTTCTCTCATATTCAGCCCTAGGTTTACTCAAAAAGCACCACTTTCTAGAATTTCTCTCACGCGAGGCCCAAAGTATGTTCAAAAGTGGTCCTGCGGGGCGATTTTTTCGACACGTGTCCTCTTGTTACACCATCTGACGAACTTCCACGCATGGAAAATTTGGACGGGGGCAAAAAAAATAAAACCCCTAGAGAACCAGGACACATTCGCGGGAGGGATCAACCCTAAACACCTAGCAGGTCCCGTGTTTAGGGTTGCTCCCTCCCGAAAATGTGTAATGGTCCTTTAGGGGTTTTATGTTTTTTTGTCCCGTAAAAACTTTTCCGGCGCGAAAATTGCCCTGACAAACGGTTAGTTCAGAGTGGAAGTGCGTCAGCTGGTAACAAAACGACACGTGTCGAAAACTTCGCCCCGCAGGACCAGTTTTGAACATACTTTGGGCCTCGCGTGAGAGAAATAATGGAAAGTGGTGCTTTTTGAGTAAACATAGGGCTAAATATGAGAAAAAACTGAAAGCCAGGAGCTGGGATAGACTTTCCCTTTTATCAATGACAGAAACTAGTCGTGGGTGAAGCCCCTTGAGATTCAAATCCCGATGCCCAGCTCAATCCCAAGGAAAGCCCTCAAGCATTTCTGTTCTACAGGGCGCGCTGTGCACTCATGTATGCAGAGCGCTGCAATGGAGAAGAGCGATGAATGGAAAGTGAAGGCGCCGCAATCCGCAGGGATGATGCATGGAGGCACAGCAGTGCTACGAGCTGATGGAGAAGGGCACGGGGAAGGCTGGGCAGTGGAGGGGACAGTGTTTCTTGGTGCCTTGTGGACAAATCGTCCGTCTGTGTGCCTGCTGTCCATCCATCGCTGGTGACCTTCAGGGGTCGCGCATCGAGGCACAGCGGCACTACGAGCTGATGGAGAGGGGTTGACTTTTGCGTCGACTCAAAAGACAGCAGCACTACGAGCTGATGGAGAGGGGTTGACTTTTGCGTCGACTCAAAAGACAGCGGCACTACGAGCTGATGGAGAGGGGTTGACTTTTGCGTCGACTCAAAAGACAGCGGCACTACGAGCTGATGGAGAGGGGTTGACTTTTGCGTCGACTCAAAAGTCAGCGGCACTACGAGCTGATGGAGAGGGGTTGGGTGAAGCTTGGCAACAAGGACAGTAGTCCCTGACGCCTTGCCTGTGGGTTGCCCTGTGGGCTGCTTACAGGGCTTGCGCATCGAAGCGCAGCTGTACTGCGGTGAAGGGTGGGAACAGCAACAGTGTGTATCGTGGCGCTGTGCGTGTGTGCGAACTTGCCTGTGTGCGTGTGTGTGTGCCATCAATCGTCCCTCTGCCTGCAGGGATCGTGCATTGAGAAGCACAACGGTACTATGAGCTGATGGAGAAGGATACGGTGAAGGGTGGGTGGGAACAGCAACAGTGTGTATCCTAGCGCATTGTGTGTGTGCCATCCATTGCGATGGTGTGCGCGCTTCCTGCAGGGTTCGCGCATGGAGGCGCAACGATACTCTTAGCTGATGGGGGAGGACACGGTGAAGCTGGGAGTGGGGAGAGCTGGGAGTGGGGAGACCACTTCCTAATGCAATCCCTCCATCGCCCTGCTGCTGTGTGTGCCATTCATCGCCCCTCTGCTTGCAGGGATCACACATCGAGGTGCAAAGATGCAACGAGCTGATGGGGAAGGGCACAGTGAAGCTGGGAGTGGGGAGGGGAAAGCGCTTCCTGATGCCTTGTGTGCAATCCCTCCATCGCCCTGCTGCTGTGTGTGCCATTCATCGCCCCTCTGCTTTCTCATGTTTGTTTAGAACAAAAACTTTGCTCATGATACAACCACGTACATGATTAAGTAACAACCAGAATGAACGGGAATAATACGAATAAAAAAAAAAAATGTCAGCACTGCATGCATTCTCTGGCTAGTGCTCATGACTTGATTCTCACTGTGAACGAACCTGACAAGGGCAGAAAGGCATGTGAAAAAAAAAAAGGGGGGTTCAGACACTTGCAAGTCAATTTCTTGAAACATGTAATCCACGTTGACATCCACAACAACAAACACAAGCCATGGAGTCGCATCACACCCAGCACACACCTCACTCACACCCTTGAACATCCAAATCACTTCATCAAAGTGTCAGCAATGCTATTGCACTTACACCCAGGAAGTGTAGTGACTTCCGCCGAGACTGTGCATGGTACTCCAAGGTTGGTAAGCGCCCCCTTGATGAGTCCACAGGGAAGATACAGAAACTGCCCTGCAACAGCAGACGCCTTCATGGTGCCTGCCACTGCCCCTCCAGCTCCTGCCATGCGCTCCGTCGGTGATCGAAGGTTGGGACTAGGGTTTGGAAGAGGTGTTAATGCGTCATATGATGGAGCATCGGCTGATATTCTCGTGAGCCATCTGAACTTGTTGTCTTGCAAAACGAATACTCCCTGGAAGGGTTGCAAGGGAAGGAGGGATAGGTTAAGGTAGGACCAGGCACATGCAAAGAAAATTGGAAATGAGTAGCAAGCCCGAGAATAACACAGGATAGGGGAAAATTGGTTGGGACTAAAGTTTCATCCATGGCTGACACGGGGGCATTCATCAGCTTCCTCAGCACCTCTGCAGGAAAGCAACAAGCACTGCAGAACACGCATTGCATTGCAAGCATAACGTGCGGCGACTCTGCCTGAGACTCTGCCTGTGCCTCATACCCTGTACCAAGTATGCTTTGCTGAGGGCTGACTGTGCAGAGGGCAGACTGAGTCTTATGAACTGAACTGACCGTGTTTTGCAATCTAGATCGACTATTCTTTTTGCACAAGATCAGAAGTGCATTCTACCTGCAGTGCTGGTGTCTTACGACAGGTGCAACTTTGCACTGTTCCCGTAATGTCTGTGCTGTTCTCTCCGTTACTGTCCACCTAATGTCTTGAACCTCACTACTCAACTATCCTGTGTGTCCCTGTATCGGCCAAAGGTTGCAACCTCTGTCGAGTATGCCTTGCTGCTGCTGACCATGCGCCTTGTTCTCACTCTGTGGTTGGTCTTGAGGTTGTCCACTTGTTTCTTGAACACCTCGGCCCAAAAGTCCTTGCAGATGAACTTAATCACATCCAAGTGGTCTGTGAATCGGGCTCTGTCCTTGGTGAACCTGGAATAAGGGTGGGTTGGAACGAGATTTGAGAGGCTCGGAAGGACGTGAGGAAATCTGAGAGGTTGCATCAACTTGGGGAATAAAACATGTGAATATGCAAACCACCTCCGAACGATTATTATAGAGCTAGTGAATCTTCTTACTCGTTGGGTTGATGCCCAGTAACTGGCCCTCATTTCTTACGCTGACAAATGGCCACCCGCGTTTGCAGCCCCCATGGTTGTCTAGCGGCATGCAGCAGCGATAAGGTTTCACACTTCGATTTGGCCGCTAAACTTCGTTCACAGCATCATTGAGGCCACATACCTCTCTACTAGTTGTTGACCCACTTGAAAGCCAATCGCCTCGATCCGACGACCGGCGAGCTCTGGTCGCAAGTTGGACTGCCGCGCATACGTCGCAACGAGCTCAATGTTGAGAAAATCTAGGCAGCTCTCCGCGATCTCTCGCGAGCGCGGAACAAGTGCCATCGATAACCAAGAAAAAGAAGGTGAATACAAGTGGGTGTTCGCTAATGCCCTTGAACTGGGTCTGGGCTGGTGCGCATGCGAAGTAACTTCTGGAAAATGATGAAGCTTAGCTGTTGCAGGCTGCGGAAAAGCGGCGTTGTGAGCGACTTGGTCCAAAAGCCTGGTCAATTCGAGCGCAAACCTAGATTGCTACGAGCTAAGACGTGTTCCAAGTAAAATATTCCCAAGATCAGTTCGGAAAACTGAACCTTCACACCAAGTCTGGCTGGCACACAAACGAGCTTGATTTCACACGCGCGAGAAAAAAAGGTGGTCAAGCGATCACAAAAATTTTCTTGTTACACACCTGGCAACCAACCATCCCGCAAGATCGCCATTTAACTCACAAACTCTCTTGTTTGGCTCCAGTTTTCCTGACGAAATAGAGGTGTTCGCTGTCTTGGTAGTTATGCGCGAGTTGGGATCGCTTTTGCGGTGAAATGATAGCAGTTGCAAGCACACCGACCCTACGTACGCACTACCTCACTGTATGAGTGCTGTGGGCTGATGTCACTGAGGTTACCAGCAATCGTTTTGCGATCGACCGCGGCCCAAGATCGAACGTAAAACTCGTAACACGTCCTACCCCTCACGCATCACCCAGAAACACATACCGAGGTTCACATTCTTCAGTACTAGTTTCGTTCAATCCCCCCACCTGCTTTTGTTCCTGCTGATCAGTTGGGTCCAGCAATGGCTGATCAGCTTGTTGTAGTCGGCCTAGCTCCAGTACCGTTTGATAGCTTGAAGAGGCTGCAAGTGAAGCTGAAGGGAGAGGAGGGTGACGATGAGGAGCAAACACAGAAAGGTCCCCAAACACAAGCATTGAAAGAACGACTTCTGGATCTCCTAGGACCTGACGTTGCCATAGAGATCGTTGAAGATTCAGTGCTGGATGTGATATGCACTGTACGTAACGGATTTTGCACGTTCGTCTCTCCTCGGCCAACCCTCCTGACCCGGAATAATAAATGTCGCAGGATTCGATGAAGAAGGCCGTCAAGAAAACTCTGAAGAAAGAGAAGAAATCCATGAATGTGAGTGATCTCATGGCGGTTGTTGCTTCGCGAGTTCCATGTCGTCGAACTGACCTTATCCCGGTCACAGATATCAGTGAACAAGAAGGTTGATGACGTAGTGGACCACGAGGTGCTTCGGAGCTGCTTGGAAAAACTCTGCGAGGGCTCCCTAATCGGCAAAGGCTGGTCAGCTTGCAAGAATGGCTTGTATTTGCGGTCGAATCTCAGGTGTGGCGAAGATAATACACCCGTGCACTCCGTCAGACTGGTGAGCTGCGCGTTCATTCAGAGTTGTGTCACGCTGGTTGAATCAAGCTGATAAGATCGCGCTGTAGGGCATGCACTTGGAGACTCCAAACAAGATTGTCTTGGTCCTACGGCCAGACGTCATCAAATTTCGTCACATGAAGGTTTGTGAACTGCGTGCAAGTTGCCAACTACTCATCGGTTTGCTTGCACATTCATGGAGACACCTTTATTGTTGCAGATTATTGAAGTATTGCCAACAGCATTCAGAGAGAAGTTTTTCCAAGGGAAACCTGTGGAATTAGAGGAGTGGATGGACACCCAACTAGAAGAAACTTCTTCCCAGTTTCGCTGCTTTTGTATCCCAAACCTTGAACATGGCCAAATTATTGGTAAGATGAGCATTTCCATGTAGAAAGACCAAAGGAGCATCACCTCACAATGTTTCTCGTCGCAGGTTGCTCTAAGGACAATTTGAGTTCTGGTCCCAACACTGAATCCAGGACCTACTGGCGAAAGGTGCACCATAATGACGCATCCTTTTGTATTAACACCACTCTCACCCGGAAATTGTTTGGCAGAGAGGAATCGAGATTGGAGACGACTTTTTTACTGTGACGATCAAACTAGATCATGGTGAAAGGCTGAGGTACGTTACAACACATCATTTCATTCAAACATAAATTTTCGTCCCTAACTTGTGTTGTACAGGCTGCCTTCCACATGTGTCCTCACTGAGGCTGGATTTATGCCAGTCCCAGGAACAATACGATCAAGGGAGATGCAATCCATGTTTGCGAACATTGGATCCGATTTCTCCTTCAGTTTTTTGGGGGCTGGGAATGTGCAATTTAAGGTATGGCAACCTTGCAGAGTCACATGCTTCACGATTTTTGTTGCCAGCACTTACATGGATTGTAAATTTCAGAACACAGAAGCGGGCTCGTTGCCAGTCATGGTCCAAACCACCGCATGGACAACAGCTAAGGGGATTGTTCTATTATCCTCGGCTGATGCGTTGTCAGCCCGAAGCCTCGCGTTTTCTCGGCCTTCACGTAATAACTTGACTTTTTTGACGCTCGTGACGTTTTGTATTCAAAGTTTAAGTTTTGGGCTTTTACAGTTTCGGGCTTTCGACGGCCAAAGCCTGCCCTTCCTATTATCCGCGAGCCACCAAAACCTGCCCACAGTGACATTCAAACTGATAAGAATGATGACGAGCCAACTGGAGAGAGACCAGAGTTGGCAAAGAAACCAGATCCCGTGCCAGCTGTTGTCAAGCTATCCATACCCACGTTTACAGCATGGAAGCAGAGAGCCAGTTCAGGTACGTTTCTTCTTCTCTGATGAAAAACATATAGGTCTGTATCGGTACCCCTTTTAACTCTTCCACTCCTTCCCCTCCTCTCCGCCTCTCAACCACCCACTTGGTGGTTTCTTAAGGCTGGACCATTTGATCCTTTCTTTTCTTTGTTTAACAAACTGTTCGCCTTCTTCAGGGGTATCAGCAAAACTAACGAAGTCTTCCACTCTCAACACTAAGGATGCATCGTTGAAGCAGTCATCTGCTGCTGGTATACTCCCATTTCTTGTCCGGTTTATGCCACAAAATGTGCCCAGCATAATTACTGTGGAATGTTTTTTTGACAGCCTCCACAAAGGAGAATAAGGAGCCAGCGGTCTCTGCAGCAAAAAACAAGAAGGTGTGGAAAAAAAAGTGGATGCGGGTGCGAGTTGGTAGGAGCCTGCAGTTAGGAGAAATGAGAGTGGTTGGGGGACAGAGAGCAAGGAGGCAAATTTCTGCAGCTTCATAAAATCATGAACATAGTGTTGTGTATTTGTGTGCTTTCACTTGTGGCAGTTAGATGTAGATAAGCCACCACCGAAGAAAGCCAAGACTTCACATACCCCTGGAAAGGTAAGGGTTTGCAAGCAAGTCCTAGAATCCCATATGTCCCTAAATTGTGTGCTACGCAGGCTTTGGATGCTTCAAATCAATCAAAGGCTCCTGGCAAAAAGAAACCAGAGGCAACGCCTGAAAATGAGGACATTTCCACCACTGTAAGCATTGCAAACCTATTTCAACATGGTGCTTGGGGTACCACAGAATGTTCATGGTTTTTCTTTCAGGTGAAGGAGAAGTTCAAAGAAGGGAAGCTGAAGGATGTTACCCTTCCAAGGCTAAAAGCATTCATCACCCTGCACAAGCTAGGGAAAGTCAGTGGGAAGAAAGATGAGCTCCTCCTGTGTGTTGAGAGGTTTTTGACTGCAGTTTAGTAGGCATGGCCATAACACCTTACAAGTTCACAAGGCAAGGCAACGTCAAACCTAAATCAAGAGACTCACATAATCAGTTGTCTCAGGTATCCACCAATTACATTTGCCACCTACAGTACTTTGGCTGCTACGGTAAATGTGACATCACTTAAAAGACTTGTTGAAAATATTCTGGACCTCGTGACCTCTACCCCCAAAATTAGGCTTAAGGAGAGGAGGATGCATTAGATTAGAGTGACAGGTGTTACAGTAGATAGCCTTCACTGCAGTTTTACCTGCAGTTTCACTACAAACGTTGAAGTGCCTCCATGCAACATTACTGGTAGGTACTAAAGAATACACTTAGTTGCAGGATTGCTATGGCTAAGAAAATGTTGTGTTTCTCCCTCCCATCCCATACCATCGCCCTTTTTTGGCTAGTGTGGGTGGGAGTCAAACAGCATACCGGTAAGTTTTCTCGATCCAGACTCCAGTCAAGACCATTGGCAGAACAGGTAGAGCAACGGTATACATTGTCAAACTATAATATTGTTTGTTGTTTGTAGGCTGTAGTGGGGTAGCTTACATGGGGTACAACACATTCTAGGGTTTCCTTTTGTATCCCAACCCTTGCTAGTTTCATCCATTCTTGCCCACATTCTCAACATGGTATCAGAGCAGTAGGTCCGTAGGACCGTTTCTTCTAGGGCCCACCGGTTACCGCGTTACCCCACGCCTTACCCTGCCCTGTACCGCCCGCGCGTGTCGCCCCTGCAGCTTGCGCGCAGCCCTTGCAGCTACGCGCGCTGCCCCGCTGCACCGCGCGCCGCCCATGCTGCCCCGTGCGCCACTTTTCCTGCCCTGCGCGCCGCCCCAACAGCCCGCTCGCCGCGTTTCCTGCCCCGCGCGCCGCCCCTGCAGCCCGAGCACTGCCGTTTCCGGCCCCGCGCGCGTCCCAGCAGCCCGCGCGCAGCTTAAGCAGCCCTCGCGCTGCCTCTGCCCTGCCCCGCGCGCCGCCTTTGCAGCCCGCGCGCACCCTCGGCAGCGCTCGCGCTGCCTCTGCCCTGCCTCGCGCGCCGCACCTGCAGCCCGCGCCTAGCCTTTGCAGCCCTCGCGCTGCCTCTGCCCTACCCGCGCGCCCGGCCCTGCCCTTCCCGCGCGCCCTTCCCTGCCCTACGCACGTCCTGCCTTGCCGCGCGCCGCCCTGCCAGCTGCGTGCCGCCCCTTCCTGCCTTACGCTCTACCCTGTACTGCTCGCTATGGCTTCCCTCGCTGTTCTCGAGTTCGACCCTGAGGGTCGTCCGATTCAGTTCAAAACCTGGCTTGATGACCTACAGCTGTTCCTGCTGAGCGATATTAAGGACGGTGTTTCCCTCTTTGACCACACGTCTGGAGCCTCTACTGTCCCTCCTGACACTGCTGCCAGTGCTACTCGCTCACAGTGGCTTTCCCGTCACGCTGCCGCTCACCTAGCCGTTCGCAACCACCTATTGACGACCGAACGCGTTCACTTTGGCCAGCATAAGACCGCTAAAACCCTTTTCAATGTTGTAGTCGCTTGTTATTCCTTCCCTGCCACTGCAGCTTTCGGCCGCCTTATGCTGCCCTACCTGTTTCCCGAGCTGTCCTCCTTTGCCACTGTAGAGGACCTCATCTCCCACCTTCGCACCATGGACGATCGCTACCGCGCTGCCACCCCAGAGGACAGCTCCAGAACCCAGGCTGAAGCAGTACCCCTGAGTAGACCTGTGAGTCTCAGTGTCGTCAGCGTAAGAAGAGTCACAGTGACCAGTAAGTACGACAGACTGCTGCCCTCCAAGAACCAGCCCCACGCCTGATGTTGTCGCTAGGTACTTCGCCACCCTCACAGCTGCCGTCCAGTGAACAGGACGGTGTCTCCCTGGCGCAACAAAGCGAGCAAGGATGCTGAGAGGGAAGGCGAGGTCCGGGCGAGTACAAGTCATCAGGTACATGAGGCAGCCCACCAGCTCTGCGTAGGGACCACTAGGCTCAAACGGCTCGTCAGGAAAGGGTCCAGTGAGTATGTGGTCAACAGCAAGAGGTATGTGCTGTATTGTGGAGTGCTAAAGCTCGAACCGCTGAAGGACCTACTGCACCATGTGTGACTGTGAGAGTATAATGGTGCGAGCAGCTCTGTCCCTGGTGATCTGCAGGCCAAGGTAGTGGTGCAGCTCACCAAGGTCAGTGCACGTGTGTCTCCTCTACAGTTCGGACTTCACGTCTGCCAAGGCAACCCTGTCAGCAGTGGCGAAAACCAGGTCGTCGACGTAGACCAGAACAAAGAACGGTGTGGAGCCACAACGAACGAACAGCGACGGGTCGGCAGAAGACGGCTGGAAACCAAGGTCAGACAGGGTAGAACGAAGGGTGTCGTGCCACTCACGAGGAGCCTGACGGAGACCGTAGACCGGTCGCCTCAGCCTCCACTGGGTCCCAGGAGGGAAAGTGCTAGTGAAGGCAGAGGGACGACGCAACCAGACCTCCTCGTGTAGGCTACCCTGAAGGAAGGCAGTGGAGAAGTCGAGAGAGTGTAGCTCGTAGTCTCTCTGTGCTGCTACATGCAGTAACACCCGAAGAGTGGTCATCTTTGGGGTAGGCGCGAAGGTCTGAAAAAAGTCAACTCCCTCGCGCTGACTAAAACCTCTAGCCACGTAGCGCGCCTTGAAGACCGGAGGAGATCCCGGTGGCCGTTTCAACCTGTAGATCCACATGCCATCGACTACGTTCGCCCCAGGGGGGGGAACCTCGTCGACGTAGGTGCCTGTGGATCTGTAGGAGGCCATCTCTGCATCCATGGCGGCTCTCCACTGCCTCAGCGTAAGTGCGAGGGCGTCGGGGTCTTCCTTAGGGGCGAGCAGCATGGCACAGAGATGAGGGGAAGCGGCGGCCAGGAACTCTAGCTCAAACTGCCTGTCCTCTAGGGCATTACAGCCAAGGGCAGACTCACCCCCGACGGCCAGAGGACTGGTAGGAGGAGCAGCCACAAGACTGGTGGCGTAGTCAAGGCGGCGAGTAGAGGCAAACTCAGTGACTGCGGCAGTAAGAGCGGAGACAGAGGACACAGAGGCACGAGGGTCGGTAACAAGAGAGGCGAGAACACGAGAGAGAACAGGACGGTATGTGCGGTAGTAGTCAGTGACAGGAGTAGAGAGGGAAGCAGTGAGGGCCGACTCAGGAGGAGAAGGAAGCACAGACGGAGACGAACGAGGCGGACTAGAACGAAAGAGGGCAGTACGAAGGTCAGTAACGGGAACAGGAGACGAGGGACGAGCACGAGGAGAGCGACGAGAGGCCCAAGTGTGAGAAAGAGGAGGGGACAACGGAGGCTGAGAACGAGGGAAAACAGCGGGGGAGGAGTCAGGAGGAGGAAACGTGGGACCGTAGACGGGAGGAGAGGGGGAGGAGGAAGGAGAGCGAGAGGGGAGACCGAGGGTCCGAAGACCAGAGACAGGAGGAGGAGGGGGCGACTGCAGCTGCTCTTGCTGCGGCTGCGACCGCTGCTCCTGCTGCTGCTGCTCCTCCAGCTGCGGCTGCTGCTGCTGCTCCTCCAGCTGCGGCTGCCGCTGCTGCTCCTGCTGCTGCTGCTGCTCCTCCAGCTGCCAGAGCTCCAGTAGCTGCTGCTCCAACTCTCTCTCCTCCCTCTCCAACTCCATCTGCTCCTCACGGGCACGACGAACACGAGCCTGGAGCTGAGTCGGGTAGGGGTGGGGGGGAGGAGTAGTGCCCGGGGCGGCGGTAGCTCCAGGACCGCTGTCCAAAGCACTAGACGCGTCACCCCCAGAGCCAGTATTACGGCCAGCCTCACCAGGGCCCGCAGAGGGCGCACCCGCAACCCCACTCGCAGTACCCTCAAGGTTAGCTCGACCAACACTAGCTCCCGGAAGACTCGAGTCTCCTGCAACCACGGGCTCAGCTCCAACTCCAGCACTCCCATAACTAGGACCCGGCGCAGGTACACTCTCAACTTCAACCCCAACACTGCGAGAGCCGGCACCCCCAGCGTCCTCGCCACGAACACTGTTCCCCGCAGGGTCCGCAGTAGGCTGTGGGGAGGACAGCGGGGAAGGAGACTACACCTGAGGGGCCACCGAGGTGGGAGGGGTAGCGTGGGAAACGCCTGACGGGGCTGGACCAGGGGGGGGAGGCTGTACTGGGGGAGCAGGAGGGGGGGCGGAAGTGAGGAAGAGAGGGGGAGGAGGAACCGGGAGACCTCGACAGGGGTACCTGACGTAGTAGGGGGTGGACTCCTCGAAACGGACGTCACGGGAGTCAAAGAACCGGTGAGAGGGAGGGTGGTAAAAGGTGAAGTCAGAGGAGTCCTCAGGGAAACCAAGGAAGACACAGGGAACGGCGCGAGGCGAGAGCTTGTCTGTGGAGGTATCGCGAACAAGAGCCAAGCAACCCCAGACATGAAACCACGACGCAACATTAGGGGACCCGGTCCAAAGACTGGTCGGTGAAACCTCTGGCCGAGAGACACGTGGCCAGAGGTTCAATTGGTGAGCGGCGTACCTAACCGCGTAGGGCCACAGAAAATGGGGGGCACGGGCGTGAGTCAAGGAGGTGCGGGCGATCTCCATGACCAAGCCTATGCGGCGCTCAGCAACCCCATTCTGCTGTGGGGACTCTGGAAGCGTCCAGGACTGACGAATGCCCTGCTCGCGACAGAATCCAGCGAGAACGCCGGAGCAATACCCACCCCCGCGGTCGGTGTGAAGACAGCTGACACGACGACCACGAGTGTCTGCAGTGGTAAGCAACCACCTGATCAGCGTAGAAGTCAC